ATCCTTAATCTATATTGAGTAGTGTGAAGACCCACACTCCCTTTCCCCCCCCTCTTATTTGAATAGAGCACTCAACATTGGTATCTATTTTGCTTAGAAATATTTTTTTTGGTTTTTTAAAAATAGAAAGTATTTTGCTCAAATGTTTGATGATAGTGGCATTTGATATCCTTAGCAAGTCTTCATGTTTGTAGCATAATTTTTTTCAAACATTTGATTCAAGACAACCTTTCAATGTCATGTTTGTAAAAACTTTCTTCATTTGTGCTTTAGATAAGGAGATGTAGTTAAAGATGGTAATTGGCTTCCAATTATTTAAAGTATATATATGTACACCTTGATTGAACAAGAAAGATTAGTGATGTGATAGACAATTTTGCATCTTGAAGTTGAAATGAATTAGTTTAGTATGTTTCTACCACTAGATAAAACTCAATTTTTGAATATTTTGTAGATCTAGAGATAAAACTATCATAACCCTTTTAATGTTTTCTTGTCATTATATACCTTATAAGGCAAGACAACAATATCAATTATATTTAGTGCATATAAAAAAATCATCATTACTTTACTTCAGAGTTTATTTTTATATATCTTGATAACATAATACATATTGGGAAGATAATGTATGTCATAGGGGTTTTTTTCTGCAGCTAAATTATGTCTTCTTATAAAAGTTATATATCGCTTAGAAAAAATTAAATGAACTCATATGAAAGCAAACTCCTCATAATTTGTGATATGATATGAAATTTTCGTTGTCCTAATATCTTTCAAGTATTTAGACATATAAGAATAAGACTCCAATGTGAATCATTGTTTGAAAAATGTATAAGTTATTAAGTTGAGATAATCATTTAAACTAAAGTTTTTTTAGGATCCAACCTATAGGTAAGACGTTAAACGTCATAAATCCTCTATAATGTTTGTTTCTACCATATCATGTATACTTGTGGTTTAGGAAATGTCATATAATTTTTAAATTGAATTACTATTCACTATCATTGATTGGTTTCAGTTACTATCTTATTTGATTTGTTTTTAGATAGAAGGAAGAAAATGTGTCTTCTCAATAATCTCTTAACAAATTATGGCATTCCTAATATTAGTCATAATGTTGTAAATGATGCTGGAGTTTCATTGTCATCTTTAATGCTTTGGGAGAAAACACTTAAATAAGAACTTTTCATATCAACTTTGTATTTCCTACAACATTGAATCTTTTTTTTTAGTTCTAAATAGAAACCCCAAGTGAAGGTTCATGATAATGCCTCTTTATGGTCTACTAATCATTTATTTAAAGCACATTGACCATTAATGACTTTTTGTGTATTGTGGGTTGGGATTCAAATGATGTCCTCCAAAACTTCTATTTATATATACAATCTTCAATTAAGGTCCCCAAATGTATGCTAATAGAAAATTATCCTAACTATCTTCATAGATGAAGCAAGAGATGAATAAATTTGACAAACATAGAACTTCAAATAAGAAGGATGAAGATGTTAAATTCTTCATAGATGAAAATTATTACTTTAGACACATTAGTCTAAGAGAAATACATATTTTTTAAAAATATAAGGATGCAAGAGTTAAAATTCAATTCTAAGGAGTATAATGAAAGAGTTTAACAAAAATAGAGAAATAAAAGCAAAGGTAAAAATAAATTATTTAACATGATATAATGAAAATCAAGAAAATAATGGGGTCTAAATAATAAACAATCTTGATAAATTATAGAGCCACCCACAACTTTGTTCAAACAAACTCACGAGTGAATTAATTTTTCTATTTAGAATAAAGATATATTAATTATTGATGCAATTGAAGTCTTTTTTGATCTATGTTGATTAACATAATTTGAAATTCTTAGGTGGATGAAAACATGTGCAACTAAAGTATCATAAATAACTATATATATTATAATATAAAAATCTGATACAATGAATGCTTAAAAAATAAAGCACTGTACACATTATCTATGTTATTTGAGAGAATAAAAAAGCAAATAACTGGTCATATGTGATGTCATCTGATAGTTATGTAGAAAATCACAAAGGAAGTAAAAGTTAATTCAAAATTGGTACTCATATATGAGGAGTAGGAATATTAAGCTAAGGTATGACCTAGGTACTTTTTAAATTAGTGTATTGTCTTATTAGGCCCAACTATTGATGTCACAATAATCAAAAGTGATTCATATAATATTGAAAGAATATCATGACAATGTGGTTGGAAGTCCTTTGGGATTTTAGAAAACTTATAATCATTTGAATAATAATTTTTACTAGATATGCATAAAAAGTATATGGAGTAACATGTTGTTTGCCCGCAACACAAAGTTAAGGTCTCTAGCAAGCGTCTTTAAACCTGTCTTCATTTTACTTCATGAGATTTTAAATTAATTGTAATTGATTGATATTTTTTTTCTCAATCATGTCTTACAAAAAATCTTCAAAAGGTAAGAAAGAAGATTAAAAGTTAGTATGTTGTATCCACAAGTAGATGGAAAATCAAAGAGCTTAATCATTGTTTGGAAACTTTTCTACACTATTTTTTCTCCAACAAATTGAAGAAATGGAGTCATTAGTTTGAGTGAGTTTGAATAAAACTTTTTGCTTCTGCACATTAAAGAATATTTCTGTAACACTGCATTTCACACATCAACTAATATTACCTTCCCTTTAAAATTTTTAATGAAGAGGTCCTCCAACCTTTCTTAGTTTTGGTATTAATAGCTGTGATGGATCTACATTGAGGACAAGATGAATTTTGCAAGGAAAGGGGGTGATGTTAGGCTGCATTAGCCGAGTAAAAGTCAAATGTACCACATGAAGGTTAAGTAGGAGTTAATTAAATAGATGACGAGGAAAAAAGACGGGAGAGTGGGCCATAAGGGAGGGGTTTGAGACAAGTGGTGTAGATGATTTTTTTTAGGTTTTCAGGTAGTAGCATAAGGGAAGAGAGTTAACTCTATTGAATGACTAACATTGTGACTCAAGTGCTATAGGGTTTGTCTTTTGAGGAAAATATAGTGTCATTATATATTTTTATTACAATAAATATATATTTTGTATCTTGTGTACTCGAAAATAATATCAATAACTTAGCATAACTTTTACATAAGTCTAAGTTATTCGAAAATGAATATTTTACAAGTCACTAATTACTTTTTTAAGAGTATGTGATTAGATAATTATCAATTTTACAAGTCTAAAATTAACTTCTTAAATAATCTAGAGAATAGTAGATTTTCTGAAGTTATGAGAAAATAAATCATGAAGAAAATAAAATAATATGCTTTTTGAAGCATGATTCATGAGACGGTTAAAAGTTTGAGGGATTGCTCTTACATCAAGTGTTGATGCATAAGAACAAAAGTGGAAGATAGAGATCATAAAATTGAACTAGTTTACTCAAACCCTGTACCAAAAGGAAAAAGGTATATGGATTCAAAAGCAATTAAATAACTCTTATTGTCTCACAAAATCTGAATTTACAATATTTGAATATGAGATAATTAGGACTTACAAACCCCAAATACATTGAAGAGCTCTCCTTTGAGCTCTTAAGTACAATTACTATGGGGGTTATACAAGTTTGTTTCTATGTTATTTTATGCATTTTCGTTTCAGGTCCTTACAAACTAGGCCAATTACTAAGACTCCACGAACCCTTCATTGTATATTCCCTTGGTATTGTCCAAAATACATGGTCAATTAAAAGAGAACAATAGACTTCTTTTCATGGATATATTATCCTAAAACCATTTATTATTATTATTATAATAGGGAGTATGGAAAAACGCTAAGCGTCATAAGTACGCTACGTGCCCATGGGTTAAGCGGCAAAGAGCGAAGCTTTGACAGATCTCCTCCCCTCCGTCGGTCTCATCCACAAGCCGGCGGTGGGGATGGCTACGGCGGCCGCTGAGGGAGATGGGGGCGCGGCCGGCGGCCTTGGAAAGATTGAGTGGCCGGCAGTGGAGGAGGAGAAAATTGATATCGGGGACCGGATTGGTCCCCCGGGATTTGCTGCTCTGCGTCGTCCAGACGATGAAAGTGTCGCCGTCGGTCAACCACGAGAGTTGAAATATCTCCCATTCCCGCCTGTGTTCGTGGAGCCTCCGTTGACCCTGGCTGGCCAGCGCCGACCATAAATCCGGCCGCCGACATACGCGTTCGATGAAGGCAACTGCTAGGGCATTTACAGCCGTCGGTCTGGCAATAACACTGTTCATGCGACTAATATCTATCAAAAAACAAGCATGAGAAGCAATTATTAGCTAATTAAAAAACTATTTGTAAATACAACCTAGTTATATTTGTATATAGGAACCCCTTTAATATATATTTATATATATAGAAAATTATTGACGATAGGGTGATTTTCCACCTGGATTATTCATATAAGAAAATTAAATTTCTTAGATTTTTGTAATATTTGGTTCGATGAGGTTATATGATCCTATGAAAATCAGCTATTTATGCGGTCATTTTTATTTTACGTATTATATTTCTGAGCTCGGTGTTCGATAGGCTGTCGGTCGCGGTTACAAGAAAAAAAATTCCCGTGGAAAATAATTTAATGCGAAGAACAGAGTATAAATGAAGTTTATCTTATGAAAAAATGGTGTACAAGATTTGGAAACCAAGGATCCAAGAAAGATGATGGAGTTCAAGCACGGGCCCGGAAAGAATGGGAATTTCCTGTGCCTCTCTTCTTCCCGCCAGCGGCGATCTGGGACCGGCCGGGAGGCCGTTACGTCGGTTGCCTAGACCATGTCCAGTGTCTCACTTTCGGCCGTCAGGCCTCTCCACCTAGGGCCATCTCCGTGGATGGACCACCGCCGGGGGAACTTTTCCCCATCTGTTATCTTGGAATGTATCCAATTCCACGACGAAGCAGCTCTCTCATGCCGAGGGAGGGCGCCCATATCCATATCCACATCCATCTCCCTTCATCTGAACCTACGTTATCGGCGTCTGATCCGGTTGCTCCTACCAGCACTGGTCTGTCTCCCACGATCGTGTCGTGAATCGGACGGAAGAAGGGGATCTCGAAGAGACCGAGGGAGGAGGACGGTCGCAGAAGGGAGGGGAGAACGGCGAACGCTGCCGCGGCGGTGGAGAGACCATCCGGCGGTCGTACTCGGCGCGCTTGTCGGGGTCGGAGAGCGTGGTGTAGGCGGCGTGAATCTTCATGAACTCGTCCGCCGACGCGCCCTTCCGATCCGCCGCCACGACGTCCGGGTGGCACGCCCGCGCTAGCCTGCGGTAAGCCGCCTTGATCTCGTCCCCCGTGGCCGCCGCCGGCACGCCGAGCAACTCATACAGAGATCCCGCCGCTGCAGCCGCAAAGCCACCGCCGGACACGTATCCCTTGGAATAGTAATACCGACTGCCGCCGAAACCCTCGCGCTCCCTCTCCGTGGCCGACGCGCAGGAACCTGAGACTCTGAAGTTCGGTGGAGATCCGATCTTCCTCACCGGAGCGCCGCCGCGGGACCGCCGGAAGATCCGCCCGCAGGTGAGGGAAGAGGAGGTAGACGAAGACAGAGAACTCGCGGCGTTCATGACGAGGCAGAGGAAGTAATGACCTGTTCTCTTTCAGACAGTCGAGAAGAAGGCTTTTGAAGGGTCTCCTACCCAACCCTAGTTAAGCCTCCTCAATAACTGGCATGGCCCACAGTGGGCCCATCTTGGGAGTGCTTATCCACTTCCCGGCCGACGCCGAGTCATCCGTGGCCAGACGAGGATGACGTGGCGGCAATTCTGTTCAAGAACCTCGAAGCGGATCCGGATCAGCCGGAACAGTTCAGTGACTCTGACGGGTACACCTCACCTCATCTCATCGCGAGCCGCACGTGATAATCCCGACCGCTTGAATAGTTCGTTGGCGACAGTTGGCAGCAACCAGCGAAACCGCGTCACAAGCAATTAATAAAATAATATACTGTGTGATTCAGAAAAAAAATAATAGCATGGTAGTTTCGTCTCTGGTCTGGGGCCCACAGAGAGAACCCGCGCCAGCTATAGTCCCCTCTGGGTTGGATCTGGGGAATCGGGGCTGCTCGGCCGAGTCAATGGCTCGGACCTGCCAGAGATGGCTCAGATGAAGAGCAACTTCCTTTTGATTCTTCTTCTTCTTCTTCCTCTCCCGCGCAGAGTCTGCTCGAAGCCCCCAAATGCCCGAACCTGATCGCAGGCCCCAACGCCGTCTCCCTTGTCTGGTCCAGAGCTTCCGCCGCCTCTGTGCCGAGGGCCGCCTCGAGCAGGCCGTCGGCTCGCTCCCCCTTCTCGCTCGGCGCGGAATCCGGCTCGACGCGCAGGCTCTCGCCCTTCTCCTCCAGCAATGCCTCCGCTCCCGCGCCGTCGGGCTGGCCCGCCGCGTCAATCTCCACCTCAAGCTCACAGGATTCAAGAATGCCCTCCCTAGCAAGACCTTCCTGGCGAATCAGGTCCTCAATCTCCACTTCGAACGCCGCCGGCCTGCTGATGCGCAGGATCTGTTCGATAGAATGCTGAAGAGGAATGTGTTCACTTATAACGTCATGCTCGCCGGTTTCGCGAAGCTCGGCATGGTCCGCTCTGCCCTCCAGATCTTCGAGAGGATGCGCGATGGCGACCGTGACGTCGTTTCGTGGAACACCATGATCGCAACGCTCGCACGTGGGGGATCTTGCCGCGAGGCAGTCGAGTTCTATGCCCGGATGCGTCGATCGTCGGGGATTTTTCTGAATCATTACAGCTTCTCAGGGCTGTTGGCTGCGTGCGTGCGGCTGGAGCAGACAGATCTTGTGCAGCAGACCCACGGCCAGGTCATAGTCATCGGATACCTGTCGAATCTGATCATCTCCAGCTCCATTGTTAACGCTTACGCAAAATGTGGGCGCATCAGCGATGCCGGGAAGATGTTCTCGGAAATGCCCGCTAGAGATGTGCTCACCTGGACCACCTTGGTCTCCGGGTACGCCAAGTGCGGCGACCTTGTATCCGCACGGAGGCTGTTCGACGAGATGCCTGAGAGGAATAACTTCTCTTGGACTGCCATGATCCGAGGGTATGCTCGAAATGGTCTGTCGCATGAGGCATTGCATCTCTTTGCCGGGATGCTGAAGGAAGGCGTGAGCCCAGACCAGTTCTCAATCAGCAGCGCCCTGTGTGCCTGCGCGAATATATCTTTCCTAAATCTTGGCAGGCAGATCCATGCGCTTCTCACCAGGACCCTCTCCAATCCCAATGCAGTGGTTATCGGCTCTCTCCTCGATATGTACTGTAAATGTGGGTGTTTGGAAGAATCCCAGAGGATTTTTGACCATACAACTTACAGAAAAAGAGACACTGTGCCGTAGAACACAATGCCCCTGTGTTCTGGTCAGCATGGTTCACGGCAAGAGGCAAATTAATGCAGTTCCTTGAGGAAATGATCGGTGTAGCGACGACTTTTTTCACTCGTCTCTCTGCTTGCTGTTCTTAGATTGTTGCAGCGGGTATTCAGATTTGGTGGACCCGTTGACCCGGGCTGGTTGTACGGAGAAAGCAGTGTGCCGTTCAGGGAAAAAAGATTCCACGTAGATCCGGTGGTCTGCTTTGGAGTGCGCCGTGATCTTGGGAGATGAAGCAGCTGAGCGCCATTATGTCCCACTTTCATAAATTTATTTATTTTTTGTATCTGTATAAATTCATAAATATGTTGGTTTTGGTAGGTGGGTTTTCTTCAGGCGGGGTAAAATTTCTCATGGAAGAGAGAGAAACTGAGAAAGATCAAGGCTCAAGTTGGTGTGGTATGTTGAAGTCGAAGGTGAACAACCCCTATACCTGCTTCGCTTGTGGAGCTCAAGGATGGAACCAGATTCCTTCACTCATTAGGGAAATGAGGCAGCCGGCTGCTGCATTTAAGCCTCAGCCCATTGCAACAGATGCCCCCTTATCATTTGGGAAGGTGGCTTTCTCTCTGTAGACCAGCTGAGATCTTCCACGGAAGAGAGAGAGAGGGGAAAAGAGTAAGGCCAATGCCTGAATGAAGTTGAGACCGTGGTTTTGACAATTTTACCCAGTAGAATCACTCGGCCACAGAGAAGCTTGACGGAGGAAACAATGTCATTAACACATGCTTTGCTATTTTTTGGGATCATAATTGTTCGTACCGCTCTTGTATATATTCCTTTTCAGAGCTTCATAATGGATCAGAAGGTCCTTCTATTTTTAGAATTCTTGACGATATCTTTTCTTCATCAGATGCATCCTCTGCATGGCGTCACATGGAGCTCATCACCTGTGGATGACGAAAGAACAAGTTTTTTTTGCCTTTAATAACCACAAAGGCTGCCTCTTCCAGGCTAAGCTGAGGAGCCCATTTCCGCTGCCACATCCCCCCACAAACCCATCCATCGTGGTTAGGTTACCATCAAGAAATCTATATATATATATGAATGAAACTGGTATTTTTATAGTATTTTTATTTAATGTTAGCATACACGTTGGAGAATAAAATAATTTCAAGATAAATGAAATCAGGTTATGGCTTGTTAAACTAGATTATCTCTGTTTTTTATCATAATCATAACCATGCTAAAAATAGATATTAAATGAACAACATGAGTACAAGCATCTTGGGCTCCAACTGTAATAGTCTTCCTCCCCCGCTCCCCGACTCCGAGCATAGAAGAATCGGCCGGGCTTTCTTCAACACCGAGCTGTACGGTCGGTTGATACGGCTGCATCGATTTCTTGTTCCATTTTGGTTCTGCTTGAGCTCCCGGGCGATGCCCGGATGGGGGTGAGGAACCGCTGGGGGTGGAGGTGCCTGCAAGGTTTTGGCGCGACGGGCGGCACGGCCAGTAGGGTGAAGCCGGAGGAAGCGCTGGAGGCGGGGGAAAGTGATGAAGATCGTGACGTACAACGTGAACGGGCTGAGGCAGCGGGTAGCGCAGCATGGCTCCCTCCTCAGGCTCCTCAACGCCCTCGACGCCGACATCATCTGCTTGCAGGTTGTTTTTTCGTGTTAACTTCGGATGATATCGTTATGATCGACCCTCAGAGCACGGCCACGGCAGACGAAATCCCTTTAACGACTTGCTAGTTTTGTTCATCTTTTAGTAAAAAAGGGATTCGGCGTGTGGAAAATGATTGATTTTTTGAATTAGGAGATCACCCCTGGTTAATGGTGATTATTCTTTGGATCTGTTCGTAGAGTCCAGATATTATGCCGTCCTTTGTACCCTCGTCCCAGCCACAGCGAACACGTACGCGGATTGTTTCCTAATCAGAATTGAGCGTCCCCTATGGCGTGGTGGAGGTGTTCTGATACGTTTCAATTTGTGTAGCTGAAATGCTGTTCGTCGTTAAGTCAGCTACATTTTCATGCCCCTTCAGCTTTGATTTCTTTGCTATGAGGCAGCTAAGAAAAATCCTAAGATGCTACATTTTAGACTCTGTGTTTCTCAACCCAAGCTTCTAATGAGCTATGGTACATTCAGTGGGTTCTACAAAGATAGCTGGCCGGTGATCCATTTCTACTGTAAATAACTAATGTGTGTTGACTTTACTATTTCTTTTTTCTTTCCCGCATGGTTCACATTTCTCTGGATAAGCGAATACTCGATCAGAGGCACCAAAGATGATAATTTTAGCCATTTGACGCCACACGACGCCACTAGTGGTTGAATTAGTCTAGCATCATGCTTGGCGCTTTTACTCTTGATTGAAGGTGTATCAAGTGGCATGCCCATTTTAGGGACAGCTTGGCCACCTTCATAATCTGGGTGTTCATTTTAGAGAACATGATGCCGTTGCATGGTTCGTTCTTTCAGCTCCTACTTCTTTCCCGTTATTTTTATGCTTAACACCGTCCATGTATTGGGGTGAGGTGTCGTATGTGTAATTTATTTTTTTCTCGTTCTGATTTTGTTCAATAAATTTCAGGAGACAAAATTATCTAGACAGGATCTATCTGCGGACTTAACTATGCCTCAGGGGTATGAGGCTTTTGTTTCTTGCACTCGTACTACTGAAAAAGGAAGGACTTGCTATTCTGGTACAGTGCTCAATGTCTTGCTAAAGTTTCGTAGGCATAAATTTCATCCTGTTCCATAGATTGACGTTTTTATGATTTTTTTCGCTTTTCTATGAACATTAGAAATATTTTTTCTGCAATGATTGTGTTTCTTTTTGTGCGTCATGCTCACAAATTGCAGCTATGACAGTCTCTGTCAATCTCAATATTCATTTACCCGCTTGTGTGGATAATGCAGCGTGTTTTTGTAACTCTTCTGTGTATTTTAGTGTACATTATAAGGATACAGATGACTTTAAGGCCATTTTATTATTTTTTCGATGGTGAACTAGTGACTCCAATGTTCTATGTACGACTCAGCATTGGTTGAAAATAAAAAGATCATGGACAGGTACTATGTCCCTCCCGCCCCCTTCTAATATAAGAGATATCTTGCCTGTACTATGTCCTTTATGTAGTTCAATAGAAAAACCTAAATACATTTTTTTTCGGGGAAGGGTGAGATTAATATCATGACTATTATAAATTGATTTGCATTCCTGTTTTGCCTTGTGGGTTGTCTTCATCTCTATTGACTTTCAGATGTTTCAGTCACCGAATAGTTGTATTCAAATATTATACTGCACTCACATGGCTCTGTTTTTACATTAACTTAGGTGTTGCAACATTCTGCCGGGTAACCTCGGCATTTTACAGCAAAGAAGTGACATTACCTTTGGCCGCTGAAGAGGGGATTACAGGCCTGCTTGGACAGTCTGGTAAAAGGGAGAACATGACAATGGATTTCTCGCTCGAAGGTCTAGAAGATGTAAAAAATGAAGATCTGTTCAAGGTAGATAGTGAGGGGCGTTGTATCATTACAGACCATGGCCACTTTGGTGAGTCAATTTTTTTGTATTTTAATATTCATGCATCCAAGTGAGATGGTGTAGTATAGATGGCAAAAATTGTGGAGGATACTCTTGTGAGTTATACATTGCAGTAATTTACTTATAGAACGAGGAAAACTAATTTCCATTTATGATGTACGATGTACAGTTTTGCTGGTTTTATCAATCAACAGGCTTATTTCTTGTCTGTTTATTGGTATATCATTGTGCTTGTTGGAGGCTTGGAGCTAATACATTATATGCTGCAGTTCTTATCAATATATACGGCCCTCGAGCTGATGATAACGATAAGGAAAGGGTTCACTTTAAGCATTTGTTTTTCAAGATATTACAGGTGAAGGAAGTTTTGATTTCATAGATCATATAAGAAACTTTCTTTGTAAATTACATGACTTTAATTGTTATACAATCAGTTATCTGCTCTAAACTAATTGTTTTTAAATGTCGTATTGTTGTGGAATTAGTATTTTATTTGTTGGTTTTTTGTATGTTTTAATAGATTGCCAGGAATATGGTTTACCAAGTCTGTCTGACTAAGGCCCGCTTGTTTGACCTTACTCCTTTTTTTGGCTTAGTCAGGGTGCACATAGGGATCCGCTGGCCTGACCATGTCACAAGTTAGAATTTCGATCGGTAGGAAATCTGGTTGATTGGCTGGACCCCTTTCGTTGACACTTGATGGCCCACCCATCCCCTCATTCTCCCCCCATGGTTCTAGTCATCGCTTCCCGTTACCCTGCCTGCTGCCTTCAGTGGCGGCGAATGGAAAAGGAATCGGGGATCAGGAAGGTTTGAAATGATTTATATTGTGATAATTATTGGAAATTTGTATTTTAAAGTTTTACTATCTCCGCATCTCCTTCTATTAAAAATATATCCACATTCTTATTACTGTAAAGACATCATTTACAAAAGTTGTACCGGTGAACCAACCTCCTAAGGTGACATAGGCACAAGGAAAGAGCAATAGGCCGGACCAACCCACGAGGACGAAACGGTCCCTACGTAACCAGTCATCCATAATATCAGATAAATCATTTCCTTCTTTGGTAAATCTACCAAGGGCTTTGCTCTTGAATTTTTTTTTTCTTTCTACGTTTTTTAATGGTGGATTCTGTGTAATTTTTTTCAACGTCTTCTTTTTTCCTTTGTTATGATGAATTTTCTTTTTGCGAATAACGGAGTTTTATAAATTTGGAATTATACTCAAGCTTTTTCTTTAAAACACTATTTTACTGTTTTGTAACCCTTCTTGTAGAGAAGATGGGAGTCTCTCTTAAGTCATGGCAGGAGAGTTTGTGTAGTTGGTGATTTCAACATTGCTCCAGCTGCGATAGATTGTTGTGATGCCCGACTTGGTTTTGAGGAGAATCCGTAAGCCTCTGTGCTCTCTCTCGCATCAGTTTTGCTTGACTCTTGCCATTTTTTCACAGTTATAAATCAGAAAATATCTGTTCTGCTTCATAAAAGTCTGGATGTTGGAATCCTCAATGGAAGTTTGAAATTTTTTTCCCTGTATTTCAGGTTTAGGAAATGGCTAAAGTCTTTACTGAGAGAATCAGGCGGTGCTTTCTTTGATGTATTTAGAGCTAAACATCCAAAAAGGTATTACAAAATTACTTATCCTTTTAAGATGTTTAAATTTTAAAGAAAAAAATAGTGCCACTTATCAGATTTTGCACAGTCTTACTCTTTTGTGGTTCATGACAATGAGCCATCGTTGGTATGCAAATGTGCATTTCCTTTGTATTCTTATTATTCATGATTTTCATCCATGATGTGAACTGACTACTTCAGAGAAGGTGCATACACATGCTGGCCCCAGAATGTTGGAGGGGAAGAATTCAATTATGGGACGAGGATTGATCACATATTTATTGCTGGACCATGCTTGCATCAAAATTATGATGGAGAAGAGCATAGTTTCTTCGGTTGTCATGTAAGAGAATGTGACATATTGGTGCAATTTAAGCGGGGGAAGGACAACATGTCCAGGTATATCATGATGTTGTTGTTCTACTGTTACATAATATTTTTTCTAAGAATCTAGTTTCTTGTCTATTTCAGATGGAACGGAGGGAGGTGCGTCAAACTAGAAGGCTCTGATCATGCACCTGTTTATGTATCGTTAGCTGATCTGCCTGATCTTCCAATACACAACACCCCGACCTTAGCTGCAAGATATGTTCCAGAGGTTCGTGGATGGCAACAGACTATTGGTAAGGAAGGCGTCTTTTGACTGTTTTCTTTCAATCTTATTGAAAACATTTTCTTGATATTTTTTTGTTTTTTTATGCCAGCTGGAAACTTTTTTTATTTTATTTTTTACATTGCGAATCCTGCTTCTTTATTGACAATTTAGCTCGTCCGACTTTTAATGTATGCATGACATGCGTGGATGATTTTTGCTGTTATGTGCATGAAAGTATACACGTTCCATGGAAGTTTTTATTGAGTTCCATTTGTATATATACAAACTTATGGATATATATATAATTTAGTGTATCATATAAAGTTAAACGACCTTGCGGTGTCTAATAAGACTGTGGCAGGATGCGGGTTTCATCAAAATTTCCATTTTTTTTGCCTTCCTGATTTTATTCTCACACGGGTATTAAAATGTTGACGTCGCGTTGACTAAAGGAATGTATTTCAGTAAGAAATGGTGGACAAAACATAATCATTAAACGCGCTTATTGAAGAAATGCATGAAAAATAGGCTTTCGAAATCGCTTTTTAAAAAAAATTAATTCACGGTACTGTTCATTATGAAACAAAATGTCCAGAAAAACTTTCATGCTGCGGTGAATTGTGCCTGTAAGTTTGATACAACCTGATAAAAGCAGAACGAGCATTCTATCACGTACTACTAGTCACATTTTTCAAAAATAACTGTCATACTACTGATTATGAATAATAACTCAGATATTTGAGGATTTTGGCAATACGTTGATGATTTCGCTATGGTCTTCGTACGAGGGTATTAAAGACAAATTTAGTTAGTAAGGATTTAATGGTATGTCAAATTGGAGAACTCAGCTGCCTTATCATCTGGTAAGAGGGTATGTGCTTGTTGATTCAGATGTCTCTTCTTCTCAAGCAATTATGCGTACTCCAAAATCACAATTTGGTTCTTGCCCAACACATTGGAGATACACTTCTGTTTGAGATGGCTCCGATATGGGACATGTAATGATGCTATAGCTACAGAACTACCAAACCGCCTACTCTCTTATCTGAACCATCATTGACTAGTATGTAGTGTGGAAATAGAGACACCACTTCTCTGATGTCAATATCAATCATTTCGTGTTTCCTTTTATATCTTTCATAGTGATGTGAGGCACTGAAATGTGAAAGAAATCGAAAATATGACGCAAATCTTGGGCAATTGTGACTAACTTGGACGTTGTTCATCTTTCTGGCGTTCATTTTGTCATTCATTCTTGTTCTATACCTTCCGTTGCTCATAAAATCTTCAAGTCCTCACCAGTTATTTATAGTTTCATCTGTTATTATCATTCTTACAGCAGTTATTTCTGCTACAATCTCTTAGAATTTCTAAATATTCCTTTGATTATCTGCTTACACTATTTGCTTCTGTATTGTATGCAGTACCCTTGCTCCTGAAAAGTCAGGTCCCTATTGACTTTAATAAACAGGAAATAAATGCTTCATCAACTGAGAACATTGCTGGAAGAGATGGTAGTGAAGCTGCAGAGCTTAGTCAAAATTGTATGGTGTCAGAGCATGAAAGTGAATCTTCCATGGTGCAGTGTCATTTTCAGAGTGTGAGACAGCATATTGGTGGGTCTGTTGATGAGACCGGCAAGTCCATGATCGCTGTGAGAGCTGGGAAAGGAAAACTGGGAACAGGAACCACCATGATTGGAAAGAAAAAGGAAAGGAGCAAGCATTCTCAACGAACAATACGGTCCTTTTTTCAGAGATGCGAGAGCATTTCGAGTGTAAGAGTGGAAGATTCAGGCAGTGATGTCTTACACTCTCATGTTCATGTTTCAGATCAGAAAGGCCAGTTATCTGCCCTGTTGAAGGGCCTAGATTCATCTTGTACAGCTCCCGAGGAAGCAGACAATGGCAGGGGCAGTGCAAGCAACGAGTTGGATGAGGTCTCTGTAGCCATATCCGATTCTCTTGAGCATGAGAAAAACAACAACGCACTGTTGGAGTGGCAGAGGATTCAACAGAGAATGCAGACTAGTTTACCTCTTTGCAGGGGTCACAATGAACCCTGTGTTGCAAGATTTGTAAAGAAGTCAGGTCCGAACATAGGCCGTGGTTTTTACGTCTGTGCTCGTGCCAAGGTACGCAGGTTCATATCATTGAACAACAGATCTTTTCTCTCTCCACCTTGTTGATCTCTCCCCTAGAAATCTTGAGCAGAACTAGAAATCTCAAAGAGACTTGTAGAACTGTTCGTAATATAATTTTTTTTCGTGTGTGTTAATGATTGTCTCGTATTAATACAGGGACCATCATCTAATCCTGAGGCTAACTGTGGGTACTTCAAGTGGGCATCCGGAAAGGTTAGGCAAAAGAAGACATGAACCCCTCTTGCTGCGATGAGTTATGCCTTTCTTCAGCACTCAATGGTATGGAAGTTCCAGGAGTAATCTCAGATTTGGATGGAAGGGATCAATTTGAAAGGGCACGGCTCCAGTCTTCTGCCACAGCGGCTGTCTGGGAAAAGAAGAGAACCGATGTATGAACCAGATGAGCAGATTACCCATTAAGAGGTGCGCGGCCATCCACATTAACATGACCTCTTCTTACTTCTTATTGTGAATGAGACCGAGCAGCATGAGATTTCACTCAAATCTACATGATATTTATCATTTGATTAGATCATTCTGCACATCTTCACATTTAGAAGCATATGTACACTGGAACAATAGTGGGGTGTAAAAAAAAAATGAACAACAAGGGAGGGAAGCTAGAGATAGAAGGGATCAATTGGGAAGGGCGGATCAACTCCATGTAGTCCATCAATCACATCCAGAACCCTTGTTCTGTCAACATGAACATCTAGGGCAGAGCTCAACTCTTTATTTGGAGAATTGCCATAGCTCAAACTGCGCGTCCTCCTTCCTTTTCTCACCTTCTCATCTGTACACCCATGGCTTTTGCTCCTTCTTAGGACCGCCCTCCTGGAGCCTAAGCCTTCCAATATCCTTCTGTCCTCCTCAGATAGTGGAGAAAGAGTGGAGCTTTTATCATTTGGAGACAAGGGCAAGCCCTTCTTTGTCCCTAGGGATGAGGGTATGTACTTTTGGCCATGATGGCGGACAGAACTCAGGGTCTTGGAGCCAAAACCCCTAGCCTTCACCTGCACTGCCAAATGGTGAAGCCATACTGCTAGTTGAAGGATGAACTCATCAGTCTTCTCCTTGTCGGCATGGTAAAGTGACAGGATGCGGATCACATTAGATTGCTGGGCGGACTTCTTGTTAAATTCAGTGCTGAAGAACAGAAAATTTAAATTTACCCTTAAGATCCAAAGACAAGAGATATACATATATAACTAAAAATGTGTAAATATGTATAAATGTAGACTTGTCTTTATTTAGCAGGTCAGGACCTAAAAATTGAGCTCAGAAATAAAAATAGGCTGTGATGAATCCCCACCCTATCCCCAACTCAAAGTCTGGGATCAGAGACTGAAAAAGAAGGGAGGGAATGAAATAATAGAAACCGGAAAGGACAAGTGGGCCTGACCTCATGCTTGCCCATTCTCCGACCCACCCAAATCCTTGATGTGCTCTGTAAAATAAGATTGGGAAGGCACACATGAGTCTAGGAGCACGTAGGAGATAGTTATCTTGAACATGAAATAAAGTTCGCACTTAGTTGTATTCTCAGCCATGGGAACAAGCCATTGGAGTATCTTCTGCATCGTGGCTTTGATCTGAACAAAAGATAACTACAGAAATACGAATTAGTGGTATTATTGATTGCAAGATTCAGAAAAGGAAAGGTACTGGGTGGCTTGCAAGAAAGACGTATGCGCAATATTGTCATGAATAGTTTCAATCATTTCCAACTTGCCAATGGGAGAATGATCATGGGATCTGGAATACCTCTTCGTTGACATGAAAAGATTGCAAACGAGGACGTAAGGCTGCCTTTACCGATGCTGGCAGACCATGATATATAGCGTCCCTTGTAGCAGGGGGGAGAGATATTGGTCGAGAAACCTACGTGCACAGATTTTTACGGAATCAAGAATCAGTTGAATGGAAATTACTGCTACGTAGACATGCACAAAATATATGATATTCATCCTTTAAGTTTTCTGACAATCATGGCTGTCCAACTACTATTCCCCTGTTGGGCAATTATGACAACCATGTTGGCAAAAGTAATGCAAACAAGGGATGTGGATCCAGACCATCGAGAATACTTAAAGAATGACAAAAAATTGTTGTTATATTAGGTCTCCAAGGAAATAGCATCAATATGATCTCATGCATTCTACTGTGCTTCTGATTGAAGAAATGTAAAAGGGAAAAACATTTGTCTTCACCAAGGTCTTCAACATTTATCATCATGGTATTAGAAAGTTGAGATATTCCATCTCAATATCCGTAAGGGGCAGAAAGTTTTCTGCGTGGAGAAGATTAACTGATTGTAGATAGTGACGTCACTCATAGAAATAAACGAGTCTGGGATAGAGAAACAAGAATGTTGAATAAGTCAGGCCGACACCCATTACTTTCTGTCAAATAAAAGTTTGAACGTGAAAGCCTTGTATTGTTCTAGAACTGTTGTTCTGAGTTATTTCATGCTTCTTCGGTGTATAGCTCTTGCTAAATGATGTGTCCTGCATAAGGAAAAAATATTGCCTTCTCGTAGAACTCTCTTGAATCCTATATACAAAGAAGCGCATGCCTTACCCAAAGAATTAAAAGAAAAAAAATCAGGAAATCAAGATAGAGAAGGTCCTATTTTCAGTTGCAGATCCTTGGACGAAGAGTTATGCTTTTCTTCCTTATTACAGGAAGAAGCCTGCCCTTTCTTTAAATTTCATTGTATCGGTTTAGTAAAATAAATCTTTTTACTGCAAGAAGAGTGCCATGCAAAAAAGTTGAATGCTATTCAAGCTTACTGCGTTGTCTATCAGGTTGATGATATTGGCATAATGCAAAGAGAGTCCCAAAACACCCAGTCTTCGAGGGGACTGATCTGGCTTGGCGTTGATGGCATTGATACCTGCGATAATGAATAAGGTTGTCAATGAAGTCTGTAGCATGTTACGACTCAGCAATCAGGCTTGATATAGTGTTCAATTTCTGGCTAAATTGATAAAGCCCTGTAATTTGGGCCATCATTGTGAATGCAAGAGGTAAGTAATTTCCCAAGATGCACATTTTAGGTGAGATATGACCAATAACGATGGAAAAAGCAAGGTTCTCATGTATGAATGAGTAAAGTTGCCCGAACTTCGAATTCAGGAGTGCTTATGGGATTTCAGAGATTGTGGAAAACTATTGTTGATATTTAGGGAAATATTTCCATGAAAAATATTTTTGACTCGTTTCTTCTTCTTGCCACTCAGCCTGAAAGCAGTGCCTCTTTTCGAGATTCAGATATAGACGAAGATATAACATTTTCATGTTGTATTTGGCTCCAGGAGACTCGAGTTTCGAAAAGACAGCAGCCTTTCAAACCTGGGGGCCACAGATGAACACATCGGATCAGGTGTACATTTCCCCAAAGATCACAGCCGGAAAAAAAACTTAGATGCCAATTTTTTCATTGGAAACTCGAGTAAAGGTCAGTATACTAGTTACGTTATCAAAAAGCAAAGAATTTTCTTCATATTTTGTGCGACCAAAATCTTTTATGTAATGTATAAATACGAAACTTCAAGGAAATAAGTTCGAACTTCAATAACAGATAACATGAAAAGAATCCCATTATGTTGTCTTAGATACCGGCTTGACCAAATGCCTCCAAAAACTCTTTATAGAGAGAAGTGATGATGTCAACAAGTTTCTCCACCACCTACAACAACCGGCAAAGCCAGGAAAAGTTGAAAAATATAATATAAATAGTGTCTATGATAGGAAACCATGCCAAAAAAATATTCATTAAATCCTAGCATGATAAAAAGTATTTGGAAACCAATTGCATTGTTCTGAACATTTAAAAAAATGGAGGTCTTCTATGCCTTCATGAGCTCCAAATTTATTTCGTTATTTTCTTAGTGGTGCAAATTTTATCTGAGTTTGCTTGCACCATCATGAGCTGGTTCTAATTTTCCAACTTTATAGAAAATAAGCTTAATATACAGGAAAAATTGAGCATCTTCAGTAATATTCAGAGGAAATGTTACCTCTTCCAAATTCCTGGACCATAGTGTTTTCTTCTTCAAACTCTCTACAAGCTTTCTCTGCTGTTTCAACTCACCATGCAGGGACATAAGACCCTCTCCTGAGTAGCAGACAAAAAAACGTTATTCATGAACTGGGGAGAAAGACTTTCCACAATCTGAAACTAAAAACCATTTCATGCCCAATTCTTTTCGTGGTTTCATCCATGAAGTAGAACAGGTCCCTCGGTTCTTAAGACTATTCCAAACTGATCGTCAGTCATTCCAGCTCTATTCTCTAAACATAAACAAGAGGAACCGAGAAAGAACAAATAGCTCACCAGCTACAAGACAATTCGAATGATTTACCTCGTCGACCAGTAGGCAGTGTCTCTTCTTCCTTAACCTTTCGCCGGTAATCGAGTTCAAGCCTGTCTAACGCATGTAATTCATGGTACAGTTCCTAGAAATAAGAAAAACAGACTACAAGGTTTTATTAAATCCCTGTAGAGATCTCTGAATAAGAAAGGCAGTTGAATTCATGGATTCAACTAGAAAAGAATCTTAATATAAGCCTGCATCATGTAAAGTACCTTTAAAGTTACTGCAAGGCAGACAAAAAAAAAAAGGCAAAACAGCAACAGGTCTCATGGAGCATGCAATCAGGGATGTGAATGAAAATTTTATGGAACTAATTATTGAAGATCTAAAATATACATACGGCTGTATGATCTGCCAAAGTCACAAGGTGCTGCATCGTTGCCTCTGCCTCTTTCTTAAGCTCCGGTTGGGGAGTAGTATCCAAGTCCAATCTGCATTCAGTAATCTACTTAGAATGGGTGTTCTTAAACTAGTGTCAGGTATTCAACCGCCAAAACCTCTGTAGTTTCTACCTTACTTTTCAAAATATCGTCTGAGGTTGTGCCATTGAGGGTTTTTGCACAGGTCCCCAAAGCGGACCACTTCTCTGCAGAATACATCGAGTTCGTCCCTACCAAGAACATCATGCAGGATAAAAGGCAGGATCATGCAGGAAAGAACTGCACAACGATTGAATAGAACCCATGATTTATGCACCTTTTATCGGCAGCGGCAATGGCTAGCAACTGATTACCGTTGGTGGCAACCAGATGTTTCACGCCTTCCGACTGCAGAATCTCGTTCTCCAGCAACTGAACATTCTCCCTTGAGAGAGACTCCATCAGGGCAGCACCCTTGGTGATCGTGTTGGCTACCTCAAACGCTAAGATGGAGATCTTGTTCCCTCGGTGCAGCATTCCAGGCAGAAACCTACTTCCGGCGCTCATATTTGTCATGCTGCTTCCGAGCGTGTCCAGCACTTCAACAGCCTTCTCCAGACCAAGGACGCCGGCTCTTCCCAAAATAGAGCTCATTTCTGGAACCTGTGTGAAGCAACCAGCGGTCAGAGGGTGCATAGTACGTATAATCTTGGCCTCGCAGCTAAGTCCAGTGACGAAGACAAGCTCACGACGACGTTTTTCCTCGCAAGAAACCCTGCGGATTTATTTTTATTTTAAAAAAAAATCTTCTGACCCTACGCTGATTCCGTGATTAGCATCAATTACAACGATTTATCCGTTTAAATATTATCAACCCCATGGTTCGGAGATTCAAGACCAGCCGATCTTGACAGGAGCGACGAACAGGCCGCTGATCCTTTCGCAGCCGATGAACTGACTTCCAGACGCACTGGATAAAATTCAAATTCGCATGCGCTTCGGGAAATCGAGCAAGGAGATGGAGGAGAGATGCACGGCGGCAGCAAGCTTACTGACCTTGCCCGCAGGAGCCCTGCCCGGCGACATCCGAATCTCTTCAGCGACGAAGTAAGAAGCCTTGCCGACCTTCCTGTCGTGGGCAGAAGAAAACCCAGAACCATCGGCTGCGACGATCAAGTGGGCGAACGAGGGGGCCTCGTCCCTCCTCTCCAGACCCGCTCGCTGGCTCGAGTAGACGCAGCCCATCCCCCCCGCCTTCCTATCGAATTCCTGCGTAGCAGGACACCGAAAAAGGTCCCGACCCTCCTCGAGCTCTCCTCCGCTCTTATCGCAAGCTCGATCGGTAGAAAAATCAGCAAATCGCCGTTTCCGGCGGAGAAGACAGGGGAAGGCGGCCCTCCTCCCCTCGCTGCTGATATGGTCGAATAAGCTGAGTCCAGCCCCAGGGGAGAGGCAGGGGGATGAGGGGGGGAGACCACGCCCTCAGAGCCTCTCTTCAGGGCAGTCATCTTCCACCCGCAGTCGATGTCACTAATTTCTCGCCGTCGTCCTCAGACGTCCATCCGCGAGCGCGTATGAACACGATCTGTCGTCTGCGGCGGGGGGCGGACCAACGGCACCCCTTCAAGTTTTCTTTTCTTTTTTTTTTTTGTTTCAAATCCTCCCCCCCCCCCTGCCGCCCACGGTCGTCGACCCGACCTCGTCCAGGGCTTCAGTGGCAGGGTTGCCATTTCTGAACATCCAACCTCTAAGCATCCATGGATACCCATCTGTACATACTTTAGAGAGAGAGAGAGAGAGAGAGAGAGAGGAGGGTCAGGCAGGAGAGAGTACAGTGGGCCCGGCGAGGGAAGGAAAAAGGGGGGCGGGGTAGGTGATGGAAAATGATGCCATTAATGAGGGTGGGAAGTCAGCGCCGAGGGTCAAGCGTGAGATAAGACCCTCTTCCTCGTCCATCCTTCCGACGGGGGCGGGTCAAACCCTACCACCTACCACCCCCCTCCTCCGGCCACTTCAACACCTTGACAAGTTACAGAGAAGAAGATAATGTAATAAAATCCCTAAGAAAGAACAGTGTTGCAACGACGGCGACACATCCCTCGAGCCCTCCCCCCAACACACACACACTTCTCGCATTCATTCGGGTACGAACCCTAAATGATAATCAAATCTCATAGAACAGACGAAGATTCCTCCTCCTCCCTCCCACCTTCAACAGGACGCAGCCAATCGAAACAACCGCAAAACTGACGGAAACAAACCGGACGCGACGAAGAAGACAGAAACCATCCACCAAAACTGTCAAACACCAGCCACAAAGCTCAAACTATCAAAACTCTCCCAGCGTTCCGAGGTCGGACCGGAAGGCGCATCTGTTTCAGGTGAAGGTTTCAACTGTCCTCCGCCGCTGCTTCCTCGCCGTTCTGGTATCTGCAATCGATGGACAAGGGTTCATCATCAGCGATGGACTGGCAGATGGCCGGGGAGAGGTCGTAGAGGGTCAACGACATCATCAAAACCCGGGGACTTCGGGCAGCCGGTCGTCTTCGCACATCCAAAAAAGTGATACCCACATGTTTAATCAGCATAAAAAAAAAAAAACTAGGGTATGACGATCACATGTTTAAAAAATCTTAACACAATATGATAGTACCAAGATCATTCCGCCGGTTTCCTGAGAAAGGAACAGCGCAACATAAAGCACGCTTCTGAGGGCATTACCAACACAAATTAACCCAACAAGCTTGACATTTAAAAGGATCAGAGATTGTGGAGGCATGAAAGAATAGCAATCGACCAGGGAAATATGTTTATAAGTAAGAAATCCCAAGGAGATCTTTGCAACATCAATCCATTGTTGAAAACCTCTGAGCTATTAACTTTGAGTACTTGCTTGGAAGCTCGGAAATTTTTGAAGTTTCAGGAAGCCTTACATCTCCACAAACTAGTCCATGCAACCGGTACATACAAACATGACTTTACTACGCACATTTCAATATTTGTACATATATCTGTGATTAAACAGTTATGACATGCACAACTGTTTGGAGTATATAGACATTATGCATTGCATGGGAGACGATACAAAAGAAAAAATTTGGTCTGTAACAGCTGACTCGTGGTTCCTTCTTTTTCCCTACTTGAAGAAGCTTTTCTTTGAATAGCCAGGAAGGTCCGGGACTCTAATTGGATGAACAGTTCCTTTCTTCCATTGATCTGGAGATAGATGAATAAAAACTAGCTTCAACCAAGGATGGAAGAGCACCCACAACACAATCCTAGACATTCCATCCCCAAACAAGTTGAAAACACACCCACAAGCATTGGGTCGTGCCACCTAACGCTAACTCACGAGCTACCACCAATTCATAGAATCAATCCAAAATAAGACGTCCAGCTTTGAAATTTAGAACGAAGAAATTCCGGAAAAACGAGGAACTATCCCATGATTCTACATTTATCTTTCAAAGGAATTCAACAGAATGAAGACGATGAGGGAATGAGCTATCTGCAAACCTTGGTTCAGAAGTAGCAGATTCCACAGGGTCCGTTTTCCTCCAAGTCCTCTCCGTTTTATCATCTGGTTGGCTTCCGGGTCCACCCCCTAATCCAAAACCTTTCTTCGAGAAAGATTGTCCCTCACCTCCAACAGAAGCAACCTCCCGAATTTTCATTGACTCAAGTCGCTCATCAATCTCCTTCCAGTCTTGTCCTTTCTCTGCCAGCACCTCCTCCCTAGGCCGAGCTGCACCGAACGGGTTCAGCCCCTTGCTTTTAGGAACTGGCTTCACCTCTTCACGGTGCTCTACAGTATCATTCAGCAAATTTTGCCCCTTCTCCGAAAGAACTTCCTCCCTAGGGCGAGCAGCTCCAAATGGACTAGTCGCATTGCCTTTAGAACCCTGAACCTGTTCCCCGTCGCCATTCGCTAGAGGCAGAGTTCGCGGCTGCAACCTGAGTCTAGGCCTCTCTCCACCTGCATCCTCTCTTTTCCTCCCCCAAGATTCGGAATCTGGGTCCCCACCACCGTTCGGAGCGGGCGCGTCCCTATTGAACATATCAAACCCTCTCCTCTCCCTGAATCCATCACCCATCCTGCGGCTATCAGGCAACGGCGGCGGCGCACTCTTGTTGGAGACCCAGCTGTCAAGGTCGTCCACCCGAGACTGAGATTCAAAGAATCCTCCGGTCCTCTCTCTCCTTTCCGCAGGAGGTGCTACTGACCTCTTGTTTGCGCCCCAGTCGTCAATCTCATCGGCACGAGAAGGCGCCAGATCTCTGTTCGAACCTTGGCCTCCACCGCCGAAGCCGTTCCTGCGACCCTCGTCGGAAACCCTAGAGGAATCCCAACGTGAAACTGAATCCTCGCCGTTCATTCTGGAGCGCCCGCCACCATAGGAGTTGAATCCGCGGGAATTACCGAGCTCTAGCTCCTCCGCGGTCCGTTCGCGAGGGGCAGTAGGAAGCATCAGACGCTCGTCATGAGTCAGGCCCTTGGAAGGCACGAGCGGGGACCCGGACGAGGCCAACGAACGAACCTGGAACTTGGCGGATCCGTGGGTCACAGGCACACCGCCATTATTGAACTCAGCGAGGGAGATTGTCTGCCCCTTCTTCTTCTTGGGTATCTTGGTCGACGCCGCTGCCGCCAGGGAAGGAAAATCGGCAGACGGCTCCACCGCGGGGGCAGCCGCAACCTCCTGCTCCCGAAGAACCTCCATAGCTTCTTGCTCCTCCGACTCGAGAGCCCACGCTCCAGGTTTCCCCCACGCCGACACCGTCGTAGCCATCTTCTCCTCGCCCGAACGCTCTCTCCTCTTCTCCTCTCTTCCTCGCTTGGACGCCCCCTTTCTGCAATTCTGCGGTCTCCGTGGGACGGATGCGGATGAATAAATAGGTGGGGAGAAGAATTAGGGAAAGTCTTTTAAAAATTCCCTTTTTATTCTGGTTAAAATCGGGCTTCCTGGGGGCAATCTCAGCCGTCCGATGGAGGGCGCTCCACTTTGGCCTCCCCAGCCCATTGGAATCGCTACCCGCTCCCCCCCTCCATGCAGCACGGGTCCCGCGTGTGGGCCTCACTCTCGCCACGTACTAAGTAATGGGCCAACTGCACAAACTAATCCAAACTAATGGGTGCCGGAAGCTTCTGACCCACTAGCGAATTATTGACCCCTAACAAGTAAATAATATAATTAAGTAAATATATAAATTGAAAATGCTATTATTTTTGTATTACTTTCATGATTTATAGCGGCATATTGTCGAAAGAAGAAAGAATGGAAGTAAAGTCGATTAATGTAAAATAAAGTCGGACACTCGGAACGGCGGGCGGATCTAACGAGAGCTTCCTTGTCGGAACAGAGGAACTCTGAGAAATGGAGGAGCTGGGGAGCTCAATCGCAGGCTCAGATTCGGAGGAGAGGCGCCGCCGCCGCCGCCGCTGGCCGGCGGCAGGCTGCGCTTTAGCTCCATGACGGCGGCGTGCAGGTGAGAGAGCTCCTCCGCGCCGAGGCCGTCGATGGGGGCCTCCCACCGATGAGGGCGCGTCGTTCTGCGGGCAGCGCCCCCTATGGGGTACGGCGGCGGCGGCGACGAGGCGGGAAGGCGGAGGAAGCGATCGAGGAGGAGGTCGACGGAGGGGTGACCGAAGGAGAAGGGCTTGCCGCCGGGGGAGAAGACGACGGCGGCGGCCTGCGCGCCGCAGAGGACGCAGAGCTCCGCCACCTTCTTGAAGAGCCCCGAGCGGCGCTTCGAGAAGGTCACCTGGCGGGCGTCGTTGCTCTCGAGCTTCCTTATCTCGATCTTCCGGCGGCCCTTCCCCCTTCGCCTGCCGGCATCCATCGGCGGCGGAGGAAGGCGTCGAAAGAAGGGAGCGGGGGTGGGGTGAGAGATAGTCTAGGAAGTGGGTCCTCGAGTCTCGTCATGTTTTAGGAAGGTCCGCCCGGCAGCGGGAATCATGGCGCGGACTAATAACGTAAGGTAGAAAAATTTCTAAAAAACTCTCTCAGCATCCTGCCAGAGATTTTTACCTCCAATCCTGCATATGAGCTTGATTTCAGAGCCAAAGGTGCCCCTTCCGCGGATGCTGGTGAAGTGTGGTACCTGTAGAAGTATGAAAATTGATGTTTGGTCATATTTTCCATGAGAGTTTATGGTCACTCTGACTGATCATCAGTCTTCGGGTGGTACTCAGTCGTCTGACATGGTTTAAACTCATGCAGCTTGAATAATTTGTATTAAAAACACTCAAGAATATACGATCTCAATGTTGATAGTCACACAAAGCTGCAAGTGAAGATTAAGGCTAATTCCTTTCACCGTGAACGAGTGTCTTGTAAACTAAGATCATCATGTGAAAATCTAATCATAATAATATAATTATAATGGAGCAAGAATTTTGTTTACTATGCTTTAGTTTATCTTTTTTAAAAATATATATTTATTATTCAAAGAGAAAAAAATAAATAGAATTATGAAAAAATAACATTTTACTGTTTTAAAATACTAATTAAAAAACAGGACAAATAATAATTATGTTTGTTTCTAGTTACTTAAACTACTAAAAGACTATATTAAAACTAAAAATGAATAATTTTAGGTGAGAAAATAGGGTAATTGTAATGGGACTCCTGATGTTCTAGGAAAATCACTATGTTAAAAATAGGATAACACGAATAAAATAAAATAATTGTATGTGACTTTATACTTGGAAATAATTATAATATATATATTATAAATTGCATAATAGGATCAAAAGGAGTGAGAATTATCTGGTTCAGACTTTATTTAAGTAGTTCACTTTATAACTTTAAACGTAACACTATGCATAAGATGAAGATAATTATTTTTATTGAATGTGATTATGTCTCCAAAAAAATAAATCTGATTGCAATGTTGAGACATGTTTTTATTACACCTGAGTGGAATTTGATCTGGAAAAAAGATCAACAAAGTACATGTAGCATTGGATTACATTTTCAACCATCCTTCAAATGAGGGATTACATGCTTGTAGAGACTATTTTTATTGTCGTCTTTGCAACATCACCCATGGTGTCTAGTTTCTACGAAGGTTAGCCATTCACGTTTAGAGTCTAATTAATTTCCTTTAAAATGAAATTACCATAACTTGACAGAGAATTTTATTCTTAATTATGCAGAGATCAACCAGCCACAGATTTGAAATTTCAGATATGTCGCCAAAATCAGCCTTCAAAAGAGGGAAAGCCATCCAAGGGATGCACTTTTTCTACTTTTAGATGCACAAGTGGATGGAAACATGAATAAATCCATCAAAATAAATTGACTGATTATATGGACGTCTATGTTGCAATCGAAGATATTTAAACAAACCCATGCAATTATGTAACAAGCAAGCAAACGAATGGGTGATAAGATCATGCCTCTAGTTGTTGTCTTATTAAATGATCATCCTGTGGCTTGAATAATATTATTCGCACATATACTTTAAGCTTATTATATTTTATCTTGGATTCTTCACGGCAGATGACTAATTCCTTCGTCATAATCGGCATTTGATACCACTTAGTAAGCGTCTTACCGGGAAGAAAGAGATAGAGCAGGCGACAAGAAGCGTCCTCGCCTGTGATCCTATCAAACGGAGTCAGTTTAGATGATCTTTTTCGGGAAATGTTCTTCAGCTTGGACGAGTAAACGACTCCGTTGCCTCCGAAAAACAGAGATGCGGACTGGCAACTCGTCGTCATGCCGTCCGGGCAGTCCCAAAATGAAAGCAGACATATCAGAGGCTGCACACAATACGCATGAATTTTATTCTCTTTCTATGTCATTGTTATATTTAAATCATGAAATAAGATCAACCTATGATGAATAACTGATCTATTCCAAATTAAAATATACGATTTCCAGAAATGACAAACTGTTTCAGGAATAGTAACAGTCTTACCAATCATTTGTCGAGTGTCCTGGCAGCGCCGTTGGGGCCAAGCTCGCAGGCCACCGCTACCGACCTTTCCGCCTGGCGTAGTGCCCATGTCGCTGGAAGGGATCATGGGCAGTGTCACGGGGATCCGTCGAAGCCCACGAGAGGGTTGTCACATAGAGTCCTAGGCCTTCGGACGCCTCCCGCTTCGTCCTCGTCGCCTGGCGCCGTCGGCGACGACTCCCGCAGAGCAGAGGCCGTTGGCATCGGCCGAGGAACGGGAGAAAGGGCACGCCGCCGAGTGGAAACTCGTGCATCTGCACGGAGCCATTGCGGAGGTGAAGCCTTGCTCGAGACTGGTGAGCTAAGGAGACAGCCAGTTTCTCAGATTTATCTACTAATTTTTATTCTTTCCCTTCTCTTCTTTCCCCGGAGAGACGAATCTGGGGCCCTGGCTGACGATGTGGTGGTGGGATCTGCAGCTCGGAGATTGCATAGTTCCACTTGATGGTGGTTACTCTCCTGCAGGAGTTGGAGTTGAGTTCGTTCTCTTCTCTCCGCCGAGGTGGTCACATGGAGATGCGCGAGCTCCTCCATCCCAGGGCTCTCGATCCGCGCTTCCCACTCGGCGCAGAGGACTCGGTCCATGATCCCGTCCACAGGGGGATCTCCGAAGACGTTGCGCCTGCCGCCGGAGCTGAAGGCGACGACGGCGGCCTGAGCGTCGGAGAGGATGAAGACGAAGACCTCAGACTGAGAGAAAGCCACCAGGGCGCTTCACCGCTGTCGATACTCTTGACCTCGATCTTCCTTCGGCCCTTCTCCCCCTCACTTCCCATCCTCCATCGCACCAGATCCTCTTCGAGCACCAAGACGATCGACAAGGAGATCGGCCGAGGTGGGGGGCGGGAAACGGGTGAGCACGATTATTTATAGAGGGGAGGTGACTCACACGTGCATTAGGCACGTGAGAACGAGAATACCAAGCCTTCCTCTTGATCGTGGCAATAGAAGGCAGGTTTAAAGAAATTATATGCTCTAATCTCAACCGTCGAGGACTTTCCTTACGCTTAATCTTTATCGAACGGCTAGGATTTGTCGGGCAACGAGAACAACTATGATATCGGGGTCGGTATGGCTTCGCAGGCCTCTCTCTCTCTCTCTAGGGTTTATGTGCCGCTATCATTGGGCTTGGGCGCGAAATCGGGGACGGGGGACGGGGGAGAGAGAGAGAGGGGGGGAGGAGGGAGGCCATCCAGTGACGCGACACGTGGCATTAGAGCTTATTATTATTTTTGCCGACGATCGCCCTTTACTTCTCTCCTCTCTGCTCTCCTACCTCTTCGCGGCTCAACACCCTCCTCTCTCTCTCTCTCTCTCATTCTCCCCTTCCCAAATCTATCCCCTATAGAGCTGCGAACTCTGCGCCGTCTTCTCTCTGTGTTCCTCCTTCAGTCCACCTTATCGATAAACCCTATCTGAAGTCGTCCTCCTTCCCCCAGCGTCGTCCACCGCCGCCATGGAGGGGGAGAGCGCTGCAAAGGAACATGAGGTGGCCGGAATACTAATCAAGCTCCGGCGGTTCATTTGGGAGGCGGATCGAGGGACTCCCTGCACCCACAGCCTCCGGTGGGGCGCCCGGAGAAGGAGATCTGCCGGCGGCGACGACCCCCACGCTTCCCGGCAGGCTTCATCTCCTCCCGCGGCTCCTCCTCCTCCTTCTCGTCCTCCCGAGCCACTCAGTAAGCGACGACGGAGAGATGCCTCGAAGGCCAGAGCCGCCGGAGATTCCGAATCTCCGGCAAAACCGCCGCCCGTCTGTGTGCCTCCTCCGGCGGCCTCCAATCGGAAACAGCCGCCCGCCGCCGCGCCGGAGACCTCGAGCCCGGAGACGCCGCTGGACTTCTGCCCCAGCGGGGAGGAGCAGCCCGAAGCCAAGGCAAAGACCCGCCCCTCCGCCGCCGCCGGCGGAGCCCCGCGCCTGAAGAAGCCGAGGATTAAGCACGGGGAGGTAGCTATCAGATGCGGCGCCCCCAACCTTGTCTCCTCCCTCCACCCGGTCTTCTGATGGAGTTCCCTTTCTTCCTTTTTTTTTTTTCCCCCAGTTGCTCTCCAACCAGGTGGAGGTGTCGAACCGCACCAGAAGAGAGCTCGAGAAGGTGGGCTCTTCTCTTTCTTTTATTTATTTTTCCATATTCTTGGGATTTTCCTCCTGCTTTCTTGGATTTGTATGCTCCGTTGATTTCTCGTCGGGAAATCTGTTTTCCTTTTTCTGATCTTCTTCCTCCGCAAAATCAGGAGGCCGCAGAGGTGAGGAACCGGCTGGAGGCTCTGAAAGAGAGGAATTCCATGTTAAAGGAGCTGAGATTAAAGGTACATTGCCTGCTTTCATGAGTGATTTTATGTGGAGAGCGGTGTTACTGTTGCGATCTGCTCTATTCTACGCCATTAATGCGCTCCTTCAATGTCCTTCCTCCCTCAGAGCTAATTATTTCCTTGTTTATTGTTCCACCCTTTGATCGATTCGATTTTGTTTCCCCATTTGTTGATTGATGCGCGCAGCTGGAGAAGGAAACCAGCCAACAGCGACAGAGATCGCCGGAGCAGGAGCATCGGGAGAGCTGCTCGGATCTGCTTCCGCCTGCCCCCGTTCTCTCCGCCGCAGCAGCGGCGGCGCCGCCCGTCGAGGAAGACATCCAGGTCCAAGCTCCGGTCCCGCCGCCGCAGCCGCCGCAGGTCTATCAGCAGCCATGGCCCCAGCACTGGGTGAACAACCACGTCGTCCTCCACCGATCGGCGGCAGGCGGCCACCATTGGAGCTGGATGGCCTCCCCGATGTGGAAATTGGACGGCGACAAAGATGCTTCCCCTGCGAGCAATCTGCCGGACCTGAACTCCGTCGCCGATAAGGATTCCGGCGAGGAGTTCCCTCCTCAACACCCTCAGGGCAACTACCACCATCACCATCATCAGCAGCACCAAGAGCATCACCAGCAGGGGCAGAGGAGGGGCTCGCTGGAGGAGCAGAGGGCAGCGAGGAAGAAGCGGATCGAAATGATCCACACAAGGAGGAGGATTGCCGCCATGAGATGACACCTCAGGGATCTCCCCTCCTCCTCCCTGATTACTCTCACACATACTACCTCTGCTACTACCACAATAGTTAGGGTTTTTGGCTGTAACATACCTTCCTCCTCCTCGCCGACCACGGAGACGAACAGGCTAGGAGAATCCGGTGGCCAATCATCAACCGGCGGCGGGAGGGGGGAGGACTCCCACGCTTGAGATTGCTCTCTCTGTCGGCTTCTTCTTCAATACTTATTTTATAATTAAAATATATTTAGTCTAGGTTTGCTATTATTTTTACGACGGAATGGGCCAGATAAAAGGAAGGTCCAAAGGGATTTAGTTACTAATCAGCCCGTTAAGCAGAAGTTGCTATAGGCCAAGCAGAATATGGCCCGCGGGCCAAACCTCGCCCTCGTGTTTATTTTTAAGAGGGGGAATGGATAATTGCGGGCTCTGCCTTCTCCAAGAGTGGGCCTGATAGGCGGGCTCCGGGCTTTACCAAAAGCCCACCACCGGAGATCCAAGTAGTGAAAGGCTGGTGTTCAGCCTGCAACAGTGCCACGTCAGAACTTAGATCCGAGAAAAGGGAAATATATCCTGGGCGGTGGATGAACAAAATTATTTCATGGTCAACGAGTGATGAAGCGGGGAGTGGGGCCCACATGTCATGCCCATTTGCCCTTTGTGTAAGATGAAAATGGGTTCGGATTTATATTTCGATGCGTTGACGTAAACTAAAGATAATGACTGCGAGAAAGAAAAAATTCACCATTACAGTTGGTCGCATTCACCACAGAGCAGTTACTCGCTTGGGAAGTGAGAGGTTCGCAAGCTGAGTCTGCCTTCTCAGGGGAGAAAGGGGGTGGCCGCAGCCGGAGAAAGGGAAGGAGAGAGGGGCCGTGGAAGAGGAAGAAGAAGCAGCTCCTAATGAGCTTGGGAGTCCTGCTGCTAGCTGCTACCCACAGAGGCTACTGGTTGGGCACTTGCTACCCACCCACCCTTTCTGACATCTTAGACTGAACGATATACTTATCCCCTTAAAACAGTGATAAAAACATTTTTTTCTTTCCGTTTGAGCTCAATCGAGTTATCCCATTGGAATGGCTGATCTGATCTACATCTGGGTTAGGATGGGGCCTCGCTAATCTGGCTACCTGATTAGATCCAGCCCTGGGTACCATGGTTCTTGGTAAATAATTATATTACTGGAGACAATGCAAACATGTAAAAACTTTATACCACTAAATGAACAGTTTATTTCCATATATAAAAATCCTCACAATTTAGATGTTCATCTGGGTGGGTGTATTTTATTTTATTTTTTTATTATCATTAATGTTCATTGTGATCAGATTCCCATTAGATTTGAGCTACGGAGAAAACTCCGACAATGCAAAAATCAGATGAATAAAAACTTCGATTATGCTTCATATCCAACTTCATTTCAAGCCCAAAGTGTGGAGGGGAAGCGGGAAATACCTCAGCATGAACTCCGGTGAGAGTGCGCGATTGGATCTCCCTTTCAACCTAGCTTGGTGTTATAAATCAAAATCCAATGCCTTCAAAGGTGGAGAACAAAAGCATGCATTTAGAAGCGACAAAATTTATATATAAATCAATCGACAGTACAAGGATAGATAGAAGGCTCACATCTATGAAAAGGAAGACTACATTCATAGACTGTTATTGACAAATAATGGGTAAATTTCTGGCTGAGACCTGGCTGAAGTAAATTTTTTTTTTTTCAATTTTTTTCAGATGCATAGAAACCTCACATCAATAAACCCGGATGATTTTCGATGATGAAACTAACTTAGGCATCATCTAGCAGTTGAAAGAAAGAGCGAGCTCGAACTTTAGGCTTGAGCTTGTTGAGACAGTCGGCCGAAATGATTTTAGGGTGGAGGGAAGGGTGTACCAGTCTGATGATTATGACATCCTAAATTGTGCCTGAAAAAAAGTGCGGAAAAGGGTCAACATTCCGATTTAGCCGAGCATTTCGCCGACAAAACAAACAAGGAGCTGGAGTTCATGTATTTTAGAGAACATATATGACCAGCCATCCTATAAAAGTAGGTCCTTTCATAAGAAAAAGCACATAAGAGGAGAGAAGTCGGTCGGACTGTTTGTTAAAAGCACTTCTAAAAGAACGAACTTGGTGAGGTTTTGTATCTGCCCGTATCCCTGATATTGAACATGACCAAAAAGAGCAACTCCAGGAGTAACAAGGAAAATAGATCCGACATTGAGAAAGCCACCTTGCTTCTACCACTTCAGTAGCGCCGTTGCAGAATGTACTCTCAAATGGAAGTCTGTCAATCTCGTAGAGGATTGTACCAACGAGATCAGGAGATCCAGGCTGCAGTTAAAACAGTGTTCAAAACTTTGAATTATAACTGAAGTTTGGAGCCCATAAAAATGCCTAGGAAAGGTGCATTGGATGTGATATTTACAAGAAACCTATGAAAGTGTAGGGGTATGACGCCTGTGCAGAGGAAGGAACAACAGCATTGGAAAATTCCTGAGCCTCGAGATGACATAAGGTTAAAAAAATCAGGTCTCGAAGACAGAAATGACGTAGAAATGATGAAAATATATCAAATTCTACTAGGGTCTACGCCATACATCTTATGGAAAAGAATCATCGAATTCATTAGATTCTGAGGTTAATCCCTGTCTTGAAAATATATTTACGGAAAAAATGGTTGAGAGAGGAGAAACCTGACAAAACACAGCAAGGATAAGAAGCAGTCCTCGGATATCATTATTTAGTAACAAGATGCATCACTGTCTAGAATTATGAGCTTAGATAGGGCAATTCAAAACATACTTTGGGGAAGCGAGAACATTAACTAAAATTGTGAGGGGAAGGGGAGTAAAATTATAGGACCAATGTCTATCATTCATTTTAAGAAATTTCATTTCTTATGCTAGCAAGATTCTGACATGTTGTGAATCTTGTTATTCTTGTTTAGGTTCCAATGCTGGGGACGAATCGTATCATACCTTTAAAAATGTCAGAACAGACGCTTGTTGATGTGGCTGATTAAAGATTTCAGATATGATCCCCAATTATGGCCTATCAATGGACTAATGAACTCTTTTGCCTTTCCTTCCTGCAATAAAATCAAAAGCTATGTAGCTAGTTAGAATCGTCAACTATTTCATCGCGTTCTATCGCGATCCAGCCATTACTTACATTGGCTGCCTTACGATGGCACAATTATACTAATCTAAGAAGGCAATTGAAGGGAAGAAGCTAAACATCACCTTGCAGAACTTCCTCCCAGTTCCATCTTACCTTCTCTCCAAAATGAGATGCCATCTCGTTGCCCCAAAATATCAACATTTTCCCTTTTTTCTCCATGGACGTCCACAGTATGGAACCCCCAAGACGAAGCTAGTGGGATAAATACATGATAGCCCACTGGGGAGAGAAGGTTCCGTGCTAAGACTGAACAAGGAAGTGTTGATCTGTTGATGATCAACACTTGCAGACTGAATAGACGGTGTTAAGTCTGTCTTTCTTACAGACTGAATAGACGCTTGATCTGTTCATGATCGTTGATATGATTTGAGTCGAGATTCGGGGATCGCAGTTAACTTTCTCGATCACGACTGAACAAGATAATAAGCGAAAACAATAATCAATAAAAATATTAAATCCTCGAAGAGACTTTTCTTTCGCACACGAGAAAATTCCTTTGGATCTGGAGTGAATCGTGGAAGAGAAACAAAAGGGCGAGACGGAGAGAACGATGTAGAAGATAAGCTTGATAAAGTACACATTAAGCCCATGGGAATTAACGGAGATTAAACAAACAAGTTTAGAAGAGCTGTTACGTTCAGACACTGAAGCGTATGAGAGCGGTTCTTCTCCCACACCGAACACTTCTTCTAAATCCTAACGACAGACACGCGGCGAAATCCGAAGGCCAAATGCACGTCAGAAAACAGGGAAACGGACGAAGATGGAGAGCCACGGCAGGAAGTAAAAAACCGAACAACTCGAACAGTCCCTAAATCGACACTGAATGAAGATGACAAAATGATGACGATGGATCAGTTATCTTCAGAGATCGAAGCCCCCGAAGAGCTGTTCGTCTCAGAGGCAAGGCAAATTCTTCGAGATCCTCACGGTGTCGCCGACCACAGCGGCAGAACGGAGAGCATATGTACCTCGGAAGACGGGAAGAGGAAGGCGAAGAGGAGCGCCGGCTATCTGAAGAAGAAGAAGAAGAGAAGCCTGGTAGCCATGGAGGTCCGTCAACCCTCCACAAGCGCAACTGACTTTCCCGTGTAGCAGCATGCAACGTAGTCGGGTCACAGACTCGATGACCTGGCCTCTTCGATGAGTTGACCTCATATCAAAATAGGCAGCGAATAAGAAATCAATGGACGAAAAAAATCCCGCCTCGCGAAAAGGACGTTTGGCTAGGAATAACTTAAGGCACACTCATTTTATTATTATACTGCATATACCCCTGTACTTATATCCCCATATAGATACGAACAAATTTCCATATTTCGCTAAAAATAGTATAACCTATTAGGCGATAGGATTATTTTATTAGATATATTTATTATTAAACAATATTAATTTTAGTCAATTTTTGCATATTTTAAATGTGGTGAAATTAACACCTGATGATTTTTAAATCTCGATAAAATCCATTTTCAATGTATATGTAAATATATGTGTTCAGGAAAGTCAAAACACCAATCTCATGCCTACGGCTAAATGGGCCAGACTTTTCTTTATCCCTCATAGGCTCAGGCTCGGCCCACGAACAACCGACACGGAAAATTGGGCCCACTCGTGCGAAAGAAAAAGACGCAACGGCGTAATGGCTGTCCTTGTCGGAAGACTGGCGCCGGTCGGTTTTATCCGTGAAAAGGGGAAAGAAAAAAGAGCATTTTGTATTTATGACCTCGTTAAGATGAAAATTTGTCGGGAGTAGGAGGTTGATCGGACAAATACCTCGTGAATGTGCCCCTCTCCGAACTCGACACGCGCCGGTAGATGACGACAGCCAATTGCCTTATTTATTTATTTATTTCAGAATTGCTGAGAAGGTTGGCCAACGGGTACATATCCACTGGTCTACCATCGATTGGCGTCCCGTTCTCGAGTTATCGTTGGAAGCAGTGGAAGGTTGGGGAAGGGGGTAGGAGTAGAGAGAGCTGAGGGAGAGAAATGGCCGCCTCAGCGTCAACCTCTCTGGCATCGCAGCTCTCGGGCCTAGGGTCCTTGGCTTGTCCTCAGTACTCTGGTTTGCGCCATGCTTTCTTCAAGCAGGAGCAGCGATCCCTCTCCGATGCCCACCTTAGCCAGCTCCACAGGCATCTCCGCGTCGCTTCTCCCTCAGGAGGGAAGGCTTGCCGTGCCGTCGTCGCCATGGCCGGCACTGGAAAGGTGAGATATCGAAAAACATTTGTTATTATGGTTTAAAGAAGAAAACCCTCGATTTCGGTCACTTTCTTTGTGAAATGGGATTTGCGGTGCAATGCGGAGTCTTCTTGCCTTCTCACACTCTTTTGTTTCCTTTTTTTTTAACCGCTTATTTATCACATGGCGTGGCCCTCTCGATTGTGCTTGAACTGTTGTGGAGAAGCTCATGCAGTGGTTCCTTGTAAGATAAGGATCTGACAACGCTAAAAATTGTCACTAGGTTGGACCTATGTATGGTGAATTTCAGTCGAGTAAGTGAGTGTCGTAGTTGGGAATTTGATATCTTTTAGGTGGGCCATGGTTGACCGGCAGGTGAATCTGAAACTTTCATATTAAACATTGCATCTGTCGGGCGATTTAGTTTTGCGGGTGCCCCATTATTCATTGGATTCATTTATTTATTTTATATGAAAATTCAAGGTCTAGATATTTGACGGTGAAAGTAAGTTCATTGGACGTTTATCAATTGCATTTGATGACTTCTGTCTCTTTCCTATTGTCATACTTGGTTTCGAAATGAATAAAAAATGTAATCCTCCGTGCAAGCGTGAACAATCCAAAGAAGTCTTTCTTAGTGTGAAGGGTCGTTCAATGAAGACGTCACATATGTCCTTGGGTGATGTAAAATTTACAGGCAACATTGCTACGCTTGCTCCTGTCGATTATCTGTTAGCGGCTCCTGTTTTTACCTATTTACATGGAATGTGTGAACAAGTGAACATCTTTTTGTTGGTTGCTTGGGAGAGTCTAGCAAGGATATTTTCGTTTTATTTTTAATCACAAACAGAACCGACCTAATGATATTTCTTTCGGTGGGAGAACATCTCTGGCATGCAGTTTATCTAATTTGCTTTTATTCATGGTCAAATTCAGTAGCGTTTAATTCCATACCTTCAGTAAGTTAGTAATAGCCTCAGCATTCAAATCTCCTTTTTTCACACTTCGTTGTTTGTCACTTTTTATCGGTTTTAATATTAATTTCCCTTTCAATGTGATTGAGGTTTTGTCTTTTCCATGTATTTAACCTTTTTTTTTCCTTGTCTTGACAGTTTTTTGTCGGAGGTAACTGGAAATGTGTAAGTACGAATTCCTCATCATTTGACCCTCTATTTTGGCTAAAATTTACAATGAACCTGTTACTTTTTTACTCTGACATTTTTTAAAACGAAGTTCATTCTTGAACTTCAGTTAATTGACCTGTGCTTTTCTTTTTTCTTAATGTTTTCATAAATTATCATAATATTATATATAGATATATATATATAATGACGGTGTGGTTGGTAGTCAGTCTGTGCTGAAAGCTCCAACCGAAACATTTGGAGAAGACATTTTTTCAATTGGCATCTGGGAACAAGTTCCATGGTGAATGGTATACGAAATATTTTACAAAAGGGAATGCTACTCTTATCTTTCTTGTCACTACAGTGCCCAGATAAAACATGTACTAGATGACTGTAATTTATTCTTCCATGACGATGTTCTTCATTTTGGTTGGAGACTAATACTTATTACTGATACACGTGACCCCACATTTAGCCATATTGTCTTTGAATAATACATACTCGGGTGTGATTTATATTTTTCTTATCACCATCAACATTCCTCCAATAAAGCTGCTACAAGTGAATCATCCTATTGAACTAGAAACCAATTAGCAATGTGAAGTAGGCTCGAATATTCAGCGACATGAATTAATTTTCTCTTCTGACTGGGACTGTCATGACACATCCCTTGCATGGATGCTGGCTTTTGGGATCTGCCTCAAGGAAAATGCAAATGGGGGATATCGAACCTGAAATGTAATCCGAGAGGCTAATTTTTTGTAAGGGGGACGGGCTGTCCTGTCCATCCCAAAAGAGACTGTGAATGAGTTGAGTGGACATATTTACTTTTAGTCATAAGATTCAACTTGTCCATAGGACTACTCTAGCATATCTTGTGGTGTGTTCACTCAAGCTCTTATTGTAATCATTTTGAATTATGTTGTGAGTTTCTATCTCTGTCATGATTCGTAGGTCTTTATATTTCCTCTCCATGTTTTCTTTGGCTCAAAATTATTTCCGAGCTTTGTGAAGCGGACCATCATAGTTTATCTTTTTCTAATAGAATGGGACGAAGGACTCCATCAGTACGCTTGTCTCGGACTTGAATAGTGCAAATATTGAGTCTGATGTCGGTAAGTCAATTACTCCTGTTATCACTTTCGTTGATATACTTGTTTCCTGTTTCATGTCATGTCCGTGTTTATTGTTTCCTTTTATGTTTATAATTTTTTTTTAATGTTACTTTTTGACAAAAGGTAGGGTTTGGAGACCAGATCAGACATGTCACTTATGATGTGGGTATTCATTTTCGTAATACAATAGTGTTTTTCTCAGTCCAATGGTACCGTGAATTGGGTGTCTTGAGCTACGCTATTGTTTATCCCAGTTCAATCAATGCATGGCAAACATAAGTTGTTTGTCATCCCTGAAAGTTCCAAGTTTGTCTCATAGGTTGGGAAATATAAGGTGCATCTGCCGACCTTCTACATCATCTTTGTTTTTTATGACGGTTTTGAACGTGTTAAATTTTTTCGTCTCAAGTACTATTTCGTTATGTGGTATTTTTGTTACTCCAGGGGAATTTTGTGTGTTTGGTTTAGAAGAGAATTCTGAAAGTTGAGATCAGCCATCCCAATTTATGCTCATTTAGGACGGATAGAAATTCCTCACCAATGTAATTAGAGTTTTGAAAGCGAAAAGCTTGCTATAATGTGGAAAACTTAATTAGGTCAATATATATTTTTTGTGAAATATTGATATGTATCTCTATAAATATCGAATTCTTTTTAATCTATTGTCCTGTTCACAATTAGATGCATGCATATGTATGTTCCTCCTTGGGAAAGACCATTCAAACCTTTTGGGGGGGGGGCGCAGATTAGGCAACTGTCCTTTCTCCCTTAGGGGTAGCTACCCCAGGGGAGGCCACCTCTTTATTTTGGATTCATCTATTCTATGCTGTTTCTTGAAATATGTAAAAAGAATATCTTCACAAATAGGTGGATGCTCTCTCTCTTTGGGTCTGTGGGGTCACTGGTGGTTATTCCTCTTGAGAGCTGCCAATAGTGAGTTTTCCGCTTAATGGACTTAGATGAGGAGGAGAATGGTACGCAAGATCAGAGCCAGGAAAGGGTATTAACTACTTATGATCCATACCCTGACCTACATCAGATTCAGTCCCTCAAATTCAGTTTGGTGGGATTTCTGGGTCATGTCAGATTGATCCTTGTCGGTTCTGCTATCCAATTCCTGGATGCCTGATGTAATTGCCGATTTTTTATTTTATTTATTGTTTGTAGACTTCTCTCCTGGCCTTTGTACACAGACATTTTTCTGCTCGCATTTATGTCAGACTCCTATATGGGGTAGGGTGCCCAGAGTAGACGATGAGCTGTCTTTGTCTGAGTTGTTTTAACTACGTATTCTTTTTGTTTGGATTACAGATGTTGTGGTATCTCCTCCATACCTATACATTGACCAGGTCAAGAGCTCGCTGACTGACCGTATTGAGATATCTGCTCAGAATTGTTGGGTGGGAAAAGGTGGAGCTTACACAGGAGAGATCAGGTTTTTTTTTTCTTCAAGAGGTTTTTTTATATTTCTACCTTCTGGTCTCATCATTTTCAGTTGATGCTCTTATAAATGGTTGCTTCATTTTGTGTTTACTTGATTAAGTTAATTCACTATTTTGCATTTGATCAATGATGTAGTGACTCGAGGGCAGCCTCTTTCATTCACATTAATGATAGAACAACTGTTTTTAGGAAGATTTTCTGTCTTGTACTTGCTGCTTGAGCATCAAACTGCACATCAATCAGCGTTAAGCAGATGCCTATGTTGATTGGTACGGTTTTTTTAAATTAAAACATTGTACCCGCCTTCATCAAGGCAAAATCTTCTCTGACGACTTGCGTTAAGTCTGATTTATGTGATGCCTTTAGATTTGGAGTTTGAATAGTAGAGGAAGGAGACAACAAGCTTGCTCTTTCCGAGGATCTTGTTTCAACTTTTACTTGTATATTCTAAATTCAATTTTTTTTTTAACAATGGAGGTGACAATTCTTTTTTTCTTTTGTGGCAGTTTTCATGGAGTGATTTTTTTATAAAAAAAACTCATACATGCTTAAAATTGCTTGAATGTTTCATATATAAAATCACCCCCCAAAAAAAGATGCAACTTCGATCCTGAATGTTAGATTACCGCAAATGTTTCACACATTTGCATTATGGTAATCTTAGGACTTGCGTATAATATTGTTATTGCCTACTTGCTGATCCGTGATAGAATAATTCTAGTGCTGAGCAATTGAAAGACATCGGCTGCAAATGGGTTATTCTTGGGCATTCTGAGCGGCGGCATGTTATTGGTGAAAATGATGAGGTACTACCATAGCCCCCGTCCAATAATTCTGAACATAATCCAGAACTCAAATTATTTCTCACTAATCATAACCAGAAGCATTGGATTTAGGGGCAGAGCTGTAAGCGCATCAGATGATGTGATTTGAAAAAACCTTTATGGGAAACCTGATTAGCACAATTTTGACTTCAGTTCATTGGGAAGAAAGCCGCATATGCCTTGAACCAGGACATCAAAGTGATCGCTTGCATAGGGGAACTGCTGGAGGAACGCGAATCAGGGAAGACTTTTGACGTCTGTTTCAAGCAGTTGAAAGCCTTCGCTGGTATGCATTCTTGTAGATGCTAAACAGGAGGTGAATTGGTATCAATGACCTCTGCTATTCGTGGCACAGATTCCGTTCCCAGCTGGGAGAACATCGTCATTGCATACGAGCCCGTGTGGGCTATTGGCACAGGGAAGGTGGCCACACCGGAGCAAGCTCAAGAAGTACACTCTGCCGTTCGCGATTGGCTGAAGAAGAATGTCTCAGCTGAAGTCGCATCCAGCATCCGCATCATCTACGGAGGTATGATATCTCCAAATACCTTAGTCTCTTCTTGCACATAGTTTCTATCTCGATGACTCTTTTATCTTACTTCATCTCTCCTCATATATTAATTAAACCGCTGTTGCAGGTTCCGTGAATGGCAGCAACTGCGATGAGCTGGCGAAGCAAGAAGATATCGATGGCTTCCTTGTTGGCGGTGCTTCCTTGAAGGTGAGCGCGTGCATCAGAGGACATGGGTTTCACGTTATTATCCCCCCCCCCCTTTTTTTTATATTGGTGCAAGAAACTCGGATTATATTTCTTCATGGCGGCTGCCTGGTTTCCTTGATGCAATTGCAGGGCCCGGAGTTTGCCAAAATAGTCAACTCAGTGACCGCCAAGAAGGTGGCTGCCTGATGGGGGAGGGGGGGTTTTAGCCCCAAGGACAGGTGAATAATGAGTGGTGATCAAGAGACGGTTCTCTCACAGCGAGCTGTGTGGGTCAAAATATTTCAGTCAACTGATGAGAAAAAAAAAATCCCTTTAATTTTTGGTATTCTGTACTAGAATATAATAAGTAGTTGTGTCGCAGACCCTCTACAATTGAAGAAAGCTGCGGTGGAGACATGCAATTATAGTCTTTGCATTCCAAGTGTCAAGCTTATGCTCCCCAACCCTCTCTCTCTCTCTCTACCTCTCTCTCCATCTCTCTCTCTTTCTCTCTCTCTCTCAATGAAGGAATCCATGTAACGGAGAGCTGAATGGTCACTATGTTTTCTCCAAGAGATTGCCGGCTGGGTGGCCTAAAAGGGGAAGAAAAACTGACCATTCTGGGATCTAAGCGAGTTGGGGATAGTTTATCAATTTGATGTTGCGTTGTATCTCACCTGCAACGCCCTCAGTTGCCTTGTTCTCAAGGGAACCATCTATGAAGGGTTTCAACGATCCCGAAAATTAGATTAAATAAAATGAAGAAAAAAAGGGGGATGCTAAATAATTATTGGACGAAGCCAAAAGCGTTACCATAACAGTAAATAATCAGCCTGCGGTGAACCCTTTCTTCTACAGAGGGAAGAATGAGAAAAAAGGGAAAAGATCCTCATCAAAGCAAAGCAAAGCAAAGCAAAGCAAATCAAACCTCTCTGCGGCAAAATCCCCAAAACCCTAGGAGTCCAGCCAATAAGGCAAGATCCCCTCTAAATAGTCAGTTCAGAGCTCCGGCCAAATCCCCACTTTGTGGTGGCCAAGTTTGGGGTCTTATTTTTGAGATAAAAAGTTTCCAGAACGCGAAGTGATGATCAAGCTGCCGCTGATTGTTTAGCATCTTGTTCGTTGAGGTTCAGAGCGTGTAGCAGCTTTGGCCATGATTCCGGTATCCCCCCTGGCAAATCGAATTCAAGTAGTTTTTCTCGTCTGCGATAGAACTCCTCCACGGGCAGACTCTGCGGAAACATCCCACCAGAAATGGTTAAAGTAGATTTAAAGAAGCTTTCATCAACTCGAATGGAAGCGCCCGCACCATGACAGCAAACAGGTGGGTCTTATAAATCTAGAGAACTTGCCAAAAATAGCTCCCAGAATCAAATAGGTAACTGACTAATTATATCAATAGATGGGCTAGCTGAGGTTTTGTAAAAACCGAACTAGAGATTTCTTAGAAGGGAATCATCACCAGAGTAGGAAGAGATTCTAATGTGACAAAAAAAAAAACTGAGTTCATTGATTTCTGAGAGGTAGAGACCATTGTGAAGCCTGATTTCTCATAAAAATCTTGCTCACACTGCTGATAGACGATGAGTGATGTGAAATTCGGCTGTAAAAGATCTCAGAGAGATTTCTCTGGTAGTATAGCTAAAGCACGAATACTTTTTTTGTTGAGACGGCCCAGTAGCATCTCTCACCTTGTACTATCTAATTCATGGATGGTTCTTAATGAAAAATTAAAGCCTTAAGCAACTTCTCACCAATAGCTTGCTTGCTTGCTCCTCATAAGTTTGCTAAGAATCAACCAAAAGATCAGTAACCCATGTGATTCACTGCTTCCCTCTTGCCACATTGAACTGAGATGAATCTTCTTGTGCAGTTTTTTGATGGATTCGGAGATTTTCTCAAGGGGGGGTAACTTCAGAGGTTGAAATGGGTTAGTATATTCTCACTCAAACTACTCCCATTAACATATGCTTTCAGAAACTTATGTTTAGTACTCTGTTCTCTGCAAGTTTGATAGTTGGAAGGTTTTGTGGTTCGTCTCTAAAGGGGCATTGGATGGGTAGGGTCCTGAAGGGTTGGAAACCATCTACCGTGAAGGGTTGAGTGATGAGGCCATCCACAGCTCGATTCAAGTCGACTGGATGCCCAGGAAGCGTGAATACTTGACTGTTGCACTCAACCCTTCATGGTAGATGGTTTCCACCTTTCAGAGCCCTAGCCATCCACGGCCCAATTCAAGTAGACTGAAAGCCCAAGAAGTGCGAAGACTAGACTGTTAGTTCGAGCTGGCCCAATAACTAAAATGGCCCACAACAAAATGCATCTTAAACACGTCACGAATTAGTTTTCCAGTTTTTAGTCTTTTGAATTTATTTGAATTTTCCTTAATTCAAATTAAGGCGCCATCATAATAGAACTAACTTTTTTAGGGGAGGCCTAACAGATGATGACAATCTAGATTTACTTTACGAACTCGTGATCATTTTCAGGCCTCCCCTACTTCAATCAATGTCGCTTTTCAATGATCTTAAAAAGCCACATGCTATAAGGGTGGCTCGCCCATTTGTCTTTGACCAGGGCCATGAACCCATTCGGATTTTGGATCTTGACATATCAATTGTTTTTAACCATACGGATTCTCACCAGGAAGTTGGTGGGCTCATCTTGAATTAGGTCGTGGTGGCTGGTGGTTCTGGAATCCCATAGAAAATGCTTCTAAGACTACGGGTGAGGGCTTACTCGTGGTCGAACAATCTTTATACAGTTGGACACGTTTTTTAATACATGCTTTTAATGAGTAATGTGTGTATAATATATCTAAAGATGGCTCAACGCTAAGATATTTTTTTATGAAACACATAATTTATTGAAAATTGAAGAAAAGCATAATCATACCATATCATTGTATATCCGGAGCCTCTCTTTCACGACCTCTTCAGTATCATCAGCTCTAGTGATGAGCTTTGATGTACATCCTGATGGAGGGAGGAGCGGAGCCATGTATATTCCGGGGCTTCCATTTTCTCCTTTGATTTCAATTGAGGCAACATTGAAATTTCCTCCGCACTGGCTGCAAATCCGTCTTCCCAGGCACTTCTCCACTAGTATATCCTCTCGAAGCTTTAGGTTTATCACTAAGTCTATATCAGTAACTCCTTCCAGTATTTCCTGCAAGTTAAAATAAAAAAGACGGTTTTAATCAGTTCCTTGTGAACTCCAGTGGGCCATCATCTTATCAAGATGCCGACTTTGATCTGGTTTTCCTTGGCATGAAACAGTTAAAAGGAAAGGGAGAAACAATATCAACGCCTGATGAGTTACAACCGACACAGAATATTTTATTGAAGACATCCGCAATCAAAAAGTTCATTTTTGAAGCAGGCAACCTCAGATGCATCAAACCAAGCCACAGATAAACAAAAATCGTGTATGGTTCCAGGCGAATCTAAAAAAATGGCATGAGTGTGCCCCAATATCTGTTGGGCATCAGGATTTGCTAAATCGTACCAGCATCAGGATCAGCATTCAATGGCTAGGTTTTTGACTTTATGCCTCACTTTGACGTGGAGATAGGATAAGGACGTGCACCTAAAACTTGTGGACATTGATAGTAAACAGACATCCACATATAGGGTAATGTGTAGGGTACAAAAATCAGGCCTCTATCACTCCACCTCAGGTACGAGTGTGCATCAGATTGGCACAATCCAAGAAGAATTATAATCTAGTTCAGATAGCGATCCCAGTTAAAAAGCTACTTAATTTATGACTGTGTAGTTCGACATTATGAGTAGACACTGGAACGCCCAGGTAGAACTTGTTTATGACTGGTAGCAATTCCTTTATAGCATGATAAAGATCAAAGTAGAAGCCACAGTCGAAATGCATTCATGATCTGGGTCTTGCATTTCGAGAATAGGAAAGCCTAGTCCTGTTTCCGATCTTCAAAAAAATGCATCAACTGCTCACCGCTTGTCTTACGGTTCGTGGAAATCCATCAAGAATGAATCCAGATTCACCCTTAGCTTCTCCTCCTTCAAGTCTCTTGGATAATATGTTGATTATGATCTCATCTGAAACCAATTTTCCTTGGTTCACAATTCCTCTGAGCTGAAGAAGGACAAAATAAATCCATTATGATAAACAATTTGGCAACAAATCTCGAATAAAGAACTTAAAAAAAGCAGAAAAATCGAATGAAATTTATAGAAAAATAATAATCTGGAGTTGACTAACACATCTATATATGGTCAGCATTATCCCACATAATAAGTTGTGGTCGACAATTCTTATGAAACATGAGTCGTTTACATGCAAAAAGCCAGCACGGTGTCCTAGGATGGAGTACGTTACATTGGTATACTTGGTTGAGAAGAAAAACAACACAGTCGAGCTGCCCTTGGTCATCTCATCGCACAATCGGCTACCCAGTGGTCCTTGGACCTTTGAGTCTCTCTACTCGATGCTCCAATTTGTATTTCACCACTCTAAATGATGTACAAGTTGAATCCCTTTTTGGGAAGGAACAATTGCTATAGTTCTCGAGAAGCTCTGAGTATCGAGAAGAATCCAGACTGTTTTTCTTTTGTACAACGTGCATTGCAATAACCCTCGAAGGCTGAGCGCAAGATATACATTATAGCGTGGATAATTTTTAGATCCCTATCAACGAGAGAATATGAAAGGATGTGGATGTGCATACGCATCGATTGGGTTAAAATAGCGAAAAAATTCAGACCTAAACTACGAAGATTGCTGTATACTTCATCTCGAAAGCGGATCTCCAGCTTAGGGAGGGAAAGCGGAACTCTCGAAAATGATAGGATAAATAAATAGGGAACCGAGGCCGCACCTCCTCGGCAAGAGGGCCAGAGGAGTTGAGCTCCTCGCGAACAAGATCTCCAGTGGCGATATGAGGAACTCCGAGCAGCTGAGAGAGGCGGCTGGCGTAGGTACCCTTCCCCACGCCAGGACATCCCAGGAACACCCACTGGATACTCCTCTCCTTCGGATCCCTCCGGACAGGGGGTGGGCTGCGATTAAGCAACGATGGAAACCGCAATTCTGCCTCCGAGGCCAGGGAGGAAAACAGCCTCCTCTGTGCTGTGCACTGAGAATGGTAATACATCGGAGCGGAAGCCCTCAACAGGCGTCTCAGCGCCGCCATGAGAGGCGGAGGCCGGAGCAAGCACGGCGGCGAACCCCGACGACCGGAACTCAGCAACGGTGGAGCCGCAGCAAAAAGGACCTACCACGTAGGCGGCCATCGAGCTTTTATACTGCGGAGGCGGCTGACCGACATGCCACCTGCGAGTTTAAAAGATCGACGGTCAGGATTTTCTGAAAACGTTTGGGCCGATAATTCCAACAATTCATAAATGAGCTTTTTTCATTTTTAGCCCAATATAATCGGTAGGATGGGCTGAGTATGCGCACTTAAATACCAAGTATGGTCCAGCCCAATTAAATGCGAACTAGCTTTTATAGGACGAGGCGGATGACCGACATGTCACGTGAGAGTCTAAAAGATCCACTATCAGGATTTTCTAAAAGCATTTGGGCCACTGGTCCAATAACTATAATTGGGCTCCATTTTCGTTTTGAGCCCAATAGACCGGGTAGCATGGGCCCAGTATAAAATATGGTCTAAACGTTGCACATTTTTATTGGAAAGGTAGACAAGGGATGGTAAGCGCACCGACCGGCTACCCGTAGATTCACTACACATCTGCGATAGAGCAAAGTGACGGGAGACAGATTTGGGCTCGGCGCCCGCGACGGTCGCCAGCTAACATAATCAAGGCGGTGACAGGATTCGTCTCCTGAACAGCAGCGCCCTCCCCCACTCCTTCCTCCGGCGAGGATTGGTTCAACGAATGGACGATGGACTTGTATAGGGAGAGGAGGACAGCAGGGGAGCGAGATTCCTGTTCCTCGGTTTTTTCCTCCCTCTTCCACCTTCCGACGAGGAAATGGTGTTGTAGGGTTAGACAGGAGGGGCTGCGACGATGAAATAGAAGGCTGGTCGGAAGGGAAGGGGATTCGATCTTCATTCATCTCCAGTGGAACAGTTGTGGGATTCCTCTTCGTGGATTCTTTCTCTAGATTGTTGAATTTGTCCCCGCAGTCTCGATTTTGGGGTGGACGAATTCCCGATTTCGGGGGAAACGAGGAGAAAAAGGAATTTTCGGATTGCATGTCGAAATAAATGTTGTCAGAGAATCGGAATAGGAAAAGGCATAAAGAAAACAAGTGAATCGCGATTCTCGGAGTTTTCTGGCGTCTGAATCGGAGTGGAGTCCAGGAGAAAGAAGAAGGCAGTTTCGTTTTCCTTGGTACAAGGTCAGTAGCGCTGGGGGCGAATCAGAGCCGTCAAAGCCCGGTCGAGGCGGGCTGGGGGCTCCTCTTCTTCTTCCGGAACCCTAATGCACGCCGGTCGTACTACCTCGATCGTTTGCCACCTCTACCCATGGATTTCGTGAGCCGCCACGCCACCGCACCCTCTGCCACCACCGCCACTGCTGATCAACAAACATCCCCCAGCGAGCCCACCCCGCCGGCCGCACCGTCTCCGCCAGTTGCGACCGCAGAGGAGCCCGAATATCTCTCTAGATACCTGGTAGTGAAGCATTCATGGCGGGGAAGGTACAAGAGGATCCTCTGCATCTCTCACTCTGTGATCGTCACGTTGGACCCGTCCACGCTTTCTGTTACCAACTCCTACAATGTGGGTGGCGATTACGAAGGCTCCGCGCCTGTTCTGGGTCGTGATGAAAATTCTCCGGAATTCACGATCAGTGTGCGCACGGACAGCCGCGGCAAGTTCAAAGGAATGAAGTTCTCGTCGCGTTATAGAGCAAGCATTCTGACGGAGCTGCATCGCCTGCGCTGGCCTGGAGGATCACAAATTTCAGAGTTCTCTGTGCTGCATCTACGACGAAGGACATCAGAGTGGCTTCCCTTTGTAAGTTTCTCTTTTTGCCTACAACATCGCCAATTTGATTCAAAGGGTCAGATTTGGGTTCTCAAGCTCCTGTTTTACTGCAGAAAATGAAGGTCACTGCTGTCGGAGTCGAAATTCTTGAATTTCCATCAGGAGATCTTCGCTGGTGCTTGGATTTCAGAGACATGGCTTCTCCCGCTATTGTTCTCCTTGCGGACAGTTATGGGAAGAAAAACTTAGATAACACAGCTTTTGTTCTGTGCGCTCTCTATGGAAGGAAATCTAAAGCTTTTCTCGCATCTCCTGGAACTTCGACTACTGCAATTATATCAAGTTTGGTGAGGCTTTTTCTTTCTCAATTTTTCAGTTCTTCATTGTCAATGTTTGAGCACAGCTGCTTCTGGAAGCTTTTCTTAAAAAAATACGCAATGGATTTAGTTCGAACAAGGAATTATATTTAATCAAACTCTTGAACATTTCATGCAGACAAAGACTGCAAAGTCGACAGTTGGTTTGTCTTTAACTGTCGACAGTTCTCAGTCATTGACAACAGTGGAGTACATTAAGCGAAGAGGTAAGCACATTAAAACACCCTCTAGCTCTGAAGACTACCAGGTGGTGTTTATGTTGTGCTTTGTTTCCTTGATCCATTATTAACTGACCCACAGGATCCGGATCAGTTTCTCAGGATTCCAGTTAAGTGATATAGAGGGGCTCCATTTCTATTTAAAAGAGTTTTATAGAGAAAATTGTTTGAATTGGAGTCGAGTTTATCTTTCTTCTTACCGAGTTCATATAAAATGAGTGACTGTTGTACAGCGAAGTGCAACAATCAAAAAGTTCTGAAACAGTATTGGTTCTCAATATTCCAGAATTTTGATTCCCCAAGGTCCTATGTTCTAGCCTAGATAACACATGTAACAGTCTAAAAAGGTCGAACGTGGTCATCTACCAATTTGTATGAACCTTTCAGCTATTTCAGAGACGCTTTAAATTTATAATTCTTAAATAAAAAATGGCAGATCTTAACAAAAATAGTTTTTTTTGTTTAGTATTAGCTTATCAAAGAAGAATTTTTCGTATTTTTGCGGATAGAAAGCGTGCTAAATAATCCAAGTTGGAGAAACCAAAAATAGGGGGTCATTGTGTTCTCTGGCCTATTTTGTTTCATTGTTCATCCGAAAGTGATCTTCTTTTTCGTGGATCATCACTTGTAAGTGCACAATACACATTTTGGAAGGAGGAACATTTGAAATGAGTTCATTGTGCACAGGACCAAAAGGCGGGAAAAATAAAGAAATTTCAGCCATTTTATCAGAACAGTCTCATAAAGTTCTCTATTTAGATCCAGATGGTGAATAGTCTAAAACATCCTTCTTGTTTGTTCAAAGATAAATTGAAAGTGTCTTTTCTGATGCAATGGATGTAACTGCTTGCCCTAAAACTGCTCAGTTGTTTTTGTTTTATTTTAGTTGCATGTTAGCACTAGTTGTAAGAGTGTTGAACAATTCTTGTCACGAAACAAGCTAAACAATAATAACTGAGGTCACTGCTTCACACCATTAATGTCATTGAATCTCTTGTTCAATAGCCAAAGCAGCAGAGTCACTAAACAAGGCTGTTACAAAGTTGGCCCTTTTGTGTTCTTTCTGTAACTCTCCAGGGCAGCCACAAAATTGTTGTAGGGGAAACGAATCTACATAGTTTCAGGTTGTAAATTTAAGGAAACTCTTCAAACACTAATACAATCGAAGTATCTCAGAAAGGATGCTTTCACTGGAAACAAGCATGGTTTGAACAGTGAAAAAGATGACCAAGAGCAAGTGATATAAATAATGTTCTTGGGCATAATCACCGTTCAACATTTTCTCACCTGGCTGCATCATCTGGACTCTAAACGTGCTACGGTTGATGCGGCCTCCCTGTTGCAACTGTTCCATGAACTGTTGAAGCCCCCTATCCACAGAAGTTCTGCTACTTTTACAAGCTGTCAATCTACTGCGATCAGGCACTAGTTGCCATGGAGGCATCAACTGTCTCGTTTATGGGATCAGTTGCATCTCAGTTCCTTTTCTTTTTTGAACGAATTTTCGTGTTGGATTTTGGGCACTATGCGTTCTCTTTGTATCCCATCTTTTTTTTCTCACTGACCCAAACTTTCCCTGGTGATCTGAATGCGCTGCAGACATTTAATTGAACAGAACTAAACGTTCATCATTCATTTAAGCGGACTCAGAATCCATGACTCTTCTGATCCAGAATCTCATCAAAATATAAGTAATTTAATTCAGCAATATATCTGGTAGCTTAACAAGCTAATTGAATTAAATTTTCTTATGCCTTGTCAGACATTCAATTTTATGATTCATTTTGGCCCGAGGATACAAGATGATACTGGTACACAAAAAATAAATGAACTTGTAGAAGTAGAATGCTGCACCAGAAGATATTGGTTGATGCACTTCCCTTTCATATGTAGATCACTTCGAAAAAGTTAATCAGTCCTGATGTTTTTCTTTCAATCTGTATGATATTTCTGTTATCTGATATGATTACAATTCAGTTGGTACCAACAGTTGTGTAGCTTCTCATTCCAACTCGTTCATTTGACATATGCCATAATTTTGAAAATCTTGTTTTTTTGCCATATCATTTAAGCCATTGTTTCAATAGCTTTTATTACTTTTCAGCAAGGGAGGCTGTTGGAGCAGAGGAGACACCATATGGAGGGTGGTTGGTTACTAGGCTGCGGTCTGGAGCTCATGGAACTGACAATGTCTCAGGACTGAGCTTGGTAGTTGGCCCTAAAGGGGGACTCGGTGATCATGGTGATTCTGTACCTCGACAACTTATCCTCACAAAAGTTTCACTTGTTGAAAGGCGACCAGAGAACTATGAGGTAGATAATCTTTTGTCTGAGATACTTTTAAGTCATTCCTTTCTATGCCTGTGTGCATTACTTCCTGTTAGCTACTAGAAATACTGTTTTCCATGTCCTCATGAGGTCCTTCAAATAGTGTGGAATTACATCAGCTCTGCCTAGGGAGGTGTGAGTAAGTGTTGAATATAGGTGAATGCATATTGACATTTTGCATTGGGGCATACTAGTGATTCCCTACAGAGTCTTTGCCAAGGAAATCCATAAGTCTAGTTGCCAAAAAATTTGGAAGTGACATATTTAATTTCCCAAAAACTTCTATTTTATCAATGAATGCCTGTTGCTTTTGGAAAAAAATATATTTCCCATGTAAATTACGGACTCAGACTCAAAACTTTGTTAATCTGTAAGCTGAGTTGAATTCAAGAGCATCCGTTAAACTCATTTTAATTGCATGAGTTTCCCATATCAGTTTCAGAGGGCCGACCCTCATTTTTGACATTAGATCCTGATATTTATAAGTTCCTTTTTTTAGGGTTATAACGCTCGATTCTCATATCTTAGAACATGTGCTCAAAGTTTTTGCGCTTATTATACGTAGATCATCTTATTTAAGAGTGAGCTCTCATCGTTTGGATTATTTAACATTGTTTTAGCTTGAAATCATAGAAAATGTCATGGACAATTGGTCTCCACCCACCCCCACCCCCGTTAGGTCATTCCTCGAATGCCAGGAACTCTTTTTGGAACTGTGAGTGGGCTCTTGGGTTTGGGGAAGAAACAGGTGGAGACATTTGGTTTCTGGTTTTATTTACCTTTGCAGGTTGGTGCTGTCTCTTCATGAAGCAAAAGGAAAAATAGGTGTGATTTCCCTTTACATCTAGCAGAAAACCTGAAATAATTGAATTTGGAAAGAGGAAGCCTCCATTTTTTCTAGAAAGAGGCAGTTTTGACTTATCTTTGCTCCTGTCAGACTGTACAATTTACTCACCGACATGCTGCTTTGCCATTACTTTTTTCTCCATGTTTATCTTCAGTACTGTCCTTTTCTGTATACTAGTATACTTTTGTGGCGATTTGTGATGAAGGAAAGATCACACAATGTATGATATTGATAATTCTATCCAGGCTGTCATTGTTCGACCTTTATCTGCTGTTAGTTCTCTTGTACGGTTTGCTGAAGAGCCACAGATGTTCGCTGTTGAATTCAATGATGGTTGCCCCATTCATGTAAGAGTCAGATGCCTATAGCTGATAGCAATAAGGAAGGTTGAACCTTCTAAGAAAATGGGAAAATCTCTCTAAGCCGTCGGTGTTTCCATTTCAGGTCTATACAAGTACCTCCCGTGACAGCTTGTTAGCAGCAGTTCAAGACGTGTTGCAAACAGAAGTAGGTAGATGTATTCCTCTCTGTACGGATGAGTTGTTAGATTATGATGCTTTTTTATCTTTCAATATTCTCTTTTTGTCGGCTTGCTAGTCAGGTTTCCTTTTTTAACGCCATATATGACTCACAAGTCTGAAAAACTGCATCATGTTAATTCACTTTAGTAAGATTATTCTAAATTACGTTGATTGGATCAAGAGTCATGCTCATTATCGAGAAAAAATGTTGTGGATTGGTGAAATTCTTACAGAAGATTATCATAATCAACTTTGGGGATTGAGACTTAACTGAGTTGGCCTTTTCATGTTGGCTGAAAGTGGTTCAAATTTAGCAAATTCAGCCAATGAAAGCTTACATTCCTTTGAATTTAATTAATACAGGGACAATGTCCTATTCCTGTGCTGCCAAGGTTGACAATGCCTGGTCACCGTTTGGATCCCCCCTGTGGGAGGGCATATTTTCAGTCTCAGCAGCGTCCTGTTTCTGACGTAGAGAGCATAACTATGCATTTGAAGCATCTCTCTGCTGCTGCCAAAGATGCTGTAGCTGAGGGGGGCTCAGTCCCTGGATCAAGAGCAAGATTATGGCGCAGAATAAGGGAATTTAATGCATGCATACCTTACAGCGGTTTGCCCTTCAACATTGAAGTGCCGGAGGTGGTTCTCATGGCTTTAATCACAATGCTCCCAGCAACTCCAAACCTTCCTCCAGATGCTCCTCCCCCTCCTTCACCGTCTCCTAAAGCAGCTGCAACAGTCATTGGTTTTGTGTCATGTTTACGGAGATTGCTTGCATCCAGAAGTGCAGCCTCGCATGTGATGTCATTTCCTGCCGCAGTTGGGAGGATAATGGGTCTACTTAGGAATGGTTCAGAGGGAGTGGCAGCGGAGGCTGCTGGGCTTGTTGCTGTTCTTATTGGTGGAGGTCCTGGTGATACTAATGTGCTGGTGGACTCTAAGGGTGAACGGCATGCAACTTTTATGCACACAAAATCGGTTTTGTTTGCCAACCAAAACTATGTTACTGTTCTTGTAAATAGGTTGAAACCCATGTCTGTTTCACCTTTACTTTCAATGTCCTTTGTGGAAGTTCTTGAAGCTATGCTTTGTGAGCCTCATGGTGAAACCACTCAGCATGCTACTTTTGTTGAACTACTGCGCCAAGTAGCTGGTTTGAGACGTCGGTTGTTTGCTCTGTTTGGGCATCCTGCTGAAAGTGTCCGCGAAACTGTAGCAGTTATCATGCGAACGATTGCTGAGGAAGATGCAATTGCAGCGGAATCCATGCGTGATGCTGCCCTGAGAGATGGTGCTCTCTTGAGGCATTTGCTACATGCTTTCTTTCTTCCAGATGGGGAACGACGTGATGTTAGATTGCTGAGGAAGATGCAATTGCAGCGGAATCCATGCGTGATGCTGCCCTTGGTGGAGACATTTGATGCTTTCTTTCTTCCAGATGGGGAACCGTGATGTTAGTCGGCAGCTTGTGGCCTTTTGACCTGCCTTTGACTTGCTCTCAAGAATACTTCCACCTGGGCTTGTTGCTTATTTGCAAACTCGCCCTGATGAAAGTTTGGCTGAAGATTCCCCTGAATCAATCTGGTCAAGAAGCACCATTTACAAGAAGAAGGCATAGACGTATTCTTCATCAGAGAAAGGGCCGGACTGGAAAAGGTGTTGACAATCTAGTGCCATCAGTAAGTAGTGTTGAGGTTGGTGATAATGGAAAGATGGCCACTGGTGCATCGAGTGTAGCAGAAAACCATTCAAAACCTCCCACTGAATCAGCTGTTGGACAGGTGTCAGCTTCTAATCCTATTTTTCCAGAAAGAAATTTGACAAATGAACCCACTGAGGGAGGGTTTCTGCGTGCTGACGTTTCTAGAGCTGTTGCTTCTGATGTTGCCCTGCATTCTAGTGTGCAAACTACAGAGCCAGGCAATTCTGATGCTAATGACGTCGGTTCTTTGGCTTGTGACTTCCCTGCCCCTGCTCAGGTCGTGGTTGAGGACACTCCTGTTGGTTCTGGGAGGTTACTCTGCAACTGGCATGAGTTCTGGAAAGAATTTGGTCTAGACCACAACAGAGCTGATTTGATCTGGAATGAGCGTACGAGACAAGAACTTAGGGAATGCCTACAAGCTGAGGTCCACAAGTTAGACGTTGAAAAAGAGCGCACAGAAGACATCGTCCCTGGATGTGTTACAATGGAGGCATTGGCAAGGTTAGATCATGCCCCCCGAATTTCATGGAACTACACCGAATTTTCAGTGAGCTATCCAAGCTTAGCAAAAGAAGTTTGTGTGGGCCAGTATTATTTGCGATTGCTGCTTGAAAGTGGAAATGGTTACCGTGCCCAGGATTTTCCATTACGTGATCCTGTTAAATTCTTTAGGGCATTGTACCACCGATTTTTATGTGATGCAGATACAGGACTCACTGTGGATGGTGCTATTCCTGATGAGCTGGGTGCATCTGACGATTGGTGCGATATGGGTAGGCTGGATGGATTTGGTGGTGGAGGAGGCTCTTCTGTCAGAGAGCTTTGTGCAAGAGCTATGACGATTGTGTATGAACAGCATTACAAAGTGATTGGCCCTTTTGATGGTACTGCTCATGTTACTGTTCTCTTGGATAGGACTAATGATCGAGCACTGAGACACCGTCTTCTTCTTCTTTTAAAGGTATTCAAGTTAGTGAAGCCATATATTTCCACGGTTTATGTTTTGTTAATTAGTTGGTTATTTCATGATAGCAATTCTTTAACTTCCTCTGGGTTGATGATGTGCTTGCATTTTGCAATGAATTATTGGGAAAATATTGAAAACAGGGGTGCTGGATGTCAGTTTTTTCTTCCCAGAAATATTCTGGTTATATAAGCAGTCACCCAATTGTACCTCCAGACCATTGTTTAATGATGAATGTAACTTACCGGTATGCTTTTAGTTTTTCCTTAGAAGACAGTTAAAAAAGGGAGAACATATTAGGTCACAAACGTGTGTATGCCTTAGTCTGATTCCTCAACATGATGATGGTCATGTCCCATATTTTTGATTGCTGTTTCTCGTCAATTAATAAATCCTTGACGAGCTGGGAATTCAGGGAATTATACCCTCATTTTATTTTTATTTTTTTAGCTAGAAGAAACCTTTAAAAAATTAGTAAAGGTTTTCGTAGCCTTGTCTCACTGGTCATATGTTTGTGGAAAATTAGATATCGGATGGTTAAAATCATTTAAGAAATGGCATCCAACACCCCCGTCGGACTCCCTTCTTATTTCTTATTTTTTTCATAATTTCATCTTGTTTTCCGTTTTCTCTTTTCATGTGATTCTTTTTTACTTTCATTGGATGTGCTATAAATGTTTTTTGCGTTCTAATTTTTTTTGTTGCTTATTGGCTGCATATTATGCTAAATTTCAGGTTCTGATGAAGGATCTTTTGAATATTGAATCTTGTGTCTTGGTTGGTGGGTGTGTTCTATCTGTTGATCTATTGACAGTAGCTCATGAAGCTTCAGAAAGAACTTCAATACCTCTACAATCTAATTTGATTGCTGCTACTGCTTTTATGGAGCCACTGAAGGAATGGATGTTTGTTGATACGGATGAGGTTCAAATCGGGCCACTAGAGAAAGATGCTGTTCGGAGGTTCTGGTCAAAAAAGTCTATCAATTGGGCAACCCGATTTTGGGCTTCTGGAATGCTTGATTGGAAAAGACTGCGTGATATCCGTGAATTGCGATGGGCATTAAGCAGTGGAGTTCCTGTTTTAACCCCAGTTCAGGTACTCGCGTATGTGAATCACTATTTGAAGTTAAACGTACTCTGTTATTGAACTTTAATACTCAGTAATTAAATGATGCTCTCCACTTTCAAATATAAAGTTATATATGTTTTAATTTTTTAGTCCCATTTTTGTCGGCTGTATGTTTATCAGTATTGCATTAGCCTCTTTAAGATCCTGTCTCTATCAATGTCTTTTGGATATTAGGACACAGTCCTTGGTGGATGAATATTGTATGAGGTTTGAAGGGTCTTTGATGTGCAGAGAGGCAGATAATTTTTTCAGTTTAGTATAATTATCTGATGTAGTTTGTAAATCTTTCCTAGGTGGGGGAAGCTGCGTTGTCTATCTTGCATCATATGGTGTCAGCACATTCAGATCTCGATGATGCAGGAGAGATTGTCACCCCCACTCCAAGAGTGAAACGGATTCTGTCAAGTCCACGGTGTCTTCCACATGTTGCACAGGTGATTCTCATTTTGTTCGTCATAATTTTCTTCTTTTTAATTATGATATTATAATACCATAGAATCTCCACGGAATTATCTAAGTTCTCTTCAGCCTTTTAGTTTATGAAATAAGTTAGTGAGCAACAAATTTGGTCTTATTAAAAAAAGATGAAAATAAACTAGGATCCATTTTTCTTAAGGCAATATCCTACCTTGTTTAGTAATATCTAGGTTAGGAGGGTATCCATGACCTCAGTGCCATTCTAAGCTTTGGTCCAGTTCAATCACACTTCTGCAAAATATGGTGAATCATGGCCCATCACATTTTTCTTTATGATGGAAGAGAGAGCAGTGATCCTTTTGTTTTGAGAAAAGGCAATGCTCTTTGCTTTGGGAGCGTTGGGTGATTACTATAGTCTTTTCCATCATGGTGTAGACAATAAATTTTGTGCAGAGAGATTTTCGTAGAGCAAAATGAGACTCTATTTACTTGTACTTAGCCTATTGAAACCAAGGGGTATGCAGTACTGCTTTTACTTAAAAAAGAAGAGTACTGTGCAATGTTGTGTGAGTAGTATGAATGATGGGGAACAATGACTTTCTTATGCTTAGTAGTTGAGTGGAAGAATGATGTACTTCTGCATCCTTGGTATTCTCATTATTCACCATTTGTCAACTAGATAGAGTTAGGGACATAAATTCCATTCTGTCCAAGTTTTTATTTCAATGCTGATTCAACGTGGATGATTTCGGATTTTTCTTTCCTGCCACCAAACAAGTGGGTCTTTTATCTTCTTATTATCTTTTTAAGATCTTCATGAAAACGATGATCATGTGTGCGTTCCATCTAGGCCAATTGTTCTGTGCAAATGACCATTTATGCACAAGAATAGAAAGCAGAAAAAGGAAATGCCTTAATCTCGTGCTTGGTCCACCTCGTCTTCATCTCTCCCAGCCGCCCAATGGCTGCCTACACATTCCACTTGGGCTACATTGATTTTGGTCATTTTGCATTTTCGAAGTATATAATACTTCATTCCTTCAGTGCGGTTATAGCCCATTTGCAGTGAGCTAGCTGTTTCTAATAACACAGCACTCTACCCCATGAATGGTTGGCCTACTCGTAATTTGTACAGCAGAGTGATCCACGTACATTTCATTTTCACCGAGAATACTAAGCCCATGGACTACGTAATATTTTGTATTTTCATGTTCTCCAGTGATCAAACTTAGTAACACAAAGCGTATCTTAAAAACAGCTATTGATTGTCCAGCTTAACCACTATACTTGGCTGCATTTCATTTTCCTCTGCTTGTAATTGTTGGGTTTTCTATGCGCCTGGACATACACACCGATTTATTACCACTTTGTTTGCTCTCTCAGTTGCTGTTACATTCTTTTAATACTTCATTGTTTTGTCATTGGGCTTCTTTCTATTTCTTATCTTTGTTGTCACTCTCCTCTCATTATTTTGTATCTTACCTTCCTTAGTCTCCCTCAAGGTTCAGTATAAATTCTGTATAGTATGTCAAGATATCTAATAGATATTTTTCATAACTTATCCCTTGACCTATGTTGATTTTATCTATTTTGCCTATTATATTTTGTCCATTGCGCATGCCACAATGATTTTAAATCAAAGCAACATCACCATTCTCATATGTTTGAGGCTATTCAGTCTTGAGATCCTGTCATTTGATACCAATGACTGACATGAAGTAGTCCCGACCTCATATTCTAGACATCGTAGTGATTTACAACCTTAATCGCGATTTCAAATTGTAATTTTTTTCCACTTTATCTATGTTTATTTTGAAGGCTTCTGAACTTATGTTATCACCTTGTGTTTATGCAACAAGACCTGTCTGAAAAAGAAAAAGCTCACTGCAAACACATCTAAGATACGTGGACGATTTGTTTTGTGGGGAAGGATATCCTTTTTGAGAAAAAAATTCCTTGGGAAATTTCGTGAGTACTAGGCTCATGGTAATCTGCTTCCCATATCTTTTTTGGCTACTGGAGGCCTGGTCTTCAGTGAAAATAATGTTTCAAAAGCAATACAATATTATTAAAAGAGATGGAAATTACAAGAAGGATATTTGAATGGATACATCTCCATTCCCCTATTTAAATGAATGATGTTTTTTAGCTCTTCAAAAATAGAAGAAAGTTCTTTCCCTTGATGAATGATCCGTTTTTTCAAATTAATTTGTAGTTCTTATCTGTGGTCGGTTTAAGAGTGTTGGCATACATGCCATTTTTGAAAGAAATGGGGTTCCTGTGAGAGCTAGTTCTTTCTTTTATAGGTTTTCTAGTTGGGTTTAATTGATGCAGACACTTGATTTGTGCCACTAACCTGTATGTGATGGCTGTGTGTGGGGAGTCCACTTTGGGCTTGGACGGATGCATACACCGTTTTCTCATACATTGTCTATGTCCATCTTCATAATTTTATTCGCTTTCCATCGGATATCCTTGATTTTTGGATTTGATCTTTATGAAATTTGCTTATTAGAAAAATATTCTGTAGGTTTTGCTTACAGGGGAGCCAAGTATTGTTGAGGGTGCTGCTGCTTTGCTGAAGGCTGTTGTAACTAGGAATCCAAAAGCTATGATCAGGTTATACAGTACTGGTGCATTTTATTTTGCCCTGGCCTATCCTGGATCCAATCTTCTTTCAATTGCACATCTCTTCTATGTGACGCACATGCACCAAGCATTTCATGGTGGTGAAGATGCAGCAGTGTCTTCCTCACTGCCATTAGCAAAGCGTAGTGTTTTGGGTGGACTCCTTCCAGAATCTTTGTTGTATGTGCTCGAGCGTAGCGGGCCGATTGTATTTGCTGCTGCTATGGTTTCTGACTCTGATACACCAGAGATTATTTGGACGCATAAGATGAGAGCAGAACATCTGATTTGTCAGGTAGTTTCTGTCTCATGTACTTGTATACTTGTAGATATAACAGACAATTTTCAGAGAAGTAAACCGTTGATCATGATCTTGCTCCATGCTTCTTTTTTTTTTCAGGTTTTGCAGCATCTTGGTGATTTTCCACAGAAGTTGTCTCAGCACTGTCATTCACTCTATGAATATGCTCCCATGCCTCCAGTAACATACCCTGAGCTAAGAGATGAAATGTGGTGTCACCGTTATTACCTGAGAAATCTGTGTGATGAAGTGCGCTTTCCAAATTGGCCAATTGTTGAGCATGTGGAGTTCTTACAGTCATTATTAGTAATGTGGCGTGAAGAATTGACACGGCGACCAATGGATCTTTCTGAGGAAGAAGCATGCAGAATACTTGAGATATCCATGGATGATGTTGTAACGGGTCATAGTACAGCTATGAATGAACCATTTGATGGGGATGTGGAAGTTGGTAGCACTTCTAACAAGAATCACAACATTGATGAGGAAAAACTTAAAAGGCAATATAAAAAGCTTGCAATGAAATATCATCCTGATAAAAACCCTGAAGGCAGAGAGAAATTTGTTGCTGTACAAAAGGCCTATGAGCGTCTTCAGGTACTTAGTTGCTTATGTTTTTGTCATTTTTTTTTCTTAACCTTGAATGGCTTCATTTTTTCTTAACATGAGGCGTACTTCCATGCTTTATCATTAGTTATATTTCATACCACTTCTGTCATGATGGTCTTTAATTTCCTTCATGCTTCTTCATTTGAATCTATTTTCCCGTTTTTAATTCTTTATTTAGTCAGTTTTGTATTGATTTTTTAATTTTGGTCGAGTTGGATGCTCTTGTAAGGTATCATGATGCTGCTGGAAATGTTAAACATGAAGAAGTTACTATAACTTTTGTAGTTCTCTTCTACCATTCTTAAATTGTTACTGTGAGAGGAATCAAATATATACATATGTGGTTGGATTTTTGGTCATCGGGAAGGATGATGAATAGTTTAGATTACTCAAGTAATCATTGTTGCATGATACTGTTAGACACCGCGTCCTAACCCAAGCGACCAGACGAAATCACAAGAAAGAAAGGGGAAGAAGATAGAGATTAGGGCGCAGGAAAACCCAAGCACCCAGGACGGGAGTGTTCGAGAGGCCCGAGTTCTCCCTTCACGATGACCGACTTCCCAAAAAGTGTCCTTCCCCTCCCCGATTACCTCATTAAGTAAGGGATGGGGACTATTGGGCTTGGGCCTGTTTCCTACGTCTATGATAAATAAGGCCCAGTGGCCTTACAAATACTTTCAGCTGGTCTTGGATCCTAGTCATAGATAGATCCTGGGGATTTGAGCGTGGTAGCTCCATTTAAATAACCAATGTTTCAAATTTTAATTGTTTTCTCCTATCTGAATAATTGTCGGGATGCGATTTATCTCACAACCTCTATTATTTGGATTTTGTATTGTTCATAATATTCTGGATAATGCCTAGTCTTGAACTTGAGTCAAGTTGATCTAGACCAAAATCTAGTACTTATGATCATAGCTTTCAAGGTGCTTGAGGCATAATATGATTGTTAACGTGGGTAAGTCAAATCTGTTGCTGGATCTGGGCTGTTTGGCAGATCAGGCTAATGACAAATGGTGTCACCCCCCACCTTTGTAGACATATTCCCTAATTAAAATTTTATTTCAAAATAATCAAGATGATGTAACTAGTATATGTCCATGTTGGTGACTTCTTAACAACCATGCATGTGATTAAATTTTTTTGCATTACGAGTTTCGGAAATTTGCACACGAAAGCTTTCAAGATTTCATGTAAAATTATGAAATGTATTGCTCTAAAAATCATAGGCTAGTTTAGCGAGGATAAAGGTATCTGTGTATATCCATGTTCCATTCACGTGTTTTATTTAGCATTTTTTTCCAAGCATTTTTGCACATATTTCCATGTTGTATATCCATGTTGCATTCACGTGTTTTATAAAGGGATTGTTATCTCCTTTAGGAGGTCTCCCCGTAGCCAGCCCTTAGTGGCATACGTCCCTAGGTAACTGAGAAATAACTCAGGTTGCCTTCCTGACTTCAGGGCTATAAATATTAAAAATATTTTTACCTATTTGAATTAGATGTCCACAGAATTGCACAGCGGAAACTTAGTGGTGCACATAGATGATGCACACCGTACATAGAAGTGCCTAAGCTTTTCACCCACGTGTCCTTACTGTCACAAGCACATGAAGCATTAATCTTTGCCAGATGCGTAATGTTAGAAATATGTGAAGATGATTCAGTGTACTGATCTGCTCATATTGTGGTTTTATATTGGCATAAAGCATGTTAAGAAACGACATTATATTCACCACTATATTAGAAAATAACAGAGTTGTAGATTCCAAAATAGGGACACTTTTTATTGCTATATTTTACTCTGACGCTATCAAATGGCTTGGTTAATTACTTTGTGTTCTGTAATTTAGGCAACAATGCAAGGATTGCAAGGTCCACAAGTTTGGAGGCTGTTGCTTTTGTTGAAGGCACAATGTATCTTGTATAGCCGATATGGACATGTCCTGGAACCTTTCAAATATGCCGGCTATCCAATGTTACTCAATGCTGTAACAGTGGACAAGGATGACAACAATTTTCTTTCGTCGGAAAGGGTTTCCCTTCTTGTTGTCGCTTCAGAGCTTATTTGGCTGACGTAAGGAAGCTCGTTCTTTAAGAACTTCGTTTATGCATTTATCGTAATATAGTTTGAGGAATAAAAGTACAATTCCTTACCTCAGGTGTGCATCATCTTCTTTGAATGGCGAAGAGCTTGTGAGAGATGGGGGAATACCACTCCTGGCAACACTTCTTGGGCGCTGTATGTGTGTTGTTCAGCCTACCACTCCTGCAAGTGAACCATCCGCTGTTATTGTTACTAATGTCATGCGAACTTTTTCTGTCTTGAGTAAATTTGAAATTGCGAGAGTGGAAATCCAGAGGTTTCCTAGTCTGGTTGAGGACATTGTGCACTGCATGGAGTTGGAGCATGCACCATCTGCAGTTGATGCTGCTCTTCAGACCGCTGCTCATATTTCTGTGTCATTTGTGTTGCAAAATGCATTAATCAGGGCTGGTGCCTTCTGGTATGTATGACTTAAACATTGGAGTAATTATTTAGCAGAAACTTAAAATTAGTTGTTTCTATTAAAATAATCAGTTCGAGCTATTGTTATACTTTTCAAAAGGGGAGCATGTTTTCGGTTCTTAAGTGGCTTCCCTCATGTAGGTTCTTTATGATTTATATCATATGTAAAGCTGTTTTGATGCTGTATTTATGATCACCCTGGGTGACTTGCTGTATCAATTGTTTTATTACGATGTTTTGAGCCTCTCTCTCTCTCTCTCCCAGGTACCTTTTGCCCTTATTGCTTCAATATGATGCGACAGCAGAAGAAAATAATATGATGGAAGCTCTTGGTGGTGGTGGTAGTGTCCAAATAGCCAAAAATCTTCATGCTGTTCGTGCATCTCAAGCTTTGTCGAGGTTAAGTGGTCTTTGTGGTGATGAAGTTTCAACGCCTTATAATCATCTCGCGGCTAATGCACTTAGATCACTCCTTACCCCTAAGCTTGCAAGTATGCTCAAGAATCAGTTACCAAAGGATCTTTTGTTAAACCTGAATACAAATTTGGAATCTCCAGAGGTAATATATTTAACAGCTCTTATGAAAAAGCTTTTCTTCTTCATCAAATGAATGCTGATGAATGGTTGTAAAAAAATATTTATTGTTAGATTTAATTTTATATTTGATGATGTTGTGAATTCAAAACAGAAAAACACAAGGACAATTATCATTATTACATAGAAGAGAGCTAATATAAATATAGTGGACAATAGAAGCTAAGGAAATCATGTTGCCAAGAAGAATAATATGAGGTGTATGTTAACTAGGTGGGATAAACTTAGCATAGGAGATTACCACAATGTGGACTTTAATTGTTTGGTTGTCAATGAAAATGCTGCTACCTACACAGAAATCATTTCACAGTGATATTTAAACTTATGGTTCACCTAAGTGCCACTCCTTCCATAAGCAACAAGGGAGTGAACCATCACCTTGTCCACGTCAGTCGTCTTGATTGTGCTAGGTACATTCTTTGTTCGAAAGCCTTGACGAAATTTTCATAAAAATTTTGATTTTGCCAAGTAAGAATTGATAAATATTCACTCTCCGTCTTCATTTTTATTGCATTTCTGGCTGAAGAGTTTTTTTTTTTGGGGGGGGGGGGCAGGATCGGGTGCTGCTTCTATATATTAGAAAGTGGCCTTCTTTGGCTTGGGAGATGCAATTACTTCCGTCACTAATGAAACTTTTATTAGTATACACAAGGGCCCTGATAATTTAAAATCCATTATTTCCATCATTTATTTTTAAAAAAAGATCATCTCTGCTTATTAATATTGACCATCACTCCATTCTACTTTTAATAGTGTTTTCTTAAGGTCAGATAAATATCATATTACTTCTTTTACTTTGGTTCGCAACTTATAGAATTATAACATCTGATACGTGTTGTCAGATGTCCTTGCCCTTGTACTTTGCAAGAAGTTAGATATGGTGTGCATTTGAGTTTATGTTGCAGAATGAAGGTTCCATATCCCAAAGTTGTGTTAATTCTCGAAAATATAGCTAAATTGATGATCTTTGTCTGGCACCGTTCACAATGCAAATATCATATGCATTCTAATCTTTGCATGCTGGTAGTCAGTATTAGAAGGCAACTAGTCTGTCATTGATCTTTCCAGTTTATTCCTTTTATGAGATTTCGTTTCAGTTTGACCTATTTGGCAGTCACTTCAATTCTTCTGAATTCTATGGAATTTCCTTTCAGATTATCTGGAATTCTTCAACACGAGCAGAACTACTGAAATTTGTGGATCAGCAGCGTGCCAGCCAAGGTCCTGATGGCTCATATAGCTTGGATGGGTCACAAAGCTTCACTTATCAGGCACTGTCTAAAGAGCTTCATGTTGGTAATGTGTATTTGAGAGTCTACAATAACCAACCAGATTTTGAGATAAGTGAACCAGAGGTCTTTTGCATTGCCCTTCTTGAGTTTATATCGGGTCTAGTGAATAGTCTTAGTGCACAAGAATCTGATATTCAGGGCAGAACTGTTCAGAATGGATATGTAGGTCAATCTGAACTTCAAAATGGCAATGCTGAGGAGCCAGATGGCAGAGAAAATATTGACGATTTGTTGTCAATCTCTTCCAGAGAGGAAACGTGCAGAGGGGATTATGCGTTGGTTATAAACCTACAAGTTTCACTGATCTCTCTTCAGGTACAGAATGAAATTTGTTAGATTCACTCAATTTATTTCATCCCTGATATTTATGTTCTGATATGTGCAGAATTTATTGACGAGCAAACCCAGGCTGGCAGCCATTTTTTCTACGAAGGAACAGCTTGTATCTCTTTTTGAATGTTTTACTCTATCGTTCCCATCTGAAAGTAATATTCCACAACATTGTCTGAGAGTGCTTTCCCAATTGACAACATATGCGCCTTGTGTTGAGGCAATGGTTGCTGAAAGGACAAGCCTTATCCTTCTATTTCAATTGCTCCACCGTGCACCAGCATGCAGGGAAGGGGCTTTACATGTCCTCTATGCCTTAGCAGGAACACCTGAGCTTGCTTGGGCTGCAGCCAAACATGGTGGTGTCGTATACATTCTTGAACTTCTTTTACCACTGCAAGGTAAAGTCTTATACTCTCATTTCAGCTGTTCTTTCCAGAATTCTATGCTTCTAAAGAAGCTGTATCAGATCACTTGGGTACTTGGTAAGGGTACTCCAATTTTTCAATTAGCCAATTCAATATCACGGTAATACCATAGTTGGGGGTAGTGGCAAGGACATCAAGGCAAGCTCAAGTTTGGCACGCTCATTGTCAGCTTAGATGTCTTGTTCCCCTATAATGCATCGCTGTATGTCCATGTGGATGGGAGCCTGATTTAATTATACCAAAGTCGTAGCTTACCATTTTCCGATCAAGGGAGGTTGTGTTTTTTGCTTCGAGTGTTAGTTGGCTAGTTATGAGCATCCACCTCTTGCCATTTGGCCTGTCAGTGATAAAGCAGTTTTTAAAACTGAAATGCTTGTCCATTTTTGATTTTTGATTTTGTTTGTGAACAACATTAATTTGTCTCTACCCTTAGTTTACTATAACTCAACTATTTGTAAAATAAAATAACAGAATTGATCAAACTAGAGCTCCCTGACAGAAATTACTTTATGCAGAAAAAATTGCTTTACAACAAAGAGCAGCAGCGGCATCATTGTTGGGCAAGCTTGTGGGACAGCCAATGCATGGGCCTAGAGTAGCGATAACACTAGGAAGGTTTCTTCCTGATGGTTTAGTTTCTGCTATAAAGGATGGGCCTGGTGAAGCTGTTGTTGCTTCCCTAGAGCAGACAACAGAAACACCAGAACTTGTATGGACGCCAGCAATGGCTGCTTCTCTTTCAGCACAACTCTCAACTATGGCATCTGAGCTTTATCGTGAACAGACAAAAGACCATGTTGTTGATTGGGACATTCCTGAGGAGGCATCTGGCCAACAGGAAATGAGAGATGAACCACAGGTAAATATATATATATATATATATATATATATGTACATTTTTACAAAGATTCGTCCTGATTCGGTCAGAAATTTTATAATCTTCATCATTATCCAGGTCGCTGGAATTTATGTAAGGCTGTTCTTAAAGGACCCAAAATTTCCACTTAGAAATCCAAAGAGATTCTTGGAAGGGTTGCTTGATCAGTATGTGACTTCAATTGCTGCTACGCACTTTGATACGCATGCTGCTGATTCAGAACTTCCTTTGCTCCTCTCTGCTGCATTGGTATCCTTGTTACGTGTCCACCCAGCTCTTGCAGACCATGCTGGTTTTCTTGGATATGTTCCCAAACTTGTTGCAGCAATGGCCTATGAAGGAAGGCGAGAAACAATGTCATCTGGAGAGGTGAAAAATGGTAGCAATGGCCCTTCTAATGATAATGATGAAACTGAGTCTATTTCCAGTGAACAAACTCCTCAAGAACGGGTGCGTCTCAGTTGTCTCCGCATTTTACATCAACTTGCCTCTAGTACTACTTGTGCAGAAGCTATGGCAGCCACTAGTGCTGGCTCTCCGCAGGTGATATGATTTTCTTAGACTTATTTATGTGGTATGGAACAGTGTTTTATTAATCAAACGAGTGGCTTGTTTTTAACTGGTTTGTTTATGCATGTTACTTATTTTATGGAAGTGATTACCTGTTGTATCCTTCTTTAGCAGTAAATTGTTACGTGTCTGGCCACACCCCTAGCCTGTCTATATCATTATGTCCTTTAAAGGTTTCTATTAAATAGAGATCATCATCAACTCATGTTCTTGAAAGAGGATAGCCTCTCTCTCTCTCTCTCATACACACGTGCGCACGCACACATCCACAACCAAATAGAGGAGAAGCATGGTGGAAATAAGCTTTTCCATCAAAATACTATAATAATTTGTATGTTATAGTTTTTGCTATTCTATTAGCATTTACTTCAGGCCTACGAATGAGTAAACCTAAGAAAATGATAATCCTTTACATCGTAATTTTCTGCCTGTAGCTTGCACATCTCAGCTACACATTTCTTGATTCTTTTACTAGAACATAACAAGCAATTTTTGTTTACTCTTGTATTTTGACAACTTAAATTTTCAATTCATTTTATTTCATTATCAGTGATTTGTGACTATGTAAAAATAGATTTTTCCATCTACTCTTCATACATTTCCTCTTTTAATATTTGATCTATTTTTTTAGAGCTACTGTCTTAGAAACAAGGTTCTCCTTCAAACATAAGATCAATGCTAGATTTTTTTTGTACATCGAGAAACTATCTTCAATGTATGAAAATTAGTTAAGTGATATCAATGAAATTTTTATTACAATTAAACTCTTGAATTGTGTTAACACTTGAGCATCGTATCCCTGTAGCAGAAGAAAGTGTTGTGACACTTTCCATTTTTTTTTTAATTTGCTTATTCTGGTTTCATATATTAATATTTCCAGGTTGTTCCATTGCTTATGAAAGCAATTGGATGGCAAGGTGGGAGTATTCTAGCACTGGAGACATTAAAACGAGTTGTTGTTGCTGGAAATCGAGCTAGGGATGCACTCGTAGCACAGGGTCTGAAGTGAGTATTTTCTCCTTTGAAGTTATGTAGAATTGTTCCACTAGTTTCTCATTGACATTGAATTTTGCATTCGCCAGAACTGGTTATTCTCTATCATTTTTTTATGCGGGATTTTTTCTCAGTCGTTTGTATTAAATGCATTATATTTCGACTTTAGAGACATTTAAAATCTCACAAAATTGCACTAGATTCCGAGATGAAATGACTTTATCATTTTATGAGAGTTGTTTTAGTTCCACATTATAAGGGACGAATGAAATCATTTAATTAAACGTATGAGTGATGAAGATTTAGCGAAGTACCTTTTGGGCCTAAATTAATTTTTTAGTTGGTTGCCTATGTTATTGAACTTATCGAATGCTATTTGACAATACTGGGCCAATCATTAACAATCAGACGATGATTTTAAAATATTTTTGGGTTTCTTGAGGAGAAACATCTCTTTCGTAGGGATCTAGAAATTTTGGAAGAAGCATCAGTAAACAACGGATTGGGTTCTCCACTGTTAAGAAATTCAATTATTAGGACGAAATAAAAATTGACTTTCCTATTATGAGGTTGTCACTCTCTTTAGGTGTTTCAGTGCACCATCTCTATCTGTCAGTGCTTCAGTTCAGTGCCTCCATCCTCAGGATAGTTTGACTTCTACCTTCCCTTTGTAGAATGGTATAGTTGACCGATGGTAGGATAGAAAATTGGCTGCTGGATATAAGGGATTTCTAGTACATTGTCTGATGGGTTTTCGCAAGGCAATTGAAAGTGAGTCACACTGCAGGTTTGGCTGATCATCTAGTGACGAAGAAGTAGAGATTTGGACATTTTATAAGGCTTCATCGGAATCTTGGGTATTTTGTGAATCATGAATGGCACCTCTCCTAGAGTATACGTTGTCAAACCTCAAATCTTCAGGAAGCGGATCTGAGGTAGAATAAGATATTTTAAGAGCTGGAATATGAAGAAACAATTGACTTACGGATGCTGACGAGGATTCATGTAGAACAATATGATCGGGAGACAATATAGGTTGTTCATTGGATGACGACTTATTGAAGTAAGGTACTGATTCATGAAATGTTACATCCATAGAAGTAAAAAAAAATCTAGATGGAGGGTGATAACATTTATAACCTTTTTGATTAATTACGTAACCAAGAAAGATACATTTAAGTGATCTTTGTGTGAGTTTTCATTTATTCTGAGTGAGATCACGAACAAAAGAAACACACCCAAATATGCTTAGTTTTATTTTATTGTTAATTTGGTGGTGTGGGAAAAATTGAGCCAAGGAATTTGTAGGACTGTGGAAATCTAAGATTCGAGAAGGTATACAGTTAATGAGGTATGTGGCTGTGAGGATACCCTCTCCTCAAAAAATATTTGACACATGATGTTGGAATAGGATAGATCTAGTTACCTCTAAAAAAATGCTGATTTTTTCTTTCAGCTAGACCATTTTGCTGTGGAGTATATACACAAAGAGACTCATGTATATTTCCTCTACTTTGAAGAATGAATTTAAACTTTGAATAAAATATTCTTTAGCATTTCGGATCTAATTTTTTTGATACTTGCACCAAACTGATTTTTTATTATGGTACAAAAGAATTTAAGAATATCACATGCATCGGACTTTTGTTTTAGAAGAAATACTCACATACATCTTCTGCAATCATCAATGAAAGTAATAAACCATTTATTAACATGAATATGATTGATGGGACAGTCCTCAAATGTCACTATGTATTCTGAAGAAAGGAATTTCACTCTTTTCTCTTTGAGAGGGAAATGACGCACGTGTGTGTTTAGAAAATTTGCGCACATTATATTTGAGAGTGTCTAAAGATACTCTTTGAAACAAAGAAGGAAAAACAGTCTTTAAGGTAATAAAGAAGGGACGACCCATCTTTTGATGAAGTAGACGGATCTTATTGACAGCTTATGAAGGTTTTATGGATTGATCAGTTTCCACTATATACACTTGGCTTAGTCCTTCTAGAAGATAGAGTCCGTCATGTTCTCTAGCAACTCCAATCCTCTGATGATGTTCCTTATCAAATGTTACACAAACATCTTCATCAAAGAAGGCATGGTAAGGGGAATCTCTCACAAGTTTCTTAACATAAATAAGGTTTGTAAATAGTTTGAGAACATGAAGAACATTAGGAAGAATGTTAAGGGGTTTAAGGTGAAGGTCTCTTATACCTACAACGGTTAGAAAAGATTCATTTGCAATTGTGACTTTCTATCAACAGGACAAGGATTGTAATTAGTGAAATGGTGAGAAGAATTAGCCATGTGGTCCGTTGCCCGAGTCCACTACCCAAGAGTTAGAAATATCTCTAGTGGAAGCTTTAATTCTGAAAGAGTGATGAACCTTACCCTATTAGACTAATGAGTGATGTATCACCATCGACTTCAATTGTTTCAATTCAGCTGAATTCATTTTATATCATAATATGAGATGAAGATGGGTGTTGATTTTGTTTGAAGTCTGACGGCTGATTAACATGTAAAGTTGTTGTAAAATGTACTTAGTTGCCGTATTTTTCATTATTGAAGTGTGGTGGTTTGCCATGTAACTTGTAACATCTATCTCTAGTGTGACATATTTTTCTGCAATACATACACCATAGGTTACCTCTAAAGTCAGTATTCTGGTTCCTCCCTTGACCTTGTTGAGGTGGTTTGGCTTGATCAACGGTTTCTTCATAGTTTCACCTTGTTTAACACAAATTCAAAATTATCATTTTTTAGAACTGACATCATCAATTTCCAGCGACTTTCCTCATTTAAGAGAATCGACATAGCTTCATCTAAATCAACTTTCTTCTCACAGCTCAATATCTATTCTCTAACCTGATCAAACACAGAATTAAGTCCAGCCAAGAATTTAAACTCTCCTTCTATCTATAAAATTTCGTAATGCAGTAATTTCAGTGGATTTTTCAGTATCAAGACTAAGGTAATGGTCAAGTTCATGACATAAATTCTTTAGCTCTCCTGCATACTCCACCGATTTACTCTCTTGCATCATGGACATTAATTGTCTCAAGTTCATATATGTGAACCTCATTTTTTGTCTATGAGAATTTGGTGTAAACCATCTGCCATAAGTCCTTGACTGTGGCTATGAAGAACAAATTACGAGTAATTTGGGTAATCATTGTTCCCCACAGCCAAGTTTTAATCAAGACATCCTCTTCTCTCCATCTCCGAAATTCTTGTGACATTGAGTCTGGTTTCCCCTCTATCAAGTGGTGTACCATGCCTCTTCGAGTCAATACTTCACGAATATTTTCTAACTATTGTATCAGATTATATTCAGTTAATTTGAACTCTAACGATATTGCAAGAAGTTCTACCAATAATCTTGTGCCTCCAGGAACAAGATTGACCTCTCTCGTAGAGGCTGAATCTCCCCCAAAAGATGAAGCAACATATCTTATAGTTTCCATTTCAAGGAGAGCAATTTACTTCAAGAAAAATTGATTTCGTGAGTAAATCTCGAACAGAGATATTCAAAGAACGGTATAAAGACCGTAATAGCAAAATCAATAAGTGTGAAAGCGAATTAGAGCGATCGCATCTGGATTCGCTCTATGGAGACACTGTAAAGACGTGTCCCTTGCCAGACGAGCGTGATACCAACAACTCCAACAGAAGTGGAACGTCCCTTGCCGATGAACACATAATGCCAAGAGAAAGTGATTCGAAACCCTAACCTTGTTCTGATACCATGTAGAACGGTATAGTCCTCTATTCGGTGTGTGCTGGTAGATCATGTTAGAATAGTCTTGCTTTAAAGAGTCCAGGTTAAGACAGTTAAATATGTGAACCAATGTTGGTTTCAATCCATCTTTGCAAGTTCCAATCCTAGATGATACAGTAACTTTTGCCACATAATTTATTTTCTGCTGAAAATGAAGAATGCTTAGAACCTCAATCTGGCAACGAGAAAGTGTCCGAAAAAAAAAAAGTTTTTAAAGTAAAAGAATGGAAAAAAAATGCAAAACCTGATATCTGAAGTAGTCATGACACTTGGTGCATACTACTTTTACTTCAATGGGTACTGTAGAATGTGGAGCTGGGTCTGCAGATGCAGGATAAGATTTTCGGGTGGCAGCATGAGCAGAAGGCTTTCGATTCTCATGAGCAGAAGGTTTTCCATAGTGTAATCATTTTCTCGAGCTTCCCACGATATGAAAATTCTAAATTAGTTTATTTAACATGTACTGAATATCAATATATGCTCGCTTTTGAGTTCATAAAATCTGTTTTAGGTTATGATCCTCATCCCAGGTATATTCTGAACTGTTTATCATTAAACCTGAACCCCGCTATTGAATTCATTTCATTGACTTGCCTAACTGTTCAACACAATTGCCTAATTGGAAGAAAATATATTTACTATGCAGGATTGGTCTTGTTGAAGTCCTCCTCGGTCTTCTTGATTGGAGAGCTGGAGGAAGGCATGGATTCTGTGCACAGATGAAGTGGAATGAATCTGAAGCTTCCATTGGGCGTGTGCTGGCTGTGGAGGTTTGCAATTATCTGTTGCAGTCATTTTTGTTGATTTCTCTTTCATATTTTGTTTTTATGTGCATCTACAGAAATTATTTGTATTTCTTATCTTTTTTCTAGGGATCAATTTATTCATCACGTATTTTAAGGGATAAATTTATTTGTTAGTGGTCATCTAAAACATGAAGCTTCTGATCTTTGTAATGCAGTACCCTAGACTTCCTGTACTCTATTTTTGACAGTTGTCATGGGATCCTTAGTAGTCCTCATAGATGGAAAAGGAAGTTCAGAACTGAAAATATCAGTTCTGGCAGGCTGTTTAATGATTAATATAAACTGCCACTGTAGGCTATCCCAAACTGCTCTTGCTCACACCGACTTAAAATACATTTTTTTTTCTGTGTTTTATTCTACGGTGCATTGGTGTTATGACTTTTGAAACTTAGAGCAAAAGTCTACCATTTCCATTATTCCTACTGTGAAGTCATATTACCTTTTTGGCAAGGCAATCCCTGTAATATCTATATTTTTCAAAAAATTCACGCATTAATTAATGTTTCATTCACCCTGTCTAGGTCCTGCATGCATTCGCAACAGATGGAGCGCACTGTATTAAAGTTCGTGAGATTCTGAATTCCTCTGATGTGAGTGCACATTTCTTCTCCGTTTGGACTGATATTTTTTCTATTATCATGCACATCTAGAGATTTTTGCTCGTGACCTCTAGTTCAATCCATAGAAATTTAATTCCATCAAAATTTCATGTGCCAGATGAAATGGACAATTATGGCCTTTCCAATTTGTTGTATTTTGGTTAATATTTCTGTAAAAAACTGGGCGGTTAGATATCTCATTCTATATTTGCAAGTCATATCAGATATTATTTGATCGTGGTTTCAGACAGAAAGCAATGTCTTGTAACTTTTCATTTAGAGATGTAGGGTTCTCTATTTGTAGATTATTATTGTAATATGATCCTGTGAAACTTTATTCCAGTTTTTGAGTCTTCTCTGTAATTTTTCACCAGTTCCATAGTATGGAATGTTCATGTTCTGGATGTAGCCTGACATGATCAAGTTTGGATCTAAGGAAAGTAATTTAGCTCTCTTCGTAGGCAAGGATTGCCTTGAAGGGCACATTCACCAGTGTGCCCTTTCTATAGATCGTCTTGTACACAACTTGATGGTTTATGTAGGATGAACTTTTCCTTATTGGGTCCTTCCTTCCACGGTTCACTCATTGAAGAATGTACCTGATATTTGTTAAGACTGTCTGGGAGACAGAACCATTTTGTTTTGTCCCAAGGATCTTTTGGGTCTATTATGGTATCAGGTCCAGCCGGGGTAAAACTTTGTTTCCTTATGGACCGCCAGTGAAACATGAAATAATTGGATTCATATGTCCAGCTATTCCTGCAAGAATGTCAGTTCTCCATTCAACGTAAAATTTGTCTGTTCAGGCAAGATGTCTGTGCAGTAGTGAGAAGGTCATAATTTTTTTTCATTAGAATAGCAGAAGATGGTTTCATTCTTCTAGTTTTTTTTCTTTAGCTTTTTTATTGTTTTTACTTGTTTGTTTTTGGAAAGAAGAAGGTACACTGTTTTCTACACAAATCTGGTTGTCAAACTATGAATACAGATTGGAATTATTGTTGGCATGGTTATATTATGGTCTGTAGTCATCCTAGTTCTTGCGTTTGATGAGCAAGAAAAGGGAAACCGTATGTAATATTTTAATGTAGGTTTATCTTATTGTAAATTTATTAGGAAAGAAGAAAAATAAAGAGCATCCTGTGTCCTGTTATGCACTAATACGAAACTCGAAGGTTGTCATTTACACATTAGTTGTCTGGTTATGAGTAGTGTTTCTGTAAGTGGATGTGTCACATGCATTATATATTACAAAAGACGAATATGCAACTAGATAGTTATAAGCCCTCAAAAAGGCCCTATATACACCAAAATGCTATTAAACAAAACTAGAACGCTAATTCCTTCTGAAATTGGAGTAAAGCCTTTCTGCATGACACAAATCCGAAGTCCAAACGAAGAGATTTTATGCTCATTCCAAATAAAATTAAGAGTAGCACATAGGGAAAGCCACCAATTTTTTATCTTATTTATGTATTAACTGTTGAGTATCATTCTCTCCATAATGCCCTTATCTCTTGTATCCACTATTTGCGTGCCTACTCTGTGTATGTACTTACCCAAGTTCCAAGGAATGCTAAACAAGTGTTCTAATGATTCTTTTCCTTATAAACTCCAAGATTTCTCACACTGTGCAAGAAAGCATTATGACAATCATTCCTCGATAGCTTCCCATGGGAAATCCTCTACATCAAATCTTCACCTTCATAGTAGAACCTGAACCTTTCATAAGAGGAGTCATATGGTGCATAATCCCTCTATTTGAGATAAGTTTGCAGATTGAGCCGTGAACTTCTTATCTCCTTTCGATTTCCATCTTCATTCATCCACATCTTCTCTATTGAGTGATATTTCTATTCGAAGACTCAGTAGATTCCCAAGCAGTACAAGTTCAATTTCTGTTTCTTTCAAGTTTCTTCATGACCTTGGGCCCTATCCTGTTCTCACAGCTCTACAGTTGAGTATCTTTGATGTTATAGCATAGCCATCATTTACGAACCACCAAAAGGATGGACATGTCTCTTCTATAGATGAAGTCCGACACTATTTATTCAGGAGAAAAAAAATTCGTCGGTTTTCTATTCACCTGAATTCCTGCTATCACCGCATTACGTGCTGGGGAATGGTGTCTCACCACCTACTGGAGACGTTACTTGCATACTCTTGTCCTCTTTTGGTATATTTATGAAGTCACTTCTATCCAGAGGCCATTATCTTCAGCTGGGCCACTTTATGAGTAAAGCTAAACTGAAACCTTTGATATTAGTGGCAGCTACATGGTGGCTGTTTATGGGTCATGTAATTTAATGAACAAGTGATGGCGTGTTTATGTGGGACATCCAATCTTTGATAATTAACTGCATCCCTTGCTCATGGAAGTGAGTTGTCAAACAGGAATGTGCTTCATGTTACTCTATGTGATCAATTGATGGCTTTAAAACCCGATTCTGGTAGGATAGTTTGTCCAGAGGCCTGTAACGGAGATTTTTCGTCAGTCTGTGACCCTATGGCTATGATGGGTGATTTATATGGCCCTAACTAGGATGGGGTGGCTGTCCTACATGTTCAGACTTGTATGAGTCAAGTTGTCATACTTTCCAAGTCATGATCCACGCAGGGTTTGACTGATTGACCGCAGCCTGACCCTGGACATGCGCAAAAGGATATCCAGAAACTGAAGGAATTTTCATGTTGTGTCACTGATGATCCCGGTGAAATCTATAGTCACTAATCTCTGAATGAGTCCAATCTCTTGTTAAAACGAGCTATAGACCCATTGCACTTCTTCCCTAACTTGATACTCACAATGAGTTGCTTGTATCTTTTCAATCTGTAGAAAAGTTATATATTTCTCTATTTGAGCTCTCTTTTACAAGCTTGGCCCTTGGCAGCAGCTGTGCATCTAGAAAGGGATGAACAGTTTATAAACAAATTGTATGGAAAACAAAACAAAACAATCTGGATTTCTTAATTCCAAGGTTCAGCTCCTATATTTAAGATTTAATTTGTATGTATATGTAATCTTAGTGTTAACACAGTCTGACTTATTATATATGCTTGGATGATCATATTTCAAAACCTTTATTTTTTGGGCTTAAACTCGTGCACAAGATCAACACAAGCCGGTATTATAATTGCAATATTGATTCTTAGATCTATTTATTTATTTGTATTTATATATAAATGATTCTACGCATAAAAGTTGGTGTTACTGGGACTCACATAAAGTTCGATCTGAACTTGGCAGGTTTGGAGTGCCTACAAAGATCAGAAGCATGATCTCTTTCTTCCTTCGAATGCTCAGTCTGCCGCTGCCGGTGTTGCCGGGCTCATTGAGAATAGCTCATCCAGATTCACCTACGCTCTTACTGCTCCAGCACCGCAGCCATTGCCCTTGAGGCCCCCTTCATCTACTACGTCTACAACCTCCGACAGCAACACAGACAAAGGCGCCAGTTCAGGGAGCAGCCAAGAATTTATCGAAGCAACAAGGCAGCCCCCGCCGCACGGTTGATCAGCCCACACAGTCCTAGATGTACAGATTTCTCATTTCCACTGCACTGTGTAAAGATCAGAGAAAGGGTTGGTTTTCTTCAATTGGCTTGTAAAAATATATCTCTTTCGAGGGTTTTTTTTGGCCCATAATTTTATGTATATTGATGTTACCCATTCCAGCTGTATGAGCTTTCGGCGGCCACGCCTTTCAGTGATGTCGCTGACGTTGTATCATTTACTTCTGCTTATCAAGCTGAGAATCATCTCCTTCATCAAACAAGCAGCTCCTTCAATCTCTGACCCATTTCCCAGGCTTTTTCTAGGGTGGTGTTCATATGATTGATGAGAGGCTAGTATACTACAGATTCCATATTCTCTACCTCTCTTGGCATTAAACTCTTGCCATTCTTTTATTTTTATTCCTATTTGAGATGTTTATTCGGTCCGTGGTGTTCTCACTGATGCATAAAACTAAGTACCCAAGTACGCAAGACAGAAGGTGAAGGCAATCTAAGTAGGAGGTACAAGACCGGCATGACCAAGAGAATTCCTCTGATGCCAAGAGTTTTGCTCAGGTTAACACTACAATGATTTCTCTCCGTTCAGAGATCTAATCCCCCATGTTGAAAGCAAGAGAACCCAGAGGTTTTTTTCTTCTTCTGGGAACTGCAGATCTGGTGAGCTTGAGAAGAGTTCATCCGAAACCAGGGGGGACATCGGGGTCCTCCTCGTCACTGGGAGCCGCCACGTGATCAGCCCTCTGAAGATGAGCAAATCCAGGAGGGGTGGCGCCATCGCCATCGCTCGCTGGTGAAGAAGCTGGTGAACTGCGGAGCTCTTCCTTGCGGTGCTCAGGTGCCTGCCCCCCCGCTGCAGGCGGTTCCTCGGGTTCCTCCTTGCTGGAGTTCTCCGACTGCGCCTGAATAAATGTAGTGAAGAACCCTGGCGGTTCCGTTGGTTCATCATCAGACGATATGGCTGCTTCATACGGACCATGAGCTTGAGGAGCGAACCCTGGCGGTTCCAGAGGCTCCTTACTGGGTGGGACGATTGACAAAGAAGAGCCTGCTTGTCGAGAAATGGCCTCCCCATCGTTGACTGATTGGCGGCTGGTCAGAGTCGGCAAGCCGTTTGTCTCCTCCTGTCGGGGGTTCATCAGCTTATTATAGACAGACCTGACCGACTCCCTTATCTCATCTCGCATTCCATCGCTGGACCGGATGATCCTCCACAGCTCGTCAGAGATATGGCCCATGACCTTGTTCCTGGAGGAGATGCAGGGTTGGTGTGGAAGAGGAAGATGTGGTCAAACCATGGAAACCCTGGAGAGAGAGTCCGGGCTTTATGGAAGCAAAACCAGGGTGCATCAAGCAATAATTACCAAGTACGACTGGGTAAAAACTCAGGCCAGCACGCCCGAACTTACCCAATCTCTTCATGAATGGCGTCTGAAAGCTGCCGGGGTTTCAAGTTTACAGCTCCTTCACGATTAAGCGCGGCTGACTGTTTCACCTCTAAGATAATCTGGCTGCGCAGGTCCTCCTGTGTTGGACTGTCCATTTCATCAGTTGACTTTTAAGACAGAGACTAGTAAATCAGTGATAGATATTCTGGTGTCCAATGCAATATAATGTGCCCGTGGGTTTTGCTTGGTTTGGGCCGATTATTGGAGCCTTTTGATCTCACTCCTCCTACACCATTGGTGGCACTTTTTGGACTACTAAATAAAATGAATATCCACTCAAACTGATCTAGTAAATATGCACAGGCGCATTTTTGTCTAGCATTATGAAGTGGCTGATGGCGCATGTAAGTTTTTGATTTGTTTAATGGTAATTTTTTGAAATGAATAGTACCTTATACTGATTAAACTCAGGGGAAAAAGGCAAGAAAATATAGTATTTTCGTCACAGCTATGATTAGGTTATGACCTGTGAAACATCTCAAATCGAAGCTGGGTCAGCTATAATTTTTTTCCCTCGATTAAAAAAAAAAAATCTTATGCCCGGTTAGATCATATGGGATGACTCCGGATCAAAACAAGATCACACCATGCTAACTTGATTGATACAACTTATCACAGCACAAGTATTATTATCTCCATAAAAATATCACATCAACTACAGCTACAAAGACGCCATCAAAATATGGTTACAAAATACTGACTAAAACTTGATGTTGCACTGGAGTTGAATACGGAGGTCAAGGCCATTTCGAATGCAAATCATCATTCTGCCTGTAACAGTATATTTCAAATGGATAAGGGCGCAAATGGAGTTCCTCTCTTATTACTCGTAATGCACTTCCAACTTTCACCTCAATCTTCTGTTAGGCTTATTCTTTTCACAAAGGGGCCATCATGCAACTCGCCATCCAAATTAAAATCTGTGAATGCATATGCATTTGTACAGAAATGAACACAAGAATGCACAAGGAACGTAAAGGATAAAAGGGGGGAGGGGTGCGTACAAAATCAGACGGGGAAAAACAAGAACTTTTCAAAAGTAGAACACCAGATACTAACCCAAACGTAAGTTTTTACCGTGACAGATTATCGAACCAAAATCTGAGAAATTATTTCCTCGATCAGTTATTACGAAAGCGAATCTATTGGGGGTGTCCGAATTAAAAGACATCTGTCAGTCAGTGTGATATCGTGGTAACAGAGCACGAAGAAGGTTTCAGGGTCCCAATGCGAAGGATAAAATAAAAAGTGTTGCCATGGAGTGACAACAGATCCAGAGAATCTATGCTAGAGGAACAAAGATGTGGGGAAAGCGAGAAGCCAGCGAAAGGTCGCAGTTAGTTTGTCACACATCGCAACAGATCTTGAGCTGCGCAGAAGCTGGAGCCTATTAGTCTGAATTGGCAAACTCCAAGAGTTCCAGCACAGAGACGGATTTGATGCAGAACCAAAGACTGCAAAGAGATGAACTGCTACTTCCATGGGAGAAGACTCGCCCTGGATTCCAATAACTTATCCAGATCAAAGAGATTTTTTTACAGCAGGTTTCATTATATGCACGTTTCTGGATTTTCGGCGGATGTTGTAATGGAAATTCCGCGTATCTCTTCCATGTAATTAGTACTAACTCCCTCGTCTGTGAAGAGTAGTTCAGATTCCGTAATAGAAGCTAAAAATTTCTGTTAAGAAAAAATGTCGTGAAAAACAGATAGATTCATCGTACTATCGTAATATATTCAAAGACGCCTAGCACACGTTCGCGGGGATGGATACGACGTGAGAGACGAGAGCGGGACGGTAGCATCACAAAACAGCGATACATCGGCAGAATCAGTAAGGAAACTTCAATGTCAGACATTAACGGATCTAACAGGTCGGGGCTGAAATTAGCGGATTAGCAGGCAGGCTTACATTTTCCTTGATCTTGCGGACTATTTTGAGGCGGAGGGCATCGAAATCCCCGTCATCTTTGAGCTTCGATATCACGTCTTCTACCCTCGGACGATTTCCACCGCCGCCTGATGATTCCATAGCCGTCATCCTTCTGACGCGACCGAAGGAAGCGACGCCAGGATGATAGAAGAAGTCAACCCCCAAGCTTCACCGGCAAGGGGAAGCGGTTGCCACTCGGAGGCTGCCGCCGGCGCCACGGAACCCAAGGAAGAAAGCGGCGAGAGTAGACGAAGTGCAGAGTGGCGGAGGAGACCGGACCGAATGTTAGGCAGGAAAAAAAAATATCAAATTATTGCGCTCTCTCTCTATCTCTATCTATCTCTGACGTGGCATTGAGTATGCCGACGTGGCAGGCCGCCAACTCCGCTCACCCCAGGGGACCTTCTGAAGCACACCCCGACCCCATTAAAAATAATAAAAAATTAAGCTAGGTCCATTTTTTGTGTGCTTCGAATAATGTTTTTATTTTATTTACATTTTAAAAAAATAAAAATCAAAAATTTCCCACCAGTATTGGAGTTAACAGGCTGGTCACGCCAATTTCACATTTTTATTTATAGACACACTACTGGTGAGAAAACTAGACGTTTTTCACTACATCACCACCACCGCCCTCCTCAAATCACCAAAGCCAATGCTCACTGTCAGAATTCTGAAGTTCTTCTAACTGGCGGCGCCGACGGAGGCTGTGGCAGCAGCACCAGCGGCGGCGGTTCGCGCTCTCAACCGGCTGCGGGTGACTCTCATGGTTTCTTCCATGGCTGTCTCTTGGGGAGGAGTGTTGAGGTCCTCAGTGGCTGAAGCCTTGCCTGCTTCGGCTTGAATTGCTCTTGCTTCGCCGGCGGACCTGAGCTGGGTCGAGTTTGGCAGGGCCAGAGGGCGTCCTGGAGGAGCCACTGCAACTGGGTTCCCCTCTTCCTTCTTGGAGAGATCAGGCGCCTGGTTATTGACGGCGCTCGGTGGATGGGTGGGGGCATTTGATGGTTGATGTTGCAAAGCTGTAGTAAATGGTGGCGGCTGAGTCGGCGCAGTGGCGGTGGCTGGCAGGTGGGCTGGCTGCTGCTGCTGCTGCTGCTGCTGCTGCCTCTGCTTCACAGAACATCAAGAAAAAACACACAATGAAGCCAGTCTTCACAGAACAATAGATCGATCAGGTTAAGAATGAATTATCCAGAAACTTAGACGGGCCCTCGTGTAAAATAAGCTGCAGAAAGCATATGACCGCACAAAAAATGAGGGTCCAAAGCTAAAATCATACTGGAACTCGTTACATCTCAGCGACCCAACTGGATTTTAACCGACCCAAGCTGTTCCCCTCACCATAGGGCAACAGGGCACACAAGATAATGCGATATTTAGCCAGTTTCGTGAGGAAACGGGTCGCCAAGAGAAGGATGCCACGCACAGTAACCAGGGAGAAAGATAATCTACCAAGATTTATTTTCTTCCTTCTTCGAAGAATACAGAATAGAAAAAATTAAAGAGATTAGCCTGCACGATTCTGTAATAAGAGTATGACAGAAAAAAGGCAGAGAAACAGAGGCAGAAAAATAATCTGTAATCATCTTAGCTAGAGTTAAGAGCGCACCTGGACAGGTCGTGGTCTAGGTGTCTCTGACTGAGCAGCCACATACTGCAAGATCTCAAAGAACCTAGTCTGGCCATAGCTCGCAGCCTTTTGCCCATACAAGACGAGAATGTCTCCTGCCCTAGCCCTCAACTCAAGCAGGCTCCGATCAATCTCTGTCTCATGCTTTGCAACATAAGGCCGAAAAAAGGAATCATAGACGTACGTTGTTCCCTGCACAAATGACCCAAGGTAAGAAAATCTATACACATAAATATATAACTGAAAAATAAAGCAAGTTGATATTTGATGGTGGTCGTACCCTTGTTTTGGGGTACCAGAGGTATATAAAAAATGCCAGCTTTGCTTCACTGTACATTGGTACCCTTCAACGCAGGAAGAGAAGAAAAACAGTCAATGCGCGGAAATGTGAAATAGGAAAAGCCGCTTTAATTTCCTCTGGGTTCCAGAGTATCATCAGTGTAACGCCTTAGCCCATCAGTCAGATCAAATATACAAGATGACTCCGAGACTAACCGAAGTCAAATTTTTGGGTAAGACCGGGTGGAGATTAATATGCAGCAGAGAAAAACGTTTTTCTTTTGTCCAAAAAATGGTACAAAGCAGGATCAGAGGAAGATGCCTCTTACCACGAGACAAAAGCATCTCCAACCCTCTCAAAGATGGTCAATACTGCGACTAAAATCCTGGCAAAATAAATGGCAGTCGGCCAATCAGATGGTAGCGCTCAATGGCAGATTGAGGAGAATCCACAGAAAAGGCAGAAGGATGAAACTCTCAGTAAAATAATGCTGACCAATATTGACACCAGAATCGCAGCTGCTCGATCTCTGGTTTGTTTTTTTCCACAGTTTTATAGCATTCATAAGCCGGATACACGTAGCCAAGAGCCATTCTGTCGAAGAGAAATAAACAACTGAAACATTTCCAACCAGCTGTTTCAATTAACATCATCCGATTGATAAAAAACGACCATTAGAGCGCTTACACCAGGACTCTCGTAAGAAATGATCCCATCATCCTGGATCCAATATTATGTACAGCTAATCAATCTAGAGGGTGAAGATCTCCTGTCCGCAAGCCTTCTGGAATGGAGAAGGGAGCAAAGAAATTGACGAGGACAGTCAATGTCTGCGTCTCTCAGATGTAAATCCTACAGCCCCAATACTACGATCCCGAGATGAGGAAAAAGGCCGAAAAAGCTCAGAAAAGCATTGGAACAAGAAACGCAGCGGCAATTGAGAAGAACGCAATAAAATGATGGAGGAAGATGCTTGGGAGACGGATGGCCTGAAACAGAGCTGACGTCCACTTCTTTCAAGGAGCATTGAAAGAACTGCTTGGGCGGCGCAAAGCAGGATTTAATGCTCCCAATCATGAATCAATCATCTTACGCCATGGTAGAAGAACAATAGAAAGGCGAAGCAACACACAGGACGTCCAGAGACATTTCAGCGAAGAAGAGGAGATCCGAATGGCATGGAGGCAGAGAACCTCACTAGCTACTGAAACTTAGATGGAATAGAAAAATACAAGGAAAACCGACATTCGACCAACAAAAATGCGGCAGAAAACGGCGCCATCCATCATATCAAGCTATTCCGACGCACTAAACAGCAACGCAATGCCTCAACGCAGAGGATAGGTTGGACCACTAAGGAAGGAAAAATACAGAACAAGAATAAGAGCAGGCCTCCGGCTACGATCACTCTCCTCCGCTTCCTCACCGTCCAGAGATTGCGAACCGATTTCGATCCCTGCCGAGGCTAGAAATCGACTGATAGATCTGACGCTCCTGAGGAGAAACAGGGCAGCACTGGGAAGCCGTCACGGCAGACAAACCGGAGACCGGGAAGCGCCGCCCTCGTACTGCCGGTTCTTGTTAACCGGTCACAGCAGCACGCCGCCGGAAGGTTGCGTGTACAGAGAGGGAGGGGAGAGAGAGAGGAGGCCTCCCGAGGTCTTCCTCGGCAGAGCCGTTATAGACGGACCTGCAACTATTCTCCGTCGCAAACCCCAAAAACGGAGAAGGCGAGATCGAGTCCTGCGGAGCACCAGACCGCGGTGTCTTCTCCACGGGGGCGTCCACGTGCCTCCCCCTTGAAACCGGATAGCGTTCGAGATAACTTAGCCCGGACCTCTACGCGACGCCAGTGAGAGCGACACGTACCCCATCGCTGGGCACCCGCCTGGTCGCCAACGGTCGCTGCGAACGCAGTCGATCAGACATCATATATACAAATTATCTTCTTTCATCGGAGAAATCCCAATCATTTAAGTTATCCCGCAACGGTCGCCGTCGCCGTACGCCTCACGTGATGCCGCGGAACAACCGACAGAGGCCGCACGCTCCTACGTCAAACCGAGTGGGCCTGCACGTGCCCGCGACAGGCGCATTACTTCTGCCGCCGGCAAGGTAGCCGCGGAATAAATAAATGTTATCTGAGCCTAAATATCCCAATATTTAAATATCTGGCAGATCGGAATGGTCCACGTGGCAGAGAGAACAGTCAACGCGAGACCCACAAATAAGGAAAGATGGGGTTGACTAACGGGAGGAGGTGAAGGTGAGGGGGACGGAGGAGGTGGTGACGAGACCGGAGAGGAGGCCGACGAAGACGGCGGAGTTGTACGTGCTGGGCTCGGTCTGCATGGAGTTGTTGCGGAGGTCGATGAAGGAGTCGTTCTTGAAGGGGCCGCCCACGATGGCCCCCGTGGCCACGTTGGGGTTCGGATCCGGGGAGGACAGCCACTGCCACCCCTTGCAGCCCGTCTTAGCGTCGACGGGGATGGACGCGCCGCGATGGTGCACCTGCTGCGGGAACCTGCTGCCGTAGCCCACCAGATAGCTCATCTTCATCGGGTTGTCCCCCAGGATGTAGTCCACCTGCTCCAAATCGCGCATTTTTTGTTCTTAAGTGGAGGGGAGAGAGATGTTGGGGAGAGGAGATCGAGAATCGGTCACCTGGGAAGCGGCGAACGTGCGGAGGTCTGCCGGCGTGAAGGTCTTGCCGCCGCAGTGCACCGACGGCGTGCGGGATGTGAGCATGTAGTCGCTGTACATCAGAGCGAGGAAGGACGCGCCAACGGGGTGTTGCAGGGAGTTCCAGTTCTCCACCCATATCAGCCCGTCTGCAGGGAGATGGAAAAAAGGAGAGGGTTGACCCAAAATGGGATGGATCGGAGATTGGAGCCACTTTTTGGAGCTGGAGTAGCGATCAACTACCGTCTGTTCTACTCGCGGTGGCGCTCGGTGAATCCGGTAGAAGCCCGCATACGACTGCCTCGGCCGTTTTCCTGTAGTTCTGGAGATCTACTGTCTCCGCAGTCGATGCCAGTTTTGGGCTAAAGATGGTTACCCTGGAGAGCAATACCTGCATAAAAATCGTAGGAAAAGAGATCAAAGAGAGCGTTGACCGTTTGAAGCAGAGAGATTCAGAAGAAGACGTCGAAGGGGGCAAGGAGGAGGAGAGGCCGTTGCCTGTGTTCCAGCGCGTTTATCATCCCAGCTGAACCAGGTCGGCTTTCCCCAGTCGGCATAGACCCTGCCGTTCGTCTCTGTCACATAGCTCAGATAGGATTGCTCTCCGGTTGCATGGTAGAGCCAAGAAGCCGCCCATAAGAGTTCGTCCCAGTAACCCGTGGAGTTGTAGAACCTCTGAACGCTGGGAATGCTTTCACTGTAAGAGCCCCTGAACTTGTCTGCGAATTTGAATAGCTCCCGAGCATGGCGAAGGAGCAGATCTGAGTAGGTGGAGTCGACGGATCTAAACACCATGGAGGCTGACGCCAAAGCTGCCGCCGTTTCAGCGACAATGTCTGACCCTGGAGACGTTTCGTTCACTTGTGTGACAGGTCTTTCCTCTGACATTGACTCTGGCCTCTCCCAGCATTCGTGATCTATATTAGGATCTCCCACCTAAAAGGCGCGCAAGTATTAGCTGACAAACTGGAAGACCGAAATTTGAATCATTAAAAGAAAATCATGACCGCATAATTTTATAAATATAAAGAATGGAGCCTGAAAGCTTATCGAATATATGATAAGAAAACAGCAGGCGATTAAAGAACTATCACTGGAGCAGTTTAAGGTTGACTGGGGCCTGAGAATCCAAATTTTCATCACAAAGAAACGATAGTTTCCCAGTTGAGTCAAAAAAGAAAAATCATCATATATTTTCTGGATGCAGAATACTTAAATCTAACACTTTTTCATGATAAACACCTTATAGCATGGCATTTCTATGAATGACAAAGTGACAGAGTCCTAACTTAACCTGGTAAAAGGGTCCTCCTCCCCTCCCCTCCACCCCTCGCTAGAGAGAGAGAGAGAGAGAAGGAAAGAAACTTGTGCAATGATCACAACAACCACAGTTACTAAAATGATGGTACTACCTCCGCTGGCATGACAAGGCACTACTGATGAATAACTAATTGGACGTGACCTATTCTCCTTCCCCTAATACACATAAAAACGGTTTCACGCTGAAAAAACCAGGTTAGGATTGGACTAGCGACCATCGGTCACCCACAGCATCAACTCCGTATAGTCCATCAGGATGAGGAGAACGCTAGACAATCCAAGCTGCAGGTCTAAAGATAGATAGATAGATGGATGCAACCGACACCATTTATTCACGGAATGGTCAGAGAGGATGAACAGGAATGGAGGCAATAAAAGAATGGACCGAACCCTCTTCCACCGTTCATATTTCCGCGTGCAACTACTCAGCTGATCACGAGGAACTATTCATACATGCACTGCATGTGCCTTCAAACAACTAATTGAACTATGTCCTTGCCCAAAAGAAAGTGCACCATGGTATAAACAGCAGTATGGATCACATGTCTTATGAGAATTTAGACACTGATCGAACGCGGACCTAATGTATCTTATCTCTAGCAGTTCAGGGAAACTGGCAATATTTTAAATAAAACAGAAGCGAGGAAATCAAAACATTATTATCTTGATCAATTGCTTGATTGTACATCAACCGAGTATAAAAAAGGGGGCTTCAGAATAAAATTTGAATATATCAGAATGGCTGACTCAGATCCAATGCTCTAGTGATCCCAGTTCATTCTAGATAATATTGCAGATCTCTCTCTGTTACACCTGAAAGCGCAATGCTTGAATCGGCTTTTCCCAATTCCAATTCAAACTAACCGTCATTCATCATAATAAAACAGTGGTCACATTGGTTGCTTCAGATTCAACTCTCCAATGATCTTGGCTGATTCTGGCCAATCTTAGAATTCTAACCAGTACCAAATATTGTTGGATCTGCTTCTGCCAATTGAGATCCAAACTAATCTCTGTGCATCATAAAAAGACATGGGTCAGATTGGCCAATTCAAATACAACTCCCTGTGATCCTGGCTGATTCGCATTAATTTCACCAACTCGGATTGATACCCAATTCCAATTGAAATCGATCATTATGCATCAATCACGGTTTATCTATTGAACCAGTCTAAGCCTACAACCTAGGCGAAGATGGAAAAAAATTATAGGAAAGTCATGAGTGAACTTGAAATGAGGACCAATGTGGATTGTACATGTAACTTCATACAAATTGTGGCATAAATCACAGTAGCCGTATCATTTTCCGAGAAAAAAGTGCACCACATGGCCAAAACACGATCTTTCATCACTCTACTACCTTCTCACTCGAGGATCCACAAGATTTAAGATGGATGGGAAATATCTTGGGATGCACAGACATGTAAAAGGCAAGAATGAGATATATTTCATGGAACCAGTCACTTATGACACATCTTCTAAGTATCAATATAATTTTTTTCATCAGGATGCACGTAAACCATACATGGAAAGATATAAGTAGGAACATAGCGTATAAACTAATCAAGAATCGGAAAAATGACAGAGAAGCACAGTTGAAGCAGCATCACAAGAGCCTGGAAGACAAGCTACCCATTTGAAGAGCATCACTACCGAGAAGCATCTGGCGAAACGTACTTTTTACCATCCCCAGAATGAATACAATCTCACAACTTCACAATGACACAACAGAAACTGCAGCCCTACGGTAATTGACTAAAGGAAAACTGCATCAGAAACAAAATGGCCCAATGGACGGGTTCGGACGGCGGAAATGTTAATTGAAGCCAACTGACGTTCGTCCCATATGAAGGTTCTTGTCAAGCAAAGAACCCAGACGATTTGGCAAGTTTACGTCTAATGGTGTACGTAATGTGTGTGCACTAGGTGACAACTGACGCATAGGGATTTCACCTGCACGAAGAGCACATTTTCCTTGGGGTGAGCATTGACCAGATAATCCGTGATCCACTTGAGCGAGTCCTGAGCTGACTCCAGCTGCTTCACTGCAGCGATCTGATCTCCATACTCAAGAATCGACCAAGCCAGCACCGTCGCAGTAAAAGCCATTGGAAGTCCAAATTTCATGTGATCCCCTGCATCAAATAATCCCTTCGATAGGTCTACATTTGCATCTTTCCCGTCATTCAGCGCGGAGTCACCTCTCCAAGGGATCTTATTATTAACCAACTTCCCGGCTGCATAGGAATTTAGCAGAGAAGAAAGCATTCAGCTTGAAAGCACTGTATGTGTAAAGAAAGAAATCATGTGGAAAATGGTAAACGGAACCGAAGAAGACTGTACATTTCTGTACGTCAAAGAATTGGATGGCCACCGAGAGTGCATCTGCGTACTTCTTGGTGACGGCACCCGGTGACCCTGGAACAGGAGCAGGCTCAGGCTCAGACCCCGAATTGTGCGACTTCTTCTTGATCGCGAAGATGGCGCCAACGATCACAAGTGCCGCGATGCAGAGCACGATAAGCCAGCTGCACCAACCCTTCGTGTACTTGGACAACCCCATATTTACCTGAGAGCCCTCTCCACCCGAGAGATTAAACAGACTTCCGGAGGGGCAGCAAGGCTTATCGAGAGACTAAGCTTACAGTAGCAAGCACATTGCGGGATCGATCACCCTCTAGGCGGGCAGCGCAGTTTTCCGTACTCGCAGGGGTCTCCAACTCGCGCTGAGATATCAGATCCCTCGCACCTCACGCCACGTGATCTCCAGTTGGACTCGTATCCTTCCGATGGCCCCTCGTAGCCCCAAGCAAAGAAGAGGCTCCCGTCCAGATCTATCGGAGCCCCGGGTGGTCGTCCACTGCGGTAACTTCCTAAAGTGCGCGACGCTTCGGTAATCCCCCCCAGCACCACCGACACTTCCATGCGACGACAATGAGGAGAGAAAGGATGTCAGCCATCGGTGAATCCTGTCTACGGTCAACATTAGAAGGATTCCTCATACCTTGAACTCCTGTGAAGATGAATCACCTGCTTCAGATCTTCAACTCCGTGGAAACCGGCTATGGAGGAGCTGGAGCTGAGAACCCTCGCCGGTGGCTCTCCTCCCTTCCTGTCCTACAGCAGGCAGCCTCCTGGTGGCGAGATCCCGCCGACGGTGACCCCTCCTCTTCACCCGAAGGCACCGCGATCGGACGGCCCCCCGAGGGGGATGGCCGACCGGCCCCGGTGGGGCCCGGCTGTCTGCCAGGCCATTTTCCCGCCCCAGGATGCACAGGGGTCGTGGCTTCGAGAAAGGCCACTACCGGAGCTACCCCTGACGAATCATAACGGCCCCGCCGTTTCTGGAAGTCAAGGTGCCCAGGCTGTTACGAGTGCTCTGTATAGCCCGAAGAATCCGATTCCTCAAAAATCAAAAATTGGTTAGATCCGCGTGTCTCCCAAACGGAGTACCGTTTGAACGGAAACGTGGCCGTCTCGAATCCGATCTGAGACGGAAAACATTTTTCCAAGAAAAAAATGAAAAAAAGGGCAGCAGTTAACGAGATATTCGTATTATTATGGATAGTTTTGTGTGGGGCTTTTCCTAGGTTTCGACTATTATTAACTGCGCAGTTAATAAAGTAATAAGGTTTTTAATTTATTTTTTATTATAAATAATCGCGATTATTTTTTAAAAGAATATTGGTAGAATTTTTTATTTACTCACACAAGCGAAAGACCTACCTTAAAAAAACTAGAAAATCGAGGTCTGTTCGACGGCGGCGATCTGTCCATCTCCGCCGCCGCGGCGGGCATTCGAGCGGCTGACAGGCGGCGGGGACAAATGGCGGGGAGAGAGGAAGAGGGAAGGCGATCGATCATCCTCCGTCGTTGTCGTCGTCGTAGCTTTCCAAGAGCACCGTTTTCAAGGGCGGTGAAAGCATCCCGCCGCCAAAGCGATCATCTCCACGCGTCTTTGCAGGGGAGCCGAGCAGTGGGTGGCGGTGGGTGAAGGCCATGGCCTTTTTCTTCCCTCTCGCCTCTCGCCTTCCCTTTTCTCTCTCTCTCTCTCTCTTCTTCGACCTTCCTGACGTAGACGGCCATGGACGGTCGCGAAGAAGCACCAGGAGCGGAGGAGAGAAACAGAGAGTACCAATCTATTTAAGCTAGTCACAGGTCTCTGTCCTTCCCTTGCGCTCCCGTTCTTCTCCCCCTTTTTCACTGGGATCGGTTCTAGGGATCCAGACCCACCACGAGTTCTCCGAGGGAAAAGAAGTGGGCGGAAGTGCGAGTTACTCACCAACCACAAGCTGCCGATCACTGGTCTAGGTTTCGTCTCTTGTTTCTTTGTCTTTTAAAGCTTCCGAGTGCATGGCGAATGGAAGGGAGGAGAGTCAGGACAGGTGCAGGTCGGAGCCCAAGCGGCTGGAGGAGCACCATAATCCGGTGATCGTTGTGGACGGGACGGATATCGCAGAGCTGGTGGGGAACGAGGCCGCTTTCGGCAGCTACGTGGACCACAAGTTCCAGGAGCTTGACCGAGACGGCGACGGCAAGCTCTCAGTCGAGGAGCTCGAGCCCGCCATCGCCGACATTGGGGCTGCCATCGGCCTCCCTGCCCAGGGCTCCTCCCCTGACTCCGACCACATCTACTACGAGGTGATTGAATCAGTCGTACGCTTCCCTCTCCATCTTTATCACCCGTTTACCTGCTCTGTTCATGTCACAAGTGCCGGTCGATTGGATCTGGTGGGCAGTCGAGATCAGATATATGCGAACAAGATTGTAGAAACCCACTATTCAACCCAAGTAACCTTAAATTATGCGCAAGTCGTCGACAGAAATCTACAGGCGCGAAGTGAGACAGCTCATCTCTCTGCGGTGATGCTGATGGTGCTCTGGTTCCAACGCTCCCCTGATGATCTCCAGTTATATATGATATTTCACTCCATTATTTTGTCCATCGTTTCTAGCCATCACTCACGCCATATGCAAAAATAGATGTCAGTGTATAGAAAAGAACTGTCGCGACTGGATCTGAGTACTCTATGATTTGAGTTTTTTTTTTTCCTAATCGGGGAAATCCCTCTCATCATAATCATAATCTACTCATCATTTTCAAAGGCAAGGTAGTAATTTGAAACTTTTTGCGGAGGATAATTCCCCTGCAGGAATGGAAGTAGAAAGAGCAATTACTTACCTTGAATGCCCTCATAGAAGAGATTACTACATCCAGGAGCAGAGCCCTGGATCTTCTTGTAATTCTTCTGAATATGGGTTCTTGCTATGACCCCGAGTTCTTGCAGGTTCTGAATGAATTCACTCATGGGAAACGGGAGGCGGTGACCAAGACCGATTTCAAGGAAGTGCTGTCTGATATTCTTCTGGGGATGGCCGCCGGGCTGCAGAGAGACCCGGTTGTGATCCTGAGGATCGACGGTGAGGATCTGAGGGAATTTTTGTTTGGCCTCAGGTTTGAACCAGAGTCAATCGCCATATTCTCAGAGATAAACCAGGAGAATGTGCCCCTGCGCAAGAGCATCATGATGGCTTTGGAGCGGCTAGGCGTTGGCCATGGGATGCCTCCTCTTTCTGACTCTTGGGTAATCACTCCAGACCATGGCCATTTTCTTCTCCATCTTTCCTAGAACCATCATCCTTCAGTTGACGTCAGTGATTTATGCCCAAGCTCAAACCCATGTAGGTCTTCGATAGCATCATACAACCAGCGATGAGCCATCTTCCAGTGGAGGATCTCGGTGGGGCTGTGTCTCAAGAGACCTTCTTGACGGAGCTGAAGAATATTCTGGGTAGCGTCGCCAGGGGCCTCAAGGATCGTCCTGTCATTGTCGCCCACAGTGAAAATAATTTTGATGGGAGCGGCATCAACAGGCTGCTATCCAACACCTTTGAGCTAGAAAAGGTACGACGTCATCGAAATATCTCTCCATTGAAGCTCATGAGTTAGTTTCATAGTTAGATCGTAAAGAGTCACAAGTGTGCAGTTCTTCCCGGGAATCATTCTGGTAAAAAGATGAGACCTTGAAGTTGATGGCGTCGGATTTATTGTTTCAGCTATTGGATATGGCTTGGAAGGAGCTTCCCAAGAAGACAGACCACAAGGCATCCAAGGAGTACCTCCGTGTGGCGCTGGACGGAATCGCTTCTTCCGCTGGTCTGCCCCCCTACGGCGCCATTAGCCAGGTACCCGCCGTCGATAAATAAGTAGAGTACTTAATATTGGATTTACGTACGTAGTTTTTGCCATATATTTGTTTGTTTATTTGTGTTGGAAGTTGGGCAGGTGGACGCGGTGGTCAACGAGGCCCTGAGGACGCTGAACGCGGACGACGGGCGGCGCATGCGCGAGGGGGAGTTCAAGAAGCTGATGACAGAGATCCTGGGGACGATCAGGCTTCAGCTGGAGATGAATCCGATCTCCGTCTCTGCAAATTCCGTCGTTCACGAGCCTCTCGCCGCCTCCTCCTCCACCTTGCTCCCTCCGCCTGCCCCCGCTGGGGAGGACGCCTCCCTCTAAACCCCTCCCTCCCCCCTCCTCAAAAGTGTATTTTGCACATATTTGTATGCATCCTGTACACGTACGCATGCATGCTTTACGTAAGGGAGAAGATGGAGGAGAAGATGCCTTAGAGAAAAGGAGAAGAAGATGAAGGAGAATCGATACCTTCACCACCATGGCTTCGATGCCCTAAAAAGAGAGTGACTTTCCTCTAGCGTGCTTCATATCGTCTTCTTCCCTGCCCTTCCCTTCCATTCCCTTCCCTTCCGGAGGAGCTATGGCGGCGCTGTTCTCGACGGAGAGGAGAGGGCCCCGGTGGAGGCGAGGGTGGAGAAGCTCCCTCGCCCTTCCCCCCGCCCCGCTCATCGCCATCTTCGCCATCGTAGTCTTCCTCATGACGATCTCGGGGTACGTCGACTACAAGGCGCGGGCGCAGCAGGCGGCGGGCGGCGCGCGGGTGGCGCTCCTCCTGCTGCCGGCGGCACTGGTGGTCGTCGTCCGGTTCATGCTCGCCGAGGGGAGGTTTGCACTCCGGCTCCCCCGTGCCGAGCGAGGGGCCTTCTACCGCGCGGGGAGCTCGCCGTGGGGCGTGGCGGCGGCCGTGGCGGTGGTGCTGCTGATGGTGGCGTATCAGTCCTCATTCCACTCCCACTGGTTTTCCCCTCTGTGGAGGTCTGATTAACGAGGAGGGAGGAGAAGGAGGACTCTTTGTAGATAGTATCAGTGGTCAACAGTGTTTACTGTTTCGTTGAACAATGAATCGGGGAGCCCTGATTTTCCATTATTTCTCTACAAATAAACAAATGGTGTGTGTACACAGAGATCAAACTCGGGATCGATCTCCCGTTTCTCAGGAGCCGCCGAGCTGAGAGACGACGGAGAGGAAGGTGGGTTCGCTGCAAGGGAGCCTGAGGCCGCCGGGGGGCTGGTCCAAACCGAACACCTCTTCGGCCTGGTGGAGCAGCGCCTGGAACGAGGGGCTCTTCAGGTAAGACACAGGAACGAGGAAGCGCTTCTCCTCCGTCCCCACGTAGACGGCGAAGTGGCCTCTCCGCAGCTCCGCCGCCGCCGCCGGCCGCTTCGAGCTTGGGCTCCCGTGTCCCTTCCCCATCAAGGAAATCCTCCCCATGGCCTCCTCTAAACGAGCTCTTCTTCCGATGCCTGAATCTGATGGATGCTCTTCGTAAGAGTTCCCCAGCATCTATTTATATACTCTGCCCGGTCACTGTAAGAGTTCCCACTGCCATCGGCTTTCCCCCCATGTTAGTCGTTGGTCAGACATCTTGCCAGCTCTGCTGGCAGTGGAGCCGTCCGGCGGCGGCGGCGCCCTGCCCAACCTTCCTCTGCAGCAGGAGCTCGTGGCGCCGTTCATGAACGGGGGAGTAGGACAGGATGAGAATCCCTGAGGGCTCTCTTCTCTCGGACGCGGCTCGAGGACCGGGGAAGGCCCAAACTGACGGGGGCGCCACCGCGGGGGGGAGTCAACTCTACCGATGGGGATCGATAATTGCATGTTTTGTGTGCGTGTCTGTGCATGGGGGGGGGCTCTTTCACGTGACGTCTTCTCTCGGCCCACATGAGATGTCGAGGCGGCGAGAGTCAGCTGCGTGGATTTCGTGGGCTGCTAGCGGAGACGGGTGGACTTTGCGGCAGTCTGGGAACAGAGAGATAGAGAGATAGAGAGAGAGAGAGAGAGAGAGAGAGAGAGAGAGAGAGAGTTATGAACGCAGAAGACGGCCTAAAGGAGGTCATCGCCCAAGAGAGAGAAAATCGACGCTCCGTTTCGATGGGCAACCGCAAAGTTGTTCGTTTTCGAGAACGAAGAGTTCCTTGTCGCTTGGACTCCTATCAGCGAATCAAAAAATCAGCCCAGATACAAAGAGAGACAGACAGAGAGAGAGAGAGAGAGAGAGAGAGAGAGAGAGAGAGAGAGGACAAGAGGGAGAAAGGGAGAGAGGGAGAGAGAGACTTCCACGGAAGGGCGTACTGAGTTACTAGGTAAGAATGAGGGCCACGACCGGCGCCGTCGTCCTAGCGAGAAACGAGTAAAAAGACGACCTAGAGATGAGATAGAGAGAGAGAAGTGATGGCAGCCCTCGATATAGAAAGAGACCGGCCGCCTTATAATCCTTCAATCGGTTACTTCCAGGAAACACACGAAGACCAACGGCGGAGCCCGAGCCAAATCTGGAGTCCTCGCTCAGTCTCCAGTAAAGACCCCATAACAGCCGTCAATCCGCCCACCGGCAGTCCCCACGGCGTCCATGCCCCGACATATCGCCATCGTAGATCCTTCTCCGAGCTGCACCAACCGCCGGCGGAGATTATAAAAAACAGCTCCCTACGAGGTGGGGTCGCCGGCTTTCCGCGTAGCATTCGGAGGCTTTCACTCCGGCACATGGTGGTCGTCGCAACTGGATACGTCTCCGTCGTCTACCACATGAAACCTCATTAGCTCATCCACCTGCTATTATTCTCAAGTAGCTCGACGAGTGTCGTTCGTCTTCCTCACGGGCGAGGGGCACTCGCATACGGCCACTTCATTAAAACCTAGAAGATTAAAAAAAAAAACAAGTGAGGGAACCAATTGCGCAGGGATTCCGAAGCCGGAGGCCAAAGTTTCAGTCTTTTATCTCAAAATCTACGGAGTAAAGATTGCTTAATCCTTGTCGCCTCTACGTGCAACCACCCAAGAACTTGATGGGTGTGTAGAGAGTCAGAGAGGGAGAGGAGACCATGTAATTCACGCCACGGATGTAAGAGCGGTGGGTTAAATTCACACGTGATTATCTGGTGTTGCTATGAATAAATTTTGTGGAGTGGACTTTTGGGTCTCGTGGAACAAGACGGTCAATGACGCGTGCCTAAAATTTGTTACGATTTTATGACAAGAATAGATTAAAAGGGAGAGAGGTTATCTTCGAGAAGTGCCATTGTAGGAGCTGCGAAGCGAACGGAAGAGAGGCAGAGGGAGGGAGGGAGACCCTGTAATGCACGCCATGGATGTAAAAGAGGAGTGGTTTAAGTTAAAACGTGATTGTCGACGTCGCTATGAATAAATTCTGTGAAGCGGACTTTAGGGTCTCATTGGATCAGACAGGTCGTATCCCACATGCACAAAGGTGTTACTACTTTATTGGCGAGAATAAATTGCAAAGTAGAGAGAAGTTATCTTCGATAAGTCCCATTGTAGACATTGCGAAAATGACGAGAGAGAGACAGAGAGGGAGCAAGCCCGGCATGTGTTATACAGGGAGCATGCCCAACAGTGGCGCCGAGACATCCACTCCAGCTAACCACGCCTCATGCACCTCTTTCTCTCTCTCTCTGGGCCCTATCCTAATTACTGCACCCCCTTCATTTCCCCCTTGGGCGTGCGTTCTCTATATATAGGCGCAGAGCCCTCAGGCAGACGAGAAGGAGAAGGCTGAAGGGAGCTGAAGAGAGGGAGGAAATGGCCCTGAGGAAGTCGAGCAGGCTCAGGCAGGAGACGGTGCTGAGGCAGCTGGTGCAGAGGTGCAGCAGCTCGGGGAGGAAGAGGTGCTGCCAAGAGGGCTTCCCGATGGACGTCCCCAGGGGCCACTTCGCCGTCTACGTCGGCGATAGCCGTAACAGGCACATCGTCCCCATATCCCTCCTCAGCCACCCCCAGTTCCAGCTCCTCCTCCAGTGGGCCGAAGAAGAGTTCGGCTTCGACCACCAGATGGGCCTCACCCTCCCCTGCGACGAGCTCTTCTTCATCTCCCTCACCTCCGCCCTCCGTTGACGACGGCGAACGGCATCGAGAAGGGCTGAGCCTCTCTGCTCATCCCCACCCACCCTCTCCTCTCTCTCTCTCTCTCTCTCTCTCTCTCTCTCTCTCTCATGCTGTACATTGTGAGTGGTCTTTTTGTAGAGCATCTCTCTTCTTGATTTAGAAGGGCAATTGATATTCATTGAACCAGATGTTCACTGCCCGGAAAGGTCAAATAACAGTGTATATCGTTCAATGATCCGATCCCCCGACTCCGAAACTCAAGTATGATAATAATCTTAAGAATAATAGCATATATTAGAAATTTCTAGGGCGGAATTGAGGTTCAGAGGGAGCGTTTTCCACAGGATGCGCCATGCTAGCGATAGGTCACCATACGGGCCCATTAACAGAAAGCCCGTCACCTGTCCTGTCCTATGAGCCGCTGGGTAACAGCCCATCACCTCCTCCCGCCGACACTGCTCTTGGAGATATTTTTGGGCCTTGGGCCAACAACTTGCTCTGCCCACTACGGGTTATTACCAAGTGGCAATGCTTGCTCACGTGTGAGCGGATGTCGGTATTTGTCTTATTATTGGGCCGGGCCCAACAACTCGTTCTGCCACGTGGTCGGCCGGGCCTCAGACGGTGGAAATGAGTCTGAACGTGGGCTGTTCGACGGCAACAGGGGCCACCGTAGCCTCTGTCGTGGCGGGGAATATTTTAAAAATGAAAGCCTTAAATTCGTGCATTTAAAAATAGAGCACTAGTAGCCATGCATTTACGAAAGAATCCCAGAAGAGATCTAAACACAAAGGGTTTTAACTAGGCCATTGATATGGAAATATTTACGAAAGGACCATGAAAAGGCTCTTTAAGATGAGCATTATGATAACGGGCTGGGCCAGGAGGTCCCTTATCGGAAGCGGAGAAAGGGTCTTTTGGGCTGATTGATCGGCCCATTTATGAGCCGGGCCAACTGAGCAACCTCTTTCCGGGCTTCTTTGTGCCCAAGCCCGGATGAAAATGAGCGGGACCTAGCGGGCCTCTGGGTCGGCTGGGTCATTTACGCCCATTAGCCTGACCAGGAAACTCCATGTTACCATATTTAGATAAATTCGGCGGAGAATTACAATCATCCTGGGATGATTTTCTGAGCAACCAGAGAAGGAAAACAGCCGTCACAAGTCAACCACCCAGCACAAAGAAGAGAACGACCTTATTTTATTTCATTTTATTTTATTTTACCCTTCTTCGTTGATCTCACCATGACTCTGGATCTCATGCAGAAATCATCATGCTGAAATTAGGCGTAGCCTCAACCATCCGCTGAAGGTGAGAGGAGAGAGAGAGAGAGAGAGAGAGTCATCTGCTTCTCCTCAGCCTTGCTCTGAGGCTTCACCATAGCCTGGAGAAAATAAATAAACTGAGTTAAAGGACCAACCTGCTAGGAAATCGATAAATCGAGCTAGGAACCCAAAATTTCGGACTTCTTGGTATCTTTCCTATAAATATAGTTACTCCCTCTCTCCTAGATATGACACCAAAGACCAAAACATACTAAAACTGACAATTCTATGTACAAAAAAAATACTTTTATGGTTGCTACTAATAAGACTTTTTACTATCAAAGTAAGCTAATAATATGGATAGGGTGAATATGATCTTCGGGTAGCTCAATCGCCTGGACACATCCAAGACAACAGTATGAAAACAGTTTAATTTTCCACTTTAGGGGGAAATATTCCAGCTTTTTATCATTAATCACTGCAGATAATCGATCTAAACCAATATATTTGAAACGAAGAAGAAGCCCAGTCGTTGCCAAGGTGTGAAGATGTTGAAATTTTGTGGAGTTACTGGGAAGGAAGTTATTTTCTAGGAGAAAAAGGAATGCGTGACTAGTCACTGCAAAAAATCAAATAGTAATCGTGAAAAGGCCCAATAAGCACTCACGCTTCCAGCTTGTTTACATATTCACATATGAGAAGGTTCCAGATTCTTCACCATGGGGTCATCTTTTTCTGCAGTGCGATAATATCAGCGAAATGGGTTTATATAAACATGGTATCATAAAATTATTCCCTCAGAAACCTTCTTCATCTCAAAGGATCTTAATCAGCCGTCACTGTGGGTGAAACCTACAATTCACAGTTGAATTGCCATCACTGTGGTTTTGCAAGTTCGTGCTTTCTGAAATCCATCTCAAGCCTCCAAAAATACTGATGCTGAGAAGAGACATCGCCAGAAAAAACATCTAAAACGCAAAATCAAGAAGTAGAAGCTGCGAGTTTGGAATGTTGTAAGCATTGGACAGAAGCCTACAATAGAGGTCATAAATGCCAAATATTACTCACAATGGGCTCCAAAAACCTTCCTATCCACGAGAAAATATACGTTTCGGTGGGAGAACATCAATCATCTCCCATCTCCGTCTCTGTAGATCCTCAATTTTCTTCGAGTTACCGCTTCGTCAAGAAGAATTCTGACGGATCAAATAGTTACGACGGTGAAGGTAAGCCTCTTACTCCACCATGACATCTTTTCAATGAAACGTCACCATAACAATCTTGCAGAGAAAAAGATAAAGTCAATACCAATCTTCATAGTACATGTATTCCCTTCAATTCAGCGTTCTATGGAACAATGCGAAGATTAAAGTACAGAATCCTGCCAACTGAACTCATCAGAAAATGGATAACTGATGCCAAAACTGGGAAAATAAGAATAACAAAAATCTCTCTACCCCTCCATCTCTAGTAGATCCCGAAAAGAAAAAATTATCACGCGAATAGATGCGTAGGATAAGGTCCAGGAATATGATACGCCAGAAAGATCTTAGAGAAATCGTACACAAAAGCATGGCAGGTTATAGAGGAATAAACGAGTAAAGGCGTACAAAAGCATGGCGAGGGCACTGACGCCGGAGACGCCGCGATCGGAGCATGGCGAACTCCTGGCCTTGAATGCGCTCGATCCCTCTCAAGAACTTTCACGACCAGTAGTAGTACGTTGTGGTCTTACGGAGAGGTCGGCCGATCGGAATTTATAGTTCGTTCCCACTTTCTCACACGTGCTTTCGCTTTCACACGTACGACGCTCCACCTGACCCCACACGTCTCCTCCCCGGCAGCCGTCCCGGTCTTTCACACGAGCAAGTGGCACGTGCTGTCTGGTCCGGTCGTTATTTGTGGCCTCGTCGAGCACCGATATATAAAGAGCAAGGGGAAAAAGTTTCTTCTTCCTCCGTCACCTCCTCGGGAGATCCGTAGGTCCATTGCCCCTGCACACAGATCTCGAGCTTCGCCCCGCCGGCTAACATTCGCTCCCCGGGAGGCACAGCAGATCGATGGCCTCCCCCGGCAATGACCACGCCGCCGGAGAGAGCAACGGCGACAACTGCCACGCCGCCGCCGCCGGATCTGAGTCGAACGGCGGAGTCCGCGTCGGATCTGGTGACCCGACTTCTGCGGCGGCAGATCCGGCGGTGGTGCCGCCGTCGATCTCCCCTCGCCGGCGAATCGCGCTGGTCACGGGGATTACGGGGCAGGATGGATCGTACTTGACGGAGTTCCTGTTGAAGAAGGGCTACGAGGTGCACGGCCTCATCCGTCGGTCCTCCAACTTCAACACGCAGCGGCTCAATCACCTCTATATCGATCCACACAACTCCACCAAGGCGCTCATGAAGCTACACTATGCCGATCTCACCGATGCCTCCTCGCTCCGCCGCTGGATCGACGCCCTCCTTCCGGACGAGGTCTACAACCTCGCCGCACAGTCGCACGTCGCCGTCTCCTTCGAGGTCCCGGACTACACCGCCGATGTCGTCGCCACCGGCGCTCTCCGCCTTCTCGAGGCCGTCCGCTCCCACCTCGCTTCCCACCCAGGCAGATCCGTTCGCTACTACCAGGCCGGCTCCTCGGAGATGTTCGGATCTACCCCGCCGCCCCAGTCCGAGACCACGCCCTTCCACCCCCGCTCCCCCTACGCCGCCGCCAAGGTTGCCGCTCACTGGTACACCGTCAACTACCGCGAAGCATACGGTCTCTTCACTTGCAACGGCATCCTCTTCAACCACGAGTCACCCCGCCGCGGCGAGAATTTCGTCACTCGGAAGATCACCAGGGCCGTCGGCCGCATCCGAGTGGGCCTCCAGAGCAAGCTGTTCCTCGGCAACCTAACCGCCTCGCGGGATTGGGGCTTCGCCGGCGACTACGTGGAGGCCATGTGGTTGATGCTGCAGCAGGACAAGCCCGACGACTATGTGGTCGCCACCGAGGAGTCTCACACCGTGGAGGAGTTCCTCGAGGTCGCATTCGGCTACGCAGGCCTCAAATGGAAGGACCACGTCGTGATCGACAAACGCTACTTCCGACCGGCCGAGGTGGACAATCTCAAAGGAGACTCCTCCAAGGCCAGGCGGGAGTTGGGGTGGAGGCCCAAGGTGAGCTTCCAACAGCTGGTCCAGATGATGGTAGACGAGGACACGGAGCTCGCCAAGAGGGAGAAAGTTCTTGTCGATGCAGGGTACATCGATCCCCACCAGCAGCCCTGAGTCCAGGAATACATAGCGAGTATCCATCTATCTATCCATATAACCTTCCCCCGCTTTATTACTTTCTTCGTCATCTTCTAGTACCCTTTCTGCGCTCACTCTCTCTGTTTCTCTTCTCTATTGATCCAAGTGCTCATTTCTGAATGAAATCTGGATCTCCGTTCCTTTTGCGCTGGATCTCAGTTCGCACTGACGGATTTCACATGTAAGTAACTGCGACTTTCGATGGTCTCCATTCTTCGTTAAAACGGGGGATCAAACTCCTCTTTATTGTGCATGAATTATATTTGATAAATCTGGAAAATTCAATGCTCCAGACTGACCTCCTCCCCATCCCTCACAGAGGATTCAATCCTCTAATCCTCTCATCGTCTGACAAATAAATATCAATTTTCGGAGCCATACCGCCTCAAACCCTTCATCATCCCGAGAGAGAATCAGCCATTTTCAGCTCTGTCGTACGCGTTAGACTTGTGCTTGGGAGCGAAGGTGAACCCGGCAGGGACCTTTCCCAGCAGCATCTCGGAGATGCGAATCTGCAAGCAGTTCCGAGGAAGAAAGAAATTAGGGGGCCTTGCAGAGATCCAGAGGGTGAAGGAGAGACATGGTCTGGCGCTTGGTGGCGTACCCAGTCGGCGGCGGAATCCGAAGCCATCATGGTCTCGAGGTCGTCCCGGCCGAAGTAGCTGGGCGGTCGCCAATTAATCCGCTGTGGGACGACTTCCAGGAGGCCGACTGGTACGTACCTGTGAGTGTAGCTGAGCCATTCTAGCAGGAAGTGCCTCGTTGTTTCAACACCTGCCCACAGGAAACTCATAACCAGAATCCCAATCTACTCCATAAACTAGACCAATATTAGGATCATCAAGGAAAATAAAATAATATATATATATATATATACTTGTTACAAGTATACCCTGAAGTCGGACCCATGATATCTGTCATATGAAAACCAATAGATTGATTTATCAAAGGAAAATATCTTCTTTTATTGACGTAGCTGATGTATGGCCCTGGAACATATATACTCTGGACCAAGATTCAGAAGTTTTATCATCTGAAAACCAATCGAATCATGAAGAGAGAGAGAGAGATAAGGGGAAAAAAACCTCTTCTTTACTTGAAATAACCAATATAAAGGCCTACTATAGCACAGGAATATCAGATAAGAACATGTAGAACAGATTTTCGAAGAGTAGTACCTTTGTTGTCAGAACCCCAATGCTCAAGACCGAAGTTCACAAAATCCCTGAGGATGCCAAGCCTCTCCCCTGAGCTGATGTCCCAATGGCGCTTCTCCTTGATCTCAGTAAATATCCAGGGCTGGGCGACGGAAACAGTGTACCCACGGAACATTTTAAGCATGTAAGTGGAAGAGAGAAGAAAAATCATACACATCATATTCTCATGACATATACTGCCCAATCAAATAATAGGCCCGGCCCAGTCTGCCTAAATCCGGGCTTCAGTAAGGTCTAGTGAGAGTCACATAGGCCCAATGTAGGCTCAGAAAGCCCTGGCCCACTGTCACCCCCCACGAGTATCATCAATACGACGAGGTCATCCGTTCAGGCTATTAACTAATCGTTATTTTCTTTTTCATAAAAGAGAGGTTAGACCACAAACCTTGATCAGAGCACCACGAGCAACCATGCAGCTGGAAAGTTGGGGGCAATCGGAGTTGCGTTTGTTCCAGTCGAGGTAGGAAAATATATCGCCATTTCCCAAGACCTGCAAGTTACTAGGAGCCTTACTCGCACACTGGTATATGTAATCCCAATCAGCGAGCTTGCTGTAGCGCTGCTGCCGTGATCGCCCGTGTACTGTGAGCGCGCATGGCCCCCATTGGGCAATATTTGCGATCAATGAGTCTATACGGTTTCTTCCTTCGAAGTAACCAGTTCGGACCTGTCCAAGGACATGGGAGGAAGATGATGGGACCATAGTTATGGCCGTGGGTGGAGAAATGCCACTGTAGAGGAGTTGTGCAGAGTCTGAATTTACCTTCAAAGTCAGAGGCACATCACTTGCGCCACAAGCGGCTAGGACGATATTCTTCATCCTCATGGGCTTCGTGAGGAGAGAAGAGCCAGCACCCTTGTTGACAACAACGTCAATAGGGCAACCCATGTTGACGTCGATGAAGTCGACCGTGCACTCACGCTCGATGATCTCAACTGTTCGAGCAATGGTATCAGGGTATGATCCACATATCTGCACCCCGAATGTGTCCTCTGATTGGTGCCTCCTCAGTAAGGCCCATTCTGAAGCCTGCCCCTGATTTCATCGTGCCCAGCATTTTAACAAGAAGAACAATCGAAGAGATCCTTGTCACAAATAATCAAATTATGGTTTCGCAATGGGAAGATGAACATATGTTTCGGCGATCAGAGATGTCGACTTGAAAATGTCAAGTAAGAGCAACCTCTGCTACTGTGATAGAAGTAAAAAAAAGCGAGAAAAAATATAGCGCACAAGGTTCAAAGAACATTAGCTTTTGTTCAGCGAAATTAAATCAATCGTATCGTACTCGATGCTTCAATCCAGACCTGGTTCCCCGGTATACGAGCATCAGTTCCTGGCTGCTAAAAAATAAATCTTCCAATATCTTATTTTAGATTGAGCTATTAAGAGAACTCATATGAAATTTATACTGCCCAACAACCACCTGGTCTGTAGACTTCAAAATAGTGAAATTGATTATTTATGGGCCCAAATGGATGAAATGAGATGTCACAATGACGATTTGGGGATGCACATGCCTATATTGAGCATTATAGAGCAGCTATGATAAAATATGTCTCTGTCAGATATGCATGTGGGTGCACAATTTTAAAGTTTCGATGTAAGCATCAAGTGGCTTTCACAACGAGTGCTAAATCTGAGGGCTAAATATCAATGTGTTGGTTACTTAAATTACCTGGATATGGAAAACAAAAAAGGTTGTCTCTCCGTCTGCTTTCCTAACATTTTTGTGGATACTTAGTCAAAACCAACGATCTGACAGCAATACTGATTGTATAAAGAGAATCCATGCTAAATATCCTCACGTCAAACGAGAGCGAAAATGGGCTCACCATTAATGGTGTCAGAGACAAGTTCCCCAGGCTATAGAAAACATTTTTTTTCCTATAACCTCCAAATCTAATTGATTTGTTCAACATATCATTCTCGACACTCTCAACATGGAAAAAATCCACGTTTATTCTTCTGTCCAAAAAGCTTTGGAAACTCTGAGAAGGCGGGGTTTCATTGTGTCCCACATAAGTTTAATATACAAGAAGAGCGTCAGAAAGTACGGGGGCATTCAATTTCAATTTAAAAAGATAAAAAAGGACCAACCTGTAAAAGGTTTGTACACATAGCCATTTCTCCGCAGGTTATATCCGCACCAAGTCCTTTACAGACTCTCCTGAAAGGAAGATTACCAACCGTCGTCAAAGGCGCAAGGTATAGCTTCCCCCTGAAATCAATTAATTTCTTTTCTCGCCCATTTAATTCTGGGATCAACTCGACTCTTGTTCCGGAACAAGGTTTTATCTGTGTCTCTTTGCATTCCATCGGTGAAGACTTTTCTTCAGGTCCTACATGACATTTCCAAACAGCATTTCAATAAGCCGGTAAGTAGGCGATGCGATTCATGACAGGAGAAACAACTCACCATTATTGACTTCAGTGGAGCACATGTTATCATCAATGGGGCTCTTAGCCTTCTTTGGAGGTCTGGGATCATCAATGACGGAGTCATCTTCCATAATTTCATTACCCGAGCAGATGTCTGGACAGCCTTCATCATCACGGGCAGCAGAGTGGCAGGTAGCCCCCTTAGTAGCATCATCACAATCATTTGATCCATCCAAGACAACAGGGTGCTCCTCTAGATCGATCTCAGGCTTTGCTTTAAAAAAATTTCCTCCCTACAAATTAAAATCAAATACAGGGTCAAATAATCCGAGAAATAACATTGGTAGGTTAAACGCGCAAACTGCGTAAATGGAAGGAAAGTAAAGGGCTCCCCAGGAGCAACGCGTTACAGAGAGGTCACAGAAGTAAGATCGACAGAGATCAAAATGAATGACATTACGACAACAAGTGCAGCACACGCGCACACACCACGTACCGAAAGTCCTAGGATTTTGAGTTGAGCATCCGCCTTCGGATACTTTACTCTGTTCTTCCACAAAAGCCTCTGAAAATCTTTGTTCAGATAGTTGAGTTCAACACCATGCTTCTTGGGAGGATCATCGGACGACTTCAAGGGAACGAACTGCTTGTGCGTGCCAAATAACCTACAAGCTATTCCGTAAGGACAAGGCTGTGCGGTGTTCAGGAAAGGGCAAACTCCAGGGAGATCCTCTGGCTTCTGTACGCGTCAATCCAATAATCGGACTCATGTCAGTGAGACAAAAGAAAAAACTGAGAAATATCCGGTCCCCACGTGAAAATCTAAGCAAACCTGATCCAAGAAACTTTCCAAGTCATGGCTGAAGCGGCAACTAACACCAAACCGGCACGCTTCGACCTTTCCAGTCTTCGCTATCTCCGGGCAGATGTTCCTCGCAGACTTCTGCTCCTGAGAGATTGAAATGGAACCGTCAAATGAATTCAACACCATCACGAACAACCACTCAAAACACAACGACGAACCTGCTGCCGCTCCCTCTTCAGCTGGCGCTTGGACTTCTTCTCCACCACCACGACTGACGCGCTCGGAGCGAGCGCGCTCTTCTGTCCGTCCCCTGCCGGGATCCGACCGTCTCCCTTCCTCTCTTCGGAAGGACGAAGGTACTCCGCCTTCACCGGCGCTATAGCCCGGGCCACTAGATCCTCCGGCTTAGGCTGCGCGTCATCACGCCTCAGGCAAGCAGATTCCGCCGCCTCATCTTCTCCCCCCGCAGGCTTCTCTTGGTCATCCACCAGTGTTCCGCCCTCAGTGAGAGGCCTGTCTAGAGTCTCCATGCCAGAGAAGGACACAGCGGCAGCAAGGTCGAGAGAGAGGGACCGATCAGAGAGGGGTTTGAGGGTTTCAGTTCTGTTTCGGATCGCACCAACAAACATCAGGTTCGGGTAAACCGTAAACTGCCCGACCCGATAAACCCAGACCGATCCCTCCACCTCTGATCCGATCCGATCTTAACCGACAGATTCCACGCTAGATTTACCAACACTTCATGGCCCCAGCACGGGACAGGACACACCGGGCCCAAGATCCGGTAAGGAAGGCCCCGAAAAGTCGGGGGAAGCCCACAATGGTAGGACGCAGAATTAAAAAATAATAACTGCAAGGGTTTATGTGCAAATAAACGAAGCAGCGAGACACAGAACACACATTTAGTTACAAAGTAATTAATAAAATGAATAGACAGAAAGGGAAAGGGAAAGGGAAAGGGATATTTCTAGAGAGAGAGAGAGAGAGAGAAGGATATGGCCCTGTCTAAAATGAGACACTCCCTGAAGGACAGTTCCACGAATAAATAAAATAACTCCCCTACTTGCAAAATAATTAATACAAACCACAACTCAAGCTAAAATCCCACAGGCCAGAGGAGAACCATATGAATATAGAACGAAATGAGCAGCAGATGGTGCAGAGAGACGCTGCATTTCCCACACTGGACGTTGATCTTCTTCTGAGATGCTAGTTTGCTTCACATTTTGCCACAGGAGAGCTCTCCTGCTGCTGCTGCTGCTGCTGCTGCCTCTGATGATTCTGCTCTTGCTGATGTTGCTGCTGTTGCTGCTGTTGCTGCTGCTGCTGCTGCTGGCGCTGCAATTGATAGATGGGCAGCTGGGTGGACTGCTGCTGCTGCTGCTGATGCTGGTGCAGTTGGAAGAGCTGAGGGTTCAATGAGAGGTGCTGGTTCAGGTTGCCAGGTGGGTTTCCATCACCCATCTCTCGGGTGGCGAGTTTCAGCCTCTGGACCTCCCCGGTCAGGGCCTCGTTCAGAGCTGCACAACGTTGGATAAGGACATGAGATGATGATGATGATGATGATGCGTTGAAACCCTACTGGCGAGATATAAATCATGATAGCAATTTCTCAAGAACCTTTTTTTTTCCTATGGGAAGAGGATATGCCCCCTATATTTATACCCCAAATGGAAATTCCGTGTGAGTGACATAATAAATTAATTCATTATTTTGTTCAACGTAGAAATGAAGGATAAAAAGAACAGTTGTATCGGAAGCTCTCCTCCTGGTCTGTGGTGTAACAGAGAATTACTCCCATTAAAAGGTCTCAAGGAAACGCACACCCCATCCGCACAATCCCACAATGGATTAGAGTTCTACATATGGAACACTCCAAAAGCTAATAAAAAGGCATAAATTAGTTGATCTATTCAAGCAAAAAATCAAAGATTCTCTTCGTGGAAATCGACCCCAAATTAGTTCCATCATCTATTGCTTGTAAGCCAGTTCGAGCAACCCTACCAAGGAGATGTTATTGTTCCTCCTACCTTGGCTCCATATTAGATCTTCAACCAGCAGGCAGTGTTCCTCTAGCATTGTTGGCTGTCTGAAATCAACCTAGGAATCTGGAATTGTGGAGGAGCCTCTATACATAACAAGGATAGGGGCCTTTCGAGAAAGAAAAATCAATAAATACATTTTTTACGTCCTAAAAAAAATTAATATGCCCAGATCAGGCCCCACTTTTCCATCAAGCACTATTATGACTGTACGTAGAGGAGCTTCAACTTCCTATCTACGGGCAAACAACAACCCGTAACAAAGGTCATGTAGATTGGAAAAGACAAACACATAGCTAACATGTTAGGCCACTTAAGCTTTGAGTATAAACTGAGGATATTTCTGCATTTCCTGAGATGTGAGACTCTAGTGAGGACATAATCAAGTAACATGGGTTCTTGTTAGGACATTGAAGGCTGGATGCAGGCCCCCAAAATTCCCCAACCCTTGAAAAGAGAAGCCCACATGAGTGAGGGAATTTCCAAGAAGGGATAGGGAAATCCACCGTCAGAAACCTCGAAAATATCATCGTTTCATGGTTGTTCGTATTTTTCATCTTTCGCATCATTTTCATATATAAAAAAAATGTAGCAAGCCAACAACTTCTCTGAAAGCCTCAGAGTTTAGCCAGCGTTCTCCCGTTGGAGTTTCTACACATCAAACACTAAAATGAACAAAATTGACAAGCCAAATTGCAGAAATGGGAGTACAGGTGAGACGCTTTCTGCCTTGAGGCAATATGACTCCTGATTCCTGTATCCTTGGAAGCATTGAACTATTATGAATATCAAACCAAAGCTAAACAACATGAAAAACGATGAAAAGATTAATTGCCTTATTGTCAAACATGTAGATGTGCATAAATTGCTAATCAGAATAAAAGAATCAATAATATCCAACCGTAAGAAAATTAGATAAGGAAGAATGAAGATAAGGCTCCATTCTTATCAGATCACCAAACCTGAGGAGTAACAAAACAAAGCATCGAGAAGACTTTTATTTAAAGAAAATGTCACTGCTTCGTGTGTAGAGACAAAATATGAGAAAAAATAACGATTCATATCCTACAACCAAATATGACATTATTTACGAAAATTAAAAAAAGGTCGTTTCCTCGAGCCACAAAAACTATGCCACAGGCTTGCATGATAGTGGACAATGGGATGATCTTTCATTGGTAGTAATAAATGAGGGGAGTTGAAAATAACTAGAAAACAGTCAACCAATTTAAAACGAAGGGTTCTCCGAAATCACATATTACCAGTTGTCAAGGTACAAAAAGAAGTTGTAATAATTTCAAATGAAAACATTGAGCGGATTGTGAAATAGAATTAGTTACCATCTCTAAGCCGTGCCTGCTGCTCCATGGCCTGAAGACGAAATTTGAGTTCATTATTTTGACTGGTCAGATCAGCTGAGTCTCTCTGTTTTTCAGGGGCAGAGGGAGGCAGTGTCAGCCGCATTACAGTTTCCATTACTTGGAGGAAATAGTAAAATTCAACTTTCCCATGTGAACTACCTGTAACATCGTAAGCTGTGCAGACAAAGTCGTAGCTTCCGTCTGCAGAATCTGCACCTTGTGTTCTAATTCTGATATGTATCTCAATTTGCGTTCCTTTGACCGAGCAGCTGACTGCCGGTTGGCTAATATCCTAAAACCAGAAAGTTAGAAGCAATATCAGCAGACAGAAACTACCAAAGTCTTGTTTACTGGATCAAGAAATATTGATAAATATGAGATACCTCTTAGCACGTTTTGGATCAGTTAAGGCGATCTCGGCGAGCTTCTCATTTGCCATTATCTTCTTAAGTTCTACCCCACTAAATTCTCCATTAGCCAAGTCCAAACTGAAATTACTGGAAGTTCCGTCCAAGGAATTAGTGTGCGAATGCTGCCCCTGCCTAATTCCCGGGCATGGAGGCAACTTTGGCGACTCGTCCCCAAAATTCATCTTCTCCATGAAGCTATCCATTGAAATACTTCGAGAATGTCTTGAAGCACTGATATTCAAATCAGGATCTCCAGCAGCACTTCGTTTTGATCCCTCCTTCTCCAACGAGGGAGAGGTCTTCACCTTCTGTGGTAGTGATCTACCGCCACTCTCATTGACGCTGCTCTCAGCTTCATTCTCGCTGCTGTCAGCACCATTTGTTTTGGTGCCGCTAGCCCTGCTATCCATATCTTCACGTTTGTCTTCAGTTCCAGAGGAGTTGAGGGCATCGAGATTGTCCAAGTTCATGAATGCACTAAACAGATCGTCCCCAGCATCCCCTTCTGACTTCCGCTCCACCGTGCCTTCTGCACTGCTGTCCAAATCCCGATCCCAGTCTAATTCCTGCTTCACGAACTGTCCCTCTCTCTGCTTGCCGACTGATCCGGCGTTATCCACAACAGACAAGAATCTCTCAAGATACCCTTGTGGCCTCTGAGTCAAAGGAGAGAAGACAGAGGAGAAAGAACCCTGGGAAAACCCGAAGGGGATATCACTATGCGAGCGCCGGTGGGCCTTCCGAGGTGGGAGACTGTCACCCGTCCGACTAGGAATGGACCTAGAGAAAGGTCCCGGGGGGGGCGTGGTTGATTGGCACTTGATATCTCTGTTCTCCGTGGGCATATCTGTGGACATTGGATCGCAGGCGACGGTGGCAGATGGTGAATCACGGTACTGCGAGGGACTAAGCGGAGGCAACAAATCCGAGGCGTAGAGCGAGGCTGGTTGGGATAAAGATCTGGTGTGGAATGGACCATGACTGAAGCTCGGCAGGCCTGACTGCTGAGTCGGGGATCGGGAGGACGCAGTGGCTGGCGTCTGGGAGTAAGGAGAGGTTGGAGGGATACCTGCCGACCGCTTGCTGATGATGCTGACGGAGGTAATATTATTACCACCACTGTGGACAGATGGAGTGACACTGGTTTTGTCGACGCTACCAAAGTTGCCGGAGAAATGGTTGAGAGGAGAACCAGAACGGTACACATGGAGTAGATCAAATCGACTGCCGAAGGGATGTTGTCCCGACGGTGGCGGAGGCGGCGCCTGCTGCTGCATCTGATGGGAGGGATGCTGATCCTGCTTAGGCAGAGATGACGACGACGTCGCCATTGAGGACTGAAGCCGCTGCATCAGATCGTTACGGGCCTCATCACACGGCTCCATTCCTCCCTCTTTGACTGTCACACCAACCGGCCAGAGAAGCCACCTGAATCCACGAATGAGCAGTGAAGAAGACCACCTACGACCCCGATGAAATGGAGATGCCTCCGCAGTCGGGAGAAGAAAGATTAGGGCGGCCGGCGGGAAAATTTCCTTCGGGAAACCGGGATCGAAAGAAATTCCTAGTAAATGAGCAGCAAATGCCGAGCGATTCAACAGGGATTTGCCCGCCACCGCCCTTCCAAATCCGGCAACAATGCTCTTCCGGATGCCTCCCAGCCCAGACTCTCCTTGCGCGACCCAGCACCCCGGAAGTGAACTTTTCTACTGTTGCTGTCTCCCTCACGCTTCTCTCTCCCCAACCCCCCCCCCCCCTCAATTCTATCCTCTCTCTCTCTCTATCTCTCTCTCTCTCCGTCCCCACTCCCGCTGTTCCGACGTAATTACGCGTGAATTAAATTGGCATTTGATGCCGCGTAAATCCCCCGGGGCGGGAGCCGTTTCCCATCTACGCGTGAATCTCTCTGTGCGCCGCAGACAAGAATCCTTCCATATCCGCTCGATCGATCTTCCCTCACCTCCGGTGAGCATAATCCAACCCTCACCCTGCTTTCGCCGTCATATTCTCGGCCGACTCTCTTCCCAAACGTCGTTGACATACGGGAGTGGCTCGTTGAGAAATTGTTGTCTATCTTGGAGAATACCCTCTACAAAAATAAATTTACTTAAGGCCCCAGATCCATCTGATAGTTTGGTCCTTGAAAGTATATATGAAATAAAGGGAAAAAATATTAACTGATCGAAAATAAAACACGTTCAAAAAATTTAACTATGATTAATTTTTTGCTTAAAATATATACTCCATTAAATGATTCCCTTAAAATATATATTCCTCTTTCTATTTTCTTTTTCACGTAAAAGTATCCGTAAATTGTTGATATATCCTTCTAAAGGCAACTTTTTCGATAAAATCCATAAAAAAAATTAAAAGGATTTATGGAGCCAATGGGTGCTTCCCTTGCTCGACTTCTATGATTGTCTCGGTTTTTCGTTTTGGATATAACTGAGATTTGAAAATATTAGTGGACATTATTGCGATTGTATGATTTTGAGAGGGGGCTCCTTAGAACCCGGGCGACCCCGGTGATCCGGACCGGCCGGGTTTCTATGTTGATGATTTTGGGTCTCCAACACCCAGCCCAGTCTCGGTTTTGATCGATGGGTTTGACCACGGCATGTTCAGACCGTGACAAGTTCTTCATTGTAGACAGGTCCACGCACGGCGCTGACCCCAACCGCTTCACAGTCGTAGTCAAGTGTTACTTTTTATTGGCCACGCATCGTTGACTTTTTACGACGGAAATTATAACGACCAGTTACTTTAGATGATGGGTGGTTGATTTTTCATTCTAATAATTAATGAAATATAAAGAGATCACATGGACTAAGAAATTACATATATGCCATCATTATTTCTTATAGTTTTTTATTTGACCCGGGTCCAAATATGGAGGGAGTTAATGGAAATTATTCTCAAAGGACCACACTATAATTATGCTAAATGGAAGGTATTTATCGACATTATTAGCTATTATTAGGGAGAAAAGAAACTTAGAATCAGGATTTATTATTTTATTGACAGGTATCGAGAGTCCCTCCGGAACATAAATATGAGAATATTCTCAATTAACTATGTATATTGTGTACGAGAGAAAAGGAGCCCGACGTTGAACTTCAGTCGACGGGGCTCTGTTGAAGGGGGCCGAGAGATCTCCTCTCTCTCCGTCTATCTCCCTTCCTCTCGATCTCGATCTCCATCATCCCGGGGGAGAGCAGCGGGAGGCTGGACGAAGCAGGGTTCCCCGATGGACGGCGACGACCGGCGGAAAGGCTACGGGTGGGCGATGATCGCCGGATTGAATGCCGCCCTTGCTGCTGTATCGGCCAAACTCGTGTCCAACCAGGTACCGGGCCTCATCCCCGACTCTCCGTCGTTCGATCGCCTGGCCAGCCTCGTTTGATCTACGACGCACAATACTCGATTATATAATCTAGATGAGATGAATCCGACGTCATTTTTAGGGATTTAGGGGTACTCCGTCACCGAGGAGTGGCTGTGAGGTCTCCTTCTGTCTACAATGGCGGCGCTATCTCATTCCGTAAATTACATAATATGTTCATGTGATACATAATATGGCTGTGAGTTTCCCACCGGTTCTCTGCAACTAGTCTCGTAGTTGACGCAATGAGAGACTAAGAGCATACCACGGAGGCTCTGCCGTCCCCGGCGATCCACGTTACTCGTGGCAAAGTCCGGGACTATTCTATCACTCGCTACTGAGCAATCTGTGCCTGCGCAATCATGGCAAAGTCAGCGATACCTCGGTTCTCGCTGCTTCAGGACCTCGAATGTTTCTTCCGAATCACCCGTGGTCTTTCCCAATCCTTCCCTATAAACTCCAGAATCACACTTTTACATACCCAATCCATTCCTAATTCTTTCCGAATCGCTGCTTCGGTTCTCGTTGCATCTACATCCTTTTCCTCTATAACTGGTTCCACGGGTTAGATTTCTAGCTTCTATTATTTTGTCTCTTTATGATTATAAGTACTCAACCTAGTGACGGTGCCATTTTACCGATGAAACCGAACCACATTCCTAGTCTAAGCGGGATTATTTTTCTTCAAATTACGTTGCAAAAAAAAAAAAACAGTGGTTCATGCAATATGGTTACACGGGAATGAGAAGAGAAATCACCCCTAACAAGATCCAGTTCTGGGTGAGAGTCACAGTCAGTATCTTTCGAACAAGACCAATCGAATGTCTTCCTTCTGCTCTCGTTCTTCATCCTCCTTTTCACTACTGATTTGGAAACAAGGGCATAAACCTGAGCTCTCGTTCATTCATCTGTTTGTATGAATGTGGGATAGCCGCGGAGTTCAATATGCTCGATTTTTTATCTTCGTTAATCCAAAACTGCTCTCTCCAATCCTTTGCGTGATTTATTACATTGCGTGCCTCTTAGCTGCAGATGATCGAAGAACAACGGCGTTGATAAGTAATTATGATCCACCTCTGTCTACGTTCATGATCGAATGCTCCTCTTTTTTGTTTTTTTTTTTTTTTCAGCTTCTGAAATATGGGCTCGTCATATTCTTCAACGTGACGATGTGGGGTTGCTATGTCAACAGCCTCAAGGCTCTCTCCTCATTGCAAGCCACAGTCACAAACTTCGCCGCAAACTTCTTATCTTCCGGCCTAGCAGGATATTTTTTGTTCGAAGAGCCTCTGTCTTCCAAGGTAATTCACATGTGGATGCCTAAACCAATTCAAGGCGATGCCTTTCATAGAATGCCGGCGTTGACCGACGATTTCATCACCCTCTATGGCCGAAGTCAAACGGCGGAGGGCGGCCCACTATAGCCATATTCTTCCGCATATTGTTTCTCCGGTCAATGCTTTGATCCGTGAAAATCCCATGTTTCTGAGGATTCTACCAGTTACTATTCTTTTTATTACTTCGGTCGGTAAGCATCGCTGGATCTCATAAGCTTATATGTTTTGATGTATATTTCCATCGATCTGAGGCCCAACTGTGTTCGGATCTGGGCACAGGCCATCTCCACAGCCAGCACTCAGTCTTTTATTCGCTAGCTGGACTCTCTTATGTATCATTGCCCCCGGTTCCAGTTCTGGGCCTGTCCAGATTGGCCCCCGGCCCGTCGGGTTGACTGAAAGCTTTGACCTTCGGCCGGTCGTTCTTCGGGACTGCTAACATTAGGCGCCTCTCGTTTCAGTGGCTCGCAGGCGCCCTTTTCATCATACTGGGAGTTATCGTCCTCAGCAAATCAACCGTCGAAAGGAAGGCCAGTCGAGATTAGTCGTCGAGGTCCGGCCAACGTGAGGCACGTGACGCCATGTGGCCGAAGCGGCGGTAGGGACTGCCCTGTGGGGGCGGCGGACAGGCGGTCCCCTTCCCCGCAGCCGCGCCTTGGCGTCGGCATTACTTGAACCCGTGAACGTGGGTTTGGTGGTTTCCATTACCCGCCTTATTGTTTGCAATCAATGGCGAAACAAAGATACACACACACACACAGAAGAGATAAATGAGTGAGTGAGTGAGTGAGAGAGAGAGAGAGAGAGAGAGAGAGAAGGTGTCACTTAATGTGGACCCAGACGCCTACACTGGGAACGTTGCCGTTGACGACGAAGAGCATGTAGAAACCAGGCGGCGCGAGGTTGGCCGAGCGGGGAGCCGTGGCCTTCACTTCGTAGGCCGCGGCCTTCCCTTCATCGGCTGCTGCAGCGGAGGACTCCAGCACCAGCAGCCTCTGGTTCATGGCGAAGGAATGCGTCGTGAAGGATGGGGCCAGCATCGTCACCCTCACGCCGGCCTTCCCCAGCCCCGCCGCCACCGAGAACCTGACGCTGAAGTCGCCCCCGTAGCTCAGCGCCGTCGCGTGCGGCGGCAGGATCACTGGCCGGTGGGCGGCCAACTCATCGCTCAGGTACTCCGGTGAGAAGGACTCCAAGCTGGTGTCCGTCGGGAAGAGGACGCCAGTGAAGTTGTAGTATGCGTGCGGGTTGCTACCGCCGACAAGGACCCGCCCGTCGCGGAGCAGCGCGGCGGAGGAGTGGTACACTCGGGGCATGGTGGCGGAGGCCTCCACGCGGAACCGAGAACCAGGGGTGCCATCAGACTGGTAGGTGACGGGGCTGAGTACCGGGTCCCTCCCCAGCTCCCACCCCGCAGTCCCCCTCTCCACGCCGTTCAGGATGAGCACCTCGCCGGTGGGGAGGAGGATCATGTCCCCCATCGCCCTCGCCACCGGCATCTCCTCCATCGCCCACTCCGGCGAGTGATCGGTGATCTTGATCCTCCCGCATGTGTCCAGCGCCCGCTGGAATACCCCGCGCCACGCCCGCTGGAAGGACCCCGTCGGAGCGCCGCCGCAGACCAGGACCTCCGCTTCGGCGCCGGAGGGGCCGAGCGGGAGGAGGACGGAGGAGCCGGTGCTGGGGTAATTCCGCGGGCCGCCGCCGGGCATCTGCGGGAACGTTTTCAAGATGACGTTCCTCCGGTAGTCGAGCAGAATGGCGTCCTTGTTGGCGAATATGAAGAGGTTGCCGTCGACGTTGAGGTGAACGAAGGGGTAGAGGTTGTTCTCCCCTTTTTCTCTCGTCTGCCGGAGGAAGGGAAGATCATACAGAAGGGAGGAGGTCCCCGCCGAGGGGGGATAGATCTCGTAGTTGAATTGCGCGCGGCCACCGACGATGACCGCGCGGCCATCGGGGAGAACCTGGTTGGTGGCGTACCAGCGCCGGGCGGCGAGGACGGCGGGCTTCTCCTCCCAGTCGCAGTCGGCGCAGGGGCGCAGCATGCGCACGGTGCGATCGCCGTCGTTGAAGCCGCCGGTCTGGATGAGGACCCCAGCGGCAGAGACGGTGCCCGACGAGCACCAGGAGTCCGTGGCGAGCGTCAGCGGCCGGAGGGAGCCGGAGGCGACGTGGTACTCGGCGGCGTGGGCAGTGCAGTCGTGCGGGAGGGCCGTGTCATAGGGGTCGTCTCGGCACCTGCCGCTGTCGAGGGGAAGCCCCGAGGGGCCGATATCCGTGCGGTCGAAGAAAACCAGGCGGTCGCCGACGAGGAGCTGCATGTGCATGGCCGACACGCCGGTGCTGCTCTCCAGGACGTTCCACCGCCCGCCACCCGCGGCGGCGCCGCCGAGGAGGAAGAGGAGAAGGGCGGCGTAAGAACCGAAGGAGAGCGGGGCGAGGGTCGCCATTGACCTCGAGCTTGACGACGGGTGGGGGGTTCGCCTTTGGAGGGGAGGCACCTGGGGAGGAGTGGCTAAAATACTGTCAGGATCCTCTCGCAACGAAAGCTTTGAGTCTGTGACGTTTTAAGATGGGTTTGATCGAGCTGCGGAGTTATTTATCCAAGCAGCGAAGTTTCACTGAGCTCTTTTGACCTTCGTCATACACCGATACTTCTGGCTTTCATGACGTCCTCTTGTCCGAACTACCAGAAATGGATAGATCGAGAGTGAGAGAGAGAGTGGGAGATTGTCGCTGTTAGTCGGGGTACCGTGGAAGGCATCTCTGGAAGAAGGTACTGAAGCCACTCTAGAAGGTTTACTTCCGGGAGAGGTCAGCGCCGTCCTGGGCTTCCCTCTCCGGAGATCTCACCGACAGTGGAGGAAGAGCCACCTACGCCTGCCTCCGCGTAATTGCACGACGCTGGCGTCCAATCACGGAGAAGCGAGGCAACGCCCCGCCCGGTAGCGCCGCCGGCTAGCGGGCGGCCAGCAGGGCGCCACGTCACTGAATCCCGCACGGACCAGCGACAAAGCAAACGGAGGCCTCCTCTCCCGCCCCCCCTCCCCCTCCCCCCACGCCCCCCCGTGGGCCTAGCCGTTGGCAGGGTGGGCCCCGTAGTGCCGTCTTCTTCTTGCCACTGTTCCGGCATATGACACTTTTCTCATTCCCTGAGATAACGTGATACAGGCACGTGAAAGATTTGATCTCCGGCGGGGGGTTTACAGTTTATCGGCCATAAAAAGAGGGTTGAAATGAAAATGCCCGCGAATATCCAGAAATCTATCCTCTCTGTCCCTCTCAAAAGTGGGCCTTCGTGCTGCGACTCTCTCACCTGCTTGTTTAAATGCTTCAAAGCGGGGCTCCTTCCTCCTCCTCCTCCCCCCCTTGGTGGTTTCGATCACTACAAAAGCGTGATCTTCCCACGGCGTTCTGCTTTCTCTTCTTTCTTGGCTCCCCCCTTTGAGCCCTTTTGACCGGGGACACGGAGGAGAGATCTGTCGATCACTACCCGAAGCTTCCTTGTGAAGATTGTCTAGCAGCCTCCTCACTTTCTAGCTTTCTTCCAGGGGTTCGAAGCCCACCCCGTGACGGAGCTTAGAACAACGGAGGTGGAACGAGATCGGGAAGGGCAATGCCCACCTTGTGAAGATCAGACAATGCCAGTGCTCGAGACCCGGCTACACCTCCCATGATTGCTCATAGAATCGAACAGGCATTGGGTGCCACCTTTTCACCAGGGCCTGAACGGGGCGCCGGATGATAAGACTGCCGTCAATGTGGCATCGTCTGGCCACCCCGAGAAGACTTCCTTGGCCGTCTATCTAACGTTGGCCGCGTAATACGGAGGCATGAGAGTAGACGTCGACCGTCTGATCTCCATGCTTGAGGACGCGGGTATTCCTCTGCACGAGGACGAAAGGGTAGGTCAAGCTGTCTGCCGGGTTCTTGTGAATCTTGTCGTCGGGTTGCAGGAGGCATCTTAACGCGGCAGCAGCTCTACTGGAGCGGACGTCGTTTCATTTTGTCAGGCCCGAAATGGGACTGACGGCTGGGCCCGTAGCAGGTAAGAGAGGGCGGGGAAGGGAGGTCTGCTCGGCGATTTGTCAGACATCTTGCGGGCATCCATACTGGCGGCCGATTCATGAGAGAGAAATGCGAGAAAAATATCCTATTAAATGGGGAACTTTTTCGGGGAAACGTCAGATGGAGTCACATTTGCCGAGCCCTCCATAAGAAATGGACAATTTCTGCAAGAAAGAATGTTGGGCTTGCAAAATAGAGAGAGAGAGAGAGAGAGAGAGAGGACAAAGAGCGAGCGCTTCTTCAAGATCACTCGCAGCACTGGACCGCCCGCCAGATCCTGCCAACAGACGATAAACAAATCAGTTGCAGCATGAAAGAAACGAAGTGAGATTCAAGTTGTGATCACGGGGGTCGGCAGACGGCGAACCACCTAACAGAGAGTATCGATAAACGCATTAATAATAACAATTCCACTTGGGTTTTCTTAATACGCACTTGCTTGCCAGACGCGGCACGATTCAGCGCAAGTCAAAGTCAAATAAAGAACAAAAAATAGGGCCCACTAGTTGCTCAAATTATTTTGGCCAGGCCAAGGTCAATGCATTTGGTAGTTATCACAGCGGGAGAGAAGAGAGAGAGAGAGAGAGAGAGAGAGAGAGAGATGCACTTACTATCTCCTGGAGATCGCCCCAGCTCCAGAGACTCTGATAAGAGAAGAAAAAGGGCAAAATAAGGGCTTTATTAAGCTCACATGCTGACTCCTAGAAGATGGCCATTGATGACCCAACAACGCAGCATACCTTCCCTGCTGCTTGCTTCCAACAACACGCCTTCCGTTACTTGATCCCTTGCTTTGAGGAGAGCACACGACTCCTCTGTCCATATTTACAGCTTGATGACCAGACTGTGCTTCAAAAGGGGAGCCACTCAGTTCCTGAAGAACTCTTCTGTTTTTCTCAGTTACGGGTCTGAGGGATACGCACCAGATTGACACCATTCTGCCGTTGACCGTGCCCTGTAGAAATCTGTGACGGTGCCCTGGAGAAATCTCCAGGGTAGACCAGACCAGACGGGTCTGGGTTTGGAATGCTCCTCCCAGCCTTCAGTTCTGCCGTTGAATCCTTTCTCTGGCGGTGGGTCTGAGCCACAGGAGTGACGGCGACAGAGGGCAACACTGAAGAGTAGGGAGCAAAGGAAGCTGCTGCCGCTGCAACCTTGGCCACTGCTGTTGACGCAGAAATAATCTCCTTAGCTCCTTCACGAAGATGAATGAAGTCTCCTTTGATTACAAACAGCTGGAGTGGCACCAGAAAGAGTCAATGGAGTATTAGAAACAGAAGTCAAGGGGTGATTCGAACTTGACAACGGCTAAATAACCCACTTCCGGATGACGGGCCACAAATTCATCGAGGTTTCCGAATTGCTTCATGTAATCGTTCCACTGAAGAGGAGCGAGGATCTTCCTGAGCCGATTCTGCAACTGTGGTGGACGTTGGGAAAAGAAGAAGATCAGATTTTTAGGGTGACAGTGTTCTAGGAATCGAGCTGGAACAAGGCCCATCGTCCAAGTGCCTCAGGGTCCTTTCTCACCGTGCTAGTAATGCTGATCCCACTGGCAGATTCGGGAGGAATTGCTCGAACGAGGCAAGCCAGCAACGCCCTTTCATCCAGGAGATTTGGCTCAGGCACCTTCCCGGATGTTGATTCTGTGTGTATCGCCTCTTGAACCAAAACAGCATTGATGTTGCATTCAGAAACACTGATGAAATTAACTGAGCGTTCTCCACCATTCAACACAGCACCAGACCCTGATGTGTCTTCTGATGCCACAACTTGTGCCTCTACCCCATTCGCTGACACCGTTTTCTCGATATTTATCTGCAGATTTAAAAGATGATGAGAAAAATTTCCAGTTGAAGCAGAAGCTACTGGTGGCAGTCAACGGAAGAAAAGTTCATGAAAGCTGGACTGATTCCATTTGACTTGAAAGAAAAGATGAGCCTTAGATGCTCATTTGAAATATGTGCAAAAGACCACGAACCTTATGTTCGCTGCTGCTCTCGAGCGTATCAGAGACTATAGCTGCATGAAAGCTGGAAGATTTATGAGTAGTTTCCTGGGGTCCCTGAGACAAATCATGAAGAAGACCATCAGCATCTGACTCAAACCTATGAGGCCAAAAAGTGAATAAAAGGAAAATGCTGGGGGTCTCTTGACAAGATCAGATGCGAAAGTAGAAAAATTTCCAAGTCAACCTCTCCGTCCAGAGCACGCCCTTTTTCATTTGATCCACAGGCCATTGATTCGGAGCCCTGTCGAGGGCTTTTGAGAGTCTCCAAAATGTCTGAATGGACAACTTGCCGCTCAGATGAGATTTCGTAACTGTATTGGCCATCTGATTTCAAAAGATCTTGGTCTACTTGCGAGGGAGGTTGGCTGTGTGGTCGGTGTGCATCTTGGACTGCCTAACCATTTACAGAATCTCGAATGTTAGTTCAAAAGAACGCCGGAAAGGGGCTAGAAAAATCAATGAATGTTCTTATAAAGTATATGTCAATGGATACCTGTTGGCTTTGCCAATGCTGGTGAGAAAGTGCAGGGACTGGCTGGAAATAACCCATTTGATTCTGAGAAAGATGAGAACTGGCAGATGCCACAGACTGCGGAGCTCCCTGTGGATGGACGACAAAGGGATGAGGTGCAACCACTGGCCCGGATGGAATAAACGCACCCATCCCAAGGATAGAGGATGGAACAACAGGAACTCCAGGAACTCCAGGAACCTGCTGAGACTGAAATTCCATAAAAATTAGTGTATAAACAGAAATGCTTTGGGAGGATGATCTATACAATAGGAAAGTTCGTTATTTTTGCCTCAGTTGCAAAGCTGGGGGAATGTATAAAGTATGAAACAGAACCAAACTGCTATTCGTACACAAAAAACTTATAAGCTCACCATTCATTGCTAAGATATCATGACAAAAACGTAAAAGAAAGCAAAAAACGTCAGCACGACAAAAATGATTAGAGGTGCTAATACTAGCTTCAATCCTAGTTCAAAAGAACAGACCTCATCATTCGTTGTTAAAAACAATATCAAGAGGAAAAAACAGCCAGCATGTGTTAAGGCCTGGATAGAACCTGGAGTCTGGATCGTCAATAGCTTAACACTAGGACAACAGTACTCAATGGATCTTTCACATAGGGTATAGGATTCAATCACCTAAATTCATACGAGGAGACACACTGAGTCTGGATCGTCAATAGTTTTCAAGAAATATCTGATGGTCAGACAACAGAGGATATTTTTCTTGTAAAAAGCAAAGTGGAATGTTGCTATCTGAAATCCGGGTGACAAAATGACAAAAGCAGTCTCCATGCCTCACCTTTGTTGATGCACTAGGGGCTGATAGCAAAGACACACCATCTCCATTTGCCGTACAAGCCGAGCTACCATCATTTGCGAACTGGTTCCCGTTGTTTTGGAGATATGATGATGAATTCTTTGAACCTGTGTGCCCGAATCTTGAGTCATCATTCTGAATTCCACTTTGTTCCTTGGCCTCAGCCAACTCCAGTTGAAGTTGTTGTATTGCTTGCCTATGATGTCTATCCACCTCAGCAAACTAGAAAAAACAAATAACAATGAGATTACTATGACTATGTTAAGGGATAATAGATTCTAGATCTCGAATCTTGCATGACATGTATGTTAAGAGTTTTAGATCGTAGACATTGAATGTCTCAATTACTCCTATGATTAAACGAGTGGAAAAGGAAACAAGTAAATTCACTTTTATATAGAACATCCGCTCACCTGTTTTTGGAAGGCAAGAAAATATTGGTTAAACTGTTCAGTGCGTTCCCTTATCTCGGCTTGCAATGTTTGATTGGTAGTCAAATGAAACGCATCCACTTCTTGAGCACGTACCATCCAAGCTTGTGCTTCCCTTAACTGCTCATCCTTAAACAGAATCGTTTCTTGTGCAACCCTATGCTGTGAGATAAAACACACTCATTGTATTACTCTTACCACAATTTTTCAGACTTGTGAAGATACTGATACTAAAAGGGCATAATACATAAAAAATGTACAAAAGCATAGTAAGAGAGATGCACTTGTTCAGCCACGGTCTTTATGGAATAGCTAATGCCAAGAATATTCCTCAAAACATAAAAAAAATTGCTGCAGGGAATAAAAAAGGATATTTGATGCCGAAAATGACCAATATTAGGTGGGAAAGTCAGCTATTGTTCTTTATTTAGATCAAATTTAACGATACAGTGCAACATCACGTCTCTTTTTTCTTTCCATTTGGGGTCGGGTAGGGGGTGGTCGGGAGGGGTTGTATGTCGGGTTGTCAGAATACATGTTACCCCAAGGCAATCGTCATTCTACAGCACTCCGTGATGATACAAGTTGCATATCCTATAGCAAGTGTACTAAATTAACCAAAAAGAAAAAAAGAAACATATCTGTTAACAGTCTTATCATGCTTTTGCACCTTTGGAAAATAGTTAGCACTCCGCGAGGATACAAGTTGCATATCCTATAGCTAGTGTTTTAAATTAACCAAAAAGAAAACAACAACATTATTCATGTATGTCAGCAGTCTTATCACGCCCTTGTTGTGAATCTCCTGGACATAAAAGAAAACTAAATCCCATAATTTATGGAGGAAAACAACCACGGTGATGAAAATTAATGACTGAAAAACTACAGCATCAGGCAATACAAGATAACAGGATCCCATATGTTATAAATAATCGAAAACCGCAAGATAATGCTTGGTGTAAATACTAAAATAAATGAAGGATTCATAGATACTATCTAAATTTGAATTGCAATGCTGTGCATAAATAATCTCTTTTCATCAAGAAACGTTGTCAATAGACATGGCCATGTCTGAACCTGTTCTTCTAACTCAAGATACCGATGATCTTTTTCTTGAATGCATTCCTGAAGATCGTGAATTTGTTTCATATGCTGCGCTCTTTCAGCTTCTAGGCTATCACGCTCTATTCTGGAATGAAATAAAAGATAAAAAGTTCTTAGGACTCAGCAACCTGTTTAACATAAACTGGTGCGTCCAGTTTCACAGTCGTATAGATTGACATACAGAAAATCAACTACCAGGATATCCTTAAATGCACAGATAGGAATTAAATACCGAAAAATTCTAATTTAATAGGAGACTATCCATCTTAAAAAAAACACATTATTGTTTGAAGAATTGAGAAAGGAGTCTCCCCACAGCGCAACAATAACAGAGGCTGCACATAAATTGTGGTTCTAAAAGTCGTGGATGCATGCAACAGAAGGCCATAATCTAAGGGCATTTTAGTGCTGAACACAAAACATATCAAAACCCTTTAATGGAGTTGAGCTCGAGCCGTTAGGAAACGAACCAAAATCTTAAATCTTCAGGTAACACACTTCATTTTAGCCCAACAAAGTAAATAAGAAATTCACGATAAAATAACGTTCAAAGATGAGCGGTGAGAACAGACTACAATACTATACTGGACAAGGAGCACCCACCGAAAATTTGCTAGCTCTTTGTTTTGCTCCCTAAGAAGATCTTCTTTAGCCCAAACCTAGGAACAGAAATTGGAAGACCACAGATAAAGCATCAACAGAGAGAATATTAACACTCCAATCACATAAAAAGCAAACCAAACAAACCGCTTCGTTGTCTATTTTCACTGCCCGTAACTCCCTATCTTTTTCTTCCACCTTTATCTCCAGCGCACAAATGATTTGCTCTCTTTCATGTAATTGTTCCTAGGCCACCAAAAGCACATAAACTATTATCATTTTCATGCTTAACAAAAAAATCATCCGAAACAAATATAAAAAGTAACATTTCTGCCATTAATTGTACGATATTATTCAGATATGTGCCAGGAAGTTCTGAGAAATACAGCAAGGTGAAAAGAGACATCTGCAGCATGGTCACTACATCTATCGCAGTCAGCTCATTTTTACATAAAACAGTCAGAAACTCTCATTCATCTTTTGCACGTGATGTTTAAACGAATCCTTACATATATCCTTTCATTTTATCAGGATGAGAAAAATCTTCAACGTATATCCCATACATTAAAAAGGAGCATTTCCCGTATTTCCCAGAGAAGTTTAAACTTAATGAATTCTTTCCATGCCTCCTATCGTTATTTCAGGAAAGATGAATCTTCATGTCTTTCCAATGTTTCGTAAATACCAATGTTCATTTAGAACACTAAATTCTGCGACGGTACGCATTCCTCCCTATATGGTGCACAATTAATCATATGCCTCATTTCTGATGTGCTACATTTAATACAGAATTTCCTGTATACTGTGATAAGCTAATGCTGACGCAAAACTACACTTCTACTCCATCAAACAACAAACTTTCCATTCCAATGGGCAAAAGCTACACGACATAATAAAATTTCATGAGAATAAATATCCAGATGACAGGTAAAACATCCTCTGCAAGGATTTGGCTTCAAGGAACCTACATATAGCCAAACCTTGTCAGTGTACGTCTGGTCGAAAAAAGTTACATATTTCACCGGTTTGATCATTTACCTAAGCTCTCAGTTCAATTGAATAGAAGACAGTTATATGTAAATCAATGAGATTTCAAATCAGCTAAGCACATGGTTTGTGGTCATGAAAAGATGAGAAAAAGACAAACGCCAAGCATGGACGAAATAATTCAGGGAAAAGGAAGGAAAATGTATAGTTGACACAGTCCGGAAATAAAAAGAACCAACGCTCTACGCATGACATGTCAACAAGCTCTCTCGTCTTGTGATTCTCCTCTTAGAAAGTTTAGAATGCCATGGATAGAAACTCAACACTTTTCGTCAAAAAAAAGGACGAACAGATTCCCGACATTAATATAAGAACGTACAACATCTTTTCCCTCAGGAAGGTAACATTGAAGATGAATTCACATTCAACTAGCTGAATGACTGATAAATGCCGTCTAAGTATCAGAGTAGAAAGATGAGACCAGTACGCTGGTTAAGGTGTGCTGTGCAAAGAAGAACCAGTGCTGAGGCAAACCAACTTGTTATCAGCCAAAATGAGCTAGATTGCATTATAAAATGCCGTGGGAAAATTATTCGATGTAAGTATCAGTAAGTACGTCAATGACGCGAATGAAGCTAAAGGGAATTTCAAACATTAAAACATTCAAGTAAGCCCTTACTTACGAAGTCCAAAGGAAAGGAAGAAAAACGAATACAAGATAAAACCTTTAGTTTGGCGGCAGCATTGGCATGTTCCTTGATCTGGGCATCAAAGTTCTTCTGCACTTCCATAATCTCTGATCTGGCAACAATCTGTGCTCTGAGGTCGATCTCTATTTGCTCTAGCTCTTCTCTCTGCCTGGATATACTGTGCAACCGCCGCTGCAGTATGTCATCATTTGTTCCGCTACCATCAATCGTGATGGAACAGAAGTCCACCTCGAGCTGGCCAGTTTCCTCCTGCACCTTCCACGACGAAATTTTACCCCTCAAATTGGGATTCATCGTCCGGGGAAGAAAAAGAAGACAGCTAGTCCACCTGACTGTTTACCTCGTATATTGTTCTCTCATCAGATTGTCCTAATTTCCCATGTTCTGACCCCTGCCCAACAAAACATAAAAAATAAAACGCCAGCCCAAACCCTAAACGCAGAATACGGGCGCGTTATCCCTACCCCACTCCCATTACTCCGGAAGCAGTGCTCGGGGACTGCACGCCACTCCTTTCTCTGTGACGAGGAGGGCACAGGAAGGGATCCGCCGCGCCCCGCGGCAGCCTCCATGAGGGGGAAAGAGCGCCCCTCCCGAAGAACTCCACTTCTCGGCCGCTACAGAATCAGGTTATCAAGGAACACGATAGTCGAAAGAAATATCAAACACAGAATCAGCGTCGATTCTGTGTTACTCATCTACGAGCAAGATGAATTTGGTGGATTCGAGCGAGGAACAGGAAGTAACGAGGCGAGACGACAAGGAGGTCGCCCGAAATTTATAGCCGCGGAACCGAGGCGGAGGGAGAAGTCCGGTTCTGGTCACGATTCCGCCCACTTCGTGCCTCAGGGGGCCGGGGGGGAGGGGGGGTGGTTAACCATGGTACCAGCCCAATGTGCTAACCCTAATCTTGGGCCGTCTACCCCCATATCGAATCTCCGAGCTTGGTCTCGGCCCGTTAATATTGCGGATCTGGTTTAGGCCGATTAACACCTACCCACGCACGTCCACGAAAGGACCACGTGCATTTAAATTATACCTTTTCAAAATTTACGAAATTATGTTTTAGTCCTCAAAACATATTAAATCATAAAAACTCAGTTCAACGAATTTTATAAATAACCTTAAAAAAATAACCCTTGTGACAACTAGCGAAGTCTATTGTGCTTTAGCCCTAAAAACATCAGACTTATATTTATATTATACCCCGAAAACATTACTACCGATATCTGAAACCTCAAAGTTCGCATAATTTTCATCAAATGGTTTTTTCCCCAAACATGGCGGAGTCTTGGTTGAGACTTCCCTGACGTGGAAATCCCATGCTTCTTATTGGTCTGGGCCAGGCCCATTAGTATCTCAAACATTGGCACCTCTAATGGACATATTTACAAATAGTGGTCCTCATATTGGTACGCAAATATTCTCAGACAAGAAGTGGGAAAGGTCACGTGAGAGAATTAGTATCTCAAACATTGGCACCTCTAATGGACATATTTACAAATAGTGTTCCTTATGTTGGTACGCAGATATTCTCAGACCAAGAAGTGGGAAAGGTCACGTGAGAGAGTCTCATACCGCTAGAGTAGAACTGAAGTTTTGTACCGGCGACACATGATACCGCTTTATCAGCAAACATCGGACGGGCAATCAGGAGAAAGGATAGCGAGGGCCTTATCCTCCAGAATCTGAACTCTCGCGCCCCTTCTTCTTGTCACAGAAGAGAGAGAGAGCCATCGAACCAGAGGGAGAAGAAGGGCGGCGGGGGGGAGGAGAATGGCGGCGCTATCACTGGTCTCGTCTTCCGCCACTCCTGCAACGAACCTCTCTCGCCGGTATTCGCCATCGCCGCCTTCCCCGCTGCGACAGGTCCTCCCGCGGCGCCACTCCACGGTGACGAGCATCCCCGCTCTCCCCTCTCTTCTGGCCTCCGTTCCCGCCGATATCTCCAGCCTCGATGCACCGGCGGCGCTTGCCGTCCTCGGTGGCGGCTCCGTCGCCGCCTTAGCGGCGCTCTCCCTGACGGATCCCGAGCGGCGCCGCCGGACCCAGGCGGAGGAGGTCGGAGGAGGAGATAAGGAGGTGGTGAGGGAGTACTTCAACAACACCGGATTCCAGCGCTGGAAGAAGATCTACGGGGAGTCGACGGAAGGCGTCAACAAGGTCCAGCTCGACATTCGCATCGGCCACGCCAAGACTGTGGAGAACACCATCGCCATGCTCAAGGACGGCGGCCCCCTCGCCGGAGTCACCATCTGCGATGCCGGCTGCGGCACAGGAAGCCTGTCGATTCCGCTCGCTCGCGAGGGGGCGATCGTCTCCGCCAGCGACATCTCCGCCGCCATGGTGGCGGAGGCTCAGGAGAGGGCGAAGGAGGCTCTCGGCGGCGCCGCCAGGTTACCTGTTTTCCAGGTTAGCGATCTGGAGAGCCTGAAGGGGAAGTACGACACGGTCGTTTGTCTGGATGTGTTGATCCACTACCCGCAGAACAAGGCCGACGGGATGATCGCTCATCTCGCTTCACTGGCGGAGCGGAGGCTCCTGCTCAGCTTCGCCCCAAAGACGTTCTACTACAGCCTGCTGAAGAGGATCGGGGAGCTCTTCCCAGGCCCTTCCAAGGCGACTAGGGCTTACCTCCATTCCGAGAAGGATGTGGAGCGCGCGCTGGAGAAGGTCGGGTGGAAGATCAGCAAGAGGGGGCTCGTGACGACTCAGTTCTACTTCTCCAGGCTAATCGAGGCTGTCCCCGCTCAGTGAGAGGATGATCTCAGCGGCTTCTTGGAGCAGGGGGGTTGAATTCGTATGATGTCGTACTGATCGGCCAGGTTTTGCTGGCTTCATCTGGTTTCATTCTGTAGATAGAAAGATTCTAGTAGCAGCCTCGAAGCGTTCCAGCAGTATTACCTGTTCTTCTCTCTGAGCAGCTGAGCGAGAGTTCCGTCTGTCTTCTCATTCCTCCTTTCACTGGAATTTTCCGCTCAGACCTGCAAATCTTCCGGGTCGAGCTTTCATGGCGACTCAACAAATCCTACACGAAATTTCTTCCCATATGAGACGTGCTTCTGTTCATGATGCATCGTCTCCGGTCTTCACGTCGACCTCGAAGCGGAGAAGAGAGACTCACGCTCATCGGCGCCTGCGTCTAGAGCGATGGTTTGGGCCACTGAGAGACAAATAGCGAGAGAGAGAGAGAGAGAGAGAGAGAGAGAGAGAGAGGGGGGGAGGGGATTAGAAGAAGGGGCGACGTAGGTGGACTTAATGGGTAGAAAGTGGTCAAGATTTGACCAAAGTCCTATGTTGACTGTGAAGCAATGGTTTGAGTCGTCCCGTACATCTAAATTATTTTACATACAAATTATCACACTTAAAGAAAGAATTATGCAATAACGTGTTTTCTTAACGGGCCCAGCTCGGGCTCTAACAGGGCCGTCAGTTGACTAGAACCACGTTGACGGCCCACAAAAGCTGAATGTTGCGACGGTCAACCAGTATCGAGACCACAGGGCAGCAACAGCTAATGGGCTTTTGGCCGGGTTGGCCCAATAACTTACCGACGGAGGTAAGATATCATTTCAGCCATAATTTTTTCTTCATTCCTCCCTCTCTCCCTCCCTCAGTCCAGTAACGGGGATTTGAAGGCCCTTTGATGTCTGAGGGAGAAAGGATACTCTCTCTCTCTCTCTCTCTCTCTCTCTCTCTCTCGCTCTTCTTTATCTTCTCTCCTTTCTTTTCAGCCCGTGGTCTGGAGGGGCAGCTTCTCCCGGCGGCGTTACCGTCGGAGACCGCGGAGGGGAACCATTTCCGCGAAGAGGCGGCGCCATCAAAGCTCAGCCCTTCCATTTAGAGTGAAGTTCATGCACTTGCAACGCGGCGGCTCTTGGGACAGAGACAGATCGGTTCACCTCCCCCATTCCCCTTTCCGATTCGATTAAGCGGGGGCCATTACTAGTAGTGCTGCCGCCGTCTCAGAAGAGGCCCTCCAACTGTTATTCACGACCGGGGGCGGAGGGCGGCTGCCGCCCCAGCCCCACCTCAGTTTCATTTCCACCGCTTCCCCTTACGGTTGGGCGTCATGATTAGGTCGTTGACCGCATCATTAATTCGACGGTTGGGGGTCAGCCCGACGGCCCTCGTGCCAGTTGGGCTTCCGGGCACGGCCGTGGTCGTTGACTTGACCGGTCAAGTTCCAGTAATGAGCATCGTACTCTGAGGCTTCATCTGCATTAACTCTGGGTAGGTAATCGGCATCTTCCCCCGTTAGAGCCGGGTTGGAGGGTCGCTGCGACAGCCCAGTTCTGAACAGGAGAAGAAGGCGAGAGCTTCTGGTGTGGTGTCCTTGAAGGGGAGGCGGCGGAGTTGAAGAGGACGGCGGCGATATGGTGGTGCGCACCGGAGCTGGGTGGACGACTGACGTGGACCTTAATGAGACTCGGTCGTCGAGGAAGGTTACCGGATGCGTCCGAGGGGTTGACCGCACCACACCACATAAACAGTCGTGAGGATCTACGTAAATGATGTAAATCAAATATATTTTCTTGATATTTCGTCTGATAATAGTTTAGTGGGAGAATTACATGGCGAGATGGTCCTTTTCCAATATAGCAAGCGACGAGAATGGTTGTGGCCTTGAATGGACCACTGACAAGGACACAGTCAGAATGTCAACTGGTTTGGTAAGCAAACTGGGAAGAAAGCAGGTGGAAAAATCCGTGTTTCTGCTGAAATAAGAGCGCTGACTTTTCGAGTCTCCAGCGGAAGAACATATTACTGTGGGGGGGGGGGGGTCTTCTTTAAATGAACGGTCACTGGGTGATCAGCCCCTCTGCCGGAGGAACATGAATTCAGATCGACCCAAGATCACTTTCGAAGCTTCCTTCCGACAGCTGGGGATCAGGTCAGCCGGCGACGAGTCAAAGCCTCAGACATGAGATCAAAATGGCACGAGAGTCAATTTCAAGGAATCATTCCGTGCCCAGGGAGATCTTGAGATCATATGTTTGTTCTTTATTAAGTAATACCCAATGATATTTTATGCTCTGCACGGACAAGGGTGACGACCTTAGGTCATATTTTCTCCTGGTAGCTCACCGGCAGGAATCGCCCAGAAATAGAAGATATCGGCGTCTTCTCTCTCTTCTTCTTCTTATCACTATCTTCCTCCGGCGATGCTTAAACTCTCTGGGATGTGAGGAATTGTTTAAGATACTCGAGCCATGCATGCACCTCTATCATGATCAATTAGCCTCCCTGATGCTGTAACACGCAGACGAGGAGGTGCCAGGGGTCGGCACTCAATGCATCCCTCCTTCCCGCAAGCAGAAGACAGAACCCTCTTTCATGGCGGATTCCCCTAGTGGGAGGGGAGATGAACCTAGCATGACGATCTCTTAATAGCATATTCTCCGGGAAATTTCTCCATGTAGACGAAACCTCGGACGTTTGCTTGCGGAAACAACAAGATAAGAGTCTCTGCGAGCTGCCCTCACGCTGGCGCCGTCCGTCTGCCACTGCAGATGAGACGAAGCGGGAGCAGAAGCCTCCACGGCGATTTTATCCACAGGAGACACCGCCTGGCCCGTCATCCTCCCCCCCGACGCCGGCAAGCGAACTCTAGTTACCAGTTTTTCAGCCAGCGCACGCAGAAGACGGAGCCCCCACGCCATTAATCGACCGACGGGGCCCCCATCCTGTTGTCAATCCCGTTCCCCGGAAGGCAAAGTTTCTGTCAGGCCAGAGTTGGGTGGTGGTTGAGCAAACCAAACCCTTCCTTTCTTCCGGCCGTCTGAACTGTTTGCATTAATGGTTGACCGCCCATCGCCTCTCCGGACAAGTCAGAGGCTTATGGAGCAACACTCTCCGTTCGTCTCACCTCACCCTCCGATAAATTTTATCAACATTGGCATAGAATCAGTCAAACCATTTTGGAGAATAATTTATACTTTGAATCAGACAGAGTTCATTCGAAGAAACCATAGGTTTAATGCCTCATGTAAGATTTGTTTGAGGTGGCGTTGCTTGGTGTAATTAATGCACCCGTCGGCTTGACTTCTCCGCCTAACTCCAGCCAACCCCGAATAACTCGGGCGGCTTGCGAGTCCTGACGCGGTGAGTCCATCACCAGCTTGGCGATCCTCGCCCACGCGCTATTTTTCCTGGGTGCGTGCGTGTGTTGTGTACCTCGGTCCTTCCTCCAAGTATCAATTTCTTGCCGCCGGGGGCCATTAATGGTGTTGTGCTGGTACCAGTAGGCCGACGACTCGATTATATATAGTCACCTCCTTTTGGCTAGCTCACCCAACTCGAGAACACGAGAGCAGACAGAGAGACAGAGTGAGGGAGAGAGAGACAGAGAGAGAAGCGATAATGGAGGGCACGGAGGTGGCGATGATGGAGAGGGAGAGGCTAACAGCAGAGATGGACTTCAAGGACTCCTCAATAGTCATCAAGATTCGTCGCAGGCTACCGGACTTCCTCCAGTCCGTAAAGTTGAAGTACGTTCGGCTCGGCTACCGCTACGCCTCCCTCGCGCCGCTGCCCCTACTCTTGTCCGCCGTCGCCCTCCTCTTGGTGGCGGCGGCGGCGGCGACGAGATGGTCGGCCCCACTCCTCCACTTCGGGTCAACCCCCCTCCTCCCTGAGATCAGTCTGGGCCTGCGCTTGGCCGGCATAGCCGTGTTCATCCTCCTCCTCACGGTCTACTACTTCAAGCGCCCTCGACCAGTTTACCTGGTCGACTTCGCCTGCTACAAGCCCGACGACGAGCTGAAGATCACCAAGGACATGTTCCTCGACATGACAGAGAGCTCCGGAGGGTTCAGCGAAGAGACCATCCAGTTTCAGGAGAAGATCGCTCGGCGATCGGGGCTCGGCGAAGAGACTTATCTCCCCCGGGGAATCATCTCACGGCCTCCCAATCTGTCCATGGAGGAAGCGCGGATCGAGGCTGAGAACGTCATGTTCGGCTCCATCGACGCCCTCCTCAAGAAAACCAAGGTTGACCCGAGAGACATCGGAATTCTTGTGGTCAACTGCAGCCTCTTCAATCCCACCCCGTCTCTGGCCTCCGTGATCGTCAACCACTACAAGATGAGGGAGGATATCAAGAGCTTCAATCTCGGCGGCATGGGATGCAGCGCAGGTCTCATCTCCATCGACCTGGCCCGGAACCTCCTGCAGGCGAACCCCAACTCGCTAGCGCTGGTGGTGAGCATGGAGAACATCACGCTCAACTGGTACTTCGGCAACGACCGGTCCATGCTCCTCCCCAACTGCATCTTCCGCATGGGCGGCGCCGCCAGCCTCCTCTCCAACCGCCGTTCCGACAAGAGCCGCTCCAAGTACCGCCTCCTACACACCGTCCGCACCCACAAGGGCATGGACGACAAGAGCTACAACTGCGTATACCAGCGGGAAGACAGCTCCGGCCAACTCGGGGTCTCGCTGGCCAGGGAGCTCATGGCGGTGGCCGGAGAGGCCCTCACCACCAACATCACAACCCTTGGCCCCCTGGTTCTCCCCCTGGCGGAGCAGGGCAAGTTCCTTATGACTCTCGTGGCCCGGAAGGTCTTCAAGATAAAGACCGTGAAGCCCTACGTTCCCGACTTCAAGAAGGCCTTCGAGCACTTCTGCATCCACGCCGGCGGCCGCGCGGTGCTGGACGAGTTGCAGAAGAACCTCACCCTCAAGGAGTGGCACATGGAGCCCTCACGGATGACGCTCCACCGCTTCGGCAACACCTCCAGCAGCTCGCTCTGGTACGAGCTCGCCTACACGGAGGCTATGGGCCGCGTCTCCCGCAGCGACCGCGTGTGGCAGATCGCCTTCGGCTCTGGTTTCAAGTGCAACAGCGCCGTGTGGCGCGCGCTCCGCACGCTGTCGCAGGAGGAGATCGACGGCACCTGCAATCCCTGGGTGCACTGCCTTGACCGATACCCCGTCAAAGCCGCCGCCCTCTGATAGCCTCCTCTCGGTCAAGAAACTCATGAAGTCGCATTAATTTGATACCTTCGTGCTCTTTCGTTCCCCAAACCAAGGAAGGCTGACACGAGGATTTACCACGCTCTCTCTCTCTCTCTCTCTCTCTCTCTCTCTCTCTCTCCCCCCGCTTCCTCCTACACAACTGTAAGATAGTTAAAACAGTTGAAGAAGAGGGTAGGCGTTTAATCTGTATACGGTTAGGTTATCTTGTCCGAAAGGGCCAAAATCCATAGCCCGAAACCTGCAGTTACCATACCCAATTGTACCTGCGGCAGTTTCTGGCCTCAAGATTCTATTTTTTTGAAACAAGAACTCACCCCCTCATATTTATCCAGATACTTCTATTTATCTAGAGAGAGGGGGGGAGAGAGAGAGAGAGTATAACCATTGAATCTTGGAGAAGCGCTCCTGATTCTCGCCACTCATTGCCGTCATGATTAGACATAAATGGGCACATGGAACAGGATGGACGGTGGTCGACAGTCAACGCCTATTGTACAGCCAGGCATCGCGGGATCTCTGCGTACCTCTGCTCCGACCCATTTGGTAAAACGTATCTCTCGGCTTATCATAACTCCATCCCACCCACTTGCTTGACTCTCTCTCTCTCTCTCTCTCTCTCTCTCTCTCTCTCTCTCTCTCTCTCTCTCTCTCTCTCTATCTACCTATCTCTGTGTCTGTCTCATCCATGGCGGGAAACATGAAGATCGGTGGCGGTGCCTTTCGAATTGAAGGCTCTCGTAGAAGAGATGAACCCTCTTGCGTACGAACTGTCACTTCCTGGAAAGTTAGAGGGCGAGGTGGACAAGTGCTTTCTAATGGGCCAATTTATGGGCTTTAAAGGCTACCGTTATACCAGGCCCATAGACGACCGGGTTGTAGACCAATGAGAGAAAGGATGAGAAGAAGAAAGGGAGCGGGGGGGGTACGGCTTCTCGTTAACCTCCGACTGGGTCGCGATGATCCTTGGAGGAGGCGCCGTCTCTGCCTACGTGGCGCCTCTACAGCCGCAGAGCTCCGCCCGCCCCCACCGCGCGTCCTCTGCGGCGGCGGTGGTGGCCTCCGCGAAGAGACTGCGGCGGTGGCGCCGCCCGTCGCCGGAGGAAGATGACGCCGGCGAATACCCAGAGGGAACGCCAGAAGCGGGCGGCGGAGTGCTCGAGTTCCTCACTAATCTCGATTCCGAAGCGCCACCGCCACCGCCAACGCCGGCGGTTTCTGCCGGAGGGTCGTCGCTGAGGGGGGCGGACGTCCTCCAGGCTCTTCAGCGCAGGGCCGCCGCCGGCGGAAAGGGGGCGGCGGCCGGTGGTGGAAGGGGGGCGAAAGTGCAGAGGAGCGTCGCCACCAGAGGGAGCGGCGGCGGCGGAGGAGACGGGCAGGGAGAAGCCCGCGACTACAGCAACGTTCGGCCGCTGGAGATCAAGAGCGACTGGGCCGCTCGCCTGGACGAGCTCGATAGCCTCGTCCAGGAGCTCCAGGCACAGCAGCAGCGCGAATAGGGGAACACAGAATCTGAAATAATACCCGCAGATGTTACTGCAATCCAGCGTTCATAGTACGAGGTCCTTTGTTGCAAGATTATAAGCTCTGAAGGGTGGTTTTGTGAATCCGATCGATGCTGCGGGTGACGAGATGGGGGGAAGAAGATGACGATAATACAGTTACCAGCTGAGGTAGATGGTACAGATTCCGTGGGGGTCGTCTCTTTCTCTACCGCCGTCATCCACCCCCCCTCTATCGTACAGTAAAGTTGCTTCTTTTGCGTTCATCTACCCAGTTCTTGTGAAATGTATTCCTCATGAATTACTAATAATGGTCCCATAATGTAATCGACACGACCAGATATTCCCCTTTTGAGACTAGCAAAATCCTACAGATGCAGCATGAGTCACGAGAACGAGAGAGAGAGAGAGAGAGAGAGAGAGATTTTCGCAAAAGAAAACGCCTTCTGTTTCCGGGGATTTACAATATCGGAAGCAATTCCGATTGAAACACATCGAATCCGCCGCAGATTTGGTCCCGACGGTCGGCATGTGATCCCCGCGGCGGTGGCCGTCCGTGACTTCCGGCTACCCGACGAGCACCCGGCAGGAAGAATGCCAGGCTCCACCGCCGAGACGGAGAGATCGATCACAAGCATCTCCCCAGTCGCAGAGTTTCAAATATTCTGCTTTCCCGCCGCTCTCCGACGACACGCGCCATGCACGGCGGCGCCGCCACTCCCAGGAACCAAAAATCGAACGCCCTCCCCTCCCTCCTCTCTGGATTTCTTCCCGCCGGCCTCCCTTGTCTTCTTCTTCTCCTCCTCCATGGATTCAGGATTTGCAGAGGCGACCCGTGAGCACCATAACCAGAGAATCCTCCTTCGCAGGACCAACATCTGCTCGACCTGTCTATATAACACACGCCCACATCCCCAACTCGCCGGAAGAGGGAGGAGAAGAGATGGGTACCAGAGTGGCATTGTTCTTCCTGTTTGCATGTCTCTCCATGGCCTGCGCGCGACGCCATGCCAGCGCCGCCGTGGGGTTCAACTACGCCGACGCGCTGGAGAAGTCGATCCTCTTCTTCGAGGGCCAGCGGTCGGGGAAACTCCCCCCCGGGCAGCGGCTCTCCTGGAGGGGCGACTCCGGCATGTCCGATGGAGCTTCAAACCATGTAATCTTTTTTCTTTCCCTCGTCCTTGTAGCTGCGCGATCTCCATTCCTAACCGCAGCACCACGGGGAGTTTTTTCTTCTCAGGTGGATCTGGTCGGTGGGTACTACGACGCAGGAGACAACGTCAAGTTCGGCCTACCGATGGCCTTCACGACGACGATGCTCTCATGGAGCATCCTCGAATTCGGGGATCTCATGCAGGCCCAGCTTGAGGACGCCATAGCCGCCGTCCGCTGGAGCACAGATTACCTGATCAAGGCCGCCACCGCCGCTCCTGACACGTTATTCGTGCAGGTGATGGAAGAAAAATCCAAATCAAATCAAACTTAGTGCTGTGAAACTGGTTTCTCGATCATGTCATTGTTCTTCGAGAATAATTTTGGAGAGGGCCTCCGATCTTTAGTGTTCTATCTTCGTTTGGTGCAGGTTGCAGATCCTAACGTGGATCACCGGTGCTGGGAGAGGCCCGAGGACATGGACACCCCTCGAAGCGTGTACAAGGTGACGAGCCAGAGCCCGGGATCTGATGTGGCGGCGGAGACGGCGGCGGCGCTCGCGGCCGCCTCCATCGTCTTCAGAGCTGTCGACCCTGCGTACTCGAAGAAACTCATTCAGACGGCCATGATGGTGAGAATCAGACACCCCCATATTATCTCTTTTAAACCCTAATCCGAGGAAGACGATCCTCCGGCGCAGGTCTTTGACTTCGCCGACCGCCACCGAGGGTCTTACAGCGACTCTCTCAGCTCAGTCGTCTGCCCGTTCTACTGCTCCTACTCCGGGTACCACGTAAGAATAGCTCCGTCCCTCTGTGTATAGTCTCCCCAGGTCTTCTCTCTCTACCTGCTGATCCAGCAATGGCGACAGGACGAGCTCCTGTGGGGAGCTTCCTGGCTTCAAATGGCCTCAGAGAACACGTCCTACATGTCGTACATAAACTCCAATGGCCACACGCTGGGAGCGGAGGAAGACGACTTCTCATTCAGCTGGGACGACAAGCGAGTGGGAACCAAGGTTCTCCTCTCCAGGGTATCTTCTTCCTCCTCTATACCGTGGCGTCGCCGCCTCAACTTCTTCGACTGATAGGGGAAGGTGGCGGAATCTGAAATCTGAAAGCTTGGTCCTACATTCTCCGTTGCAGGGTTTCCTTCAGAACAGGGTGGAGGCGCTCCAGGTGTATAAGATCCATGCAGACAACTACATCTGCTCTCTGATCCCCGGGACACCTGGTTTCCAAGCCCAGTACACGCCTGGTGAGCCTCCGATTTATGTTTCTTCGGAAAACCGTGCCGAGATAAATCTCACAAATGGCGCGAAAAGATCAAGTTTTTTGCTTTATCACCATCTATCTCTCTCTCTCTCTCTCTCTCTCTCTCTCTCTCTCTCTCTCTCTCTCAATGTTTGGATCACGAGACGCAGGGGGGCTGCTATACAGGGGCAGCGAGAGCAACCTGCAATACGTGACCTCCACCGCATTCATCCTCCTCACTTACGCCAAGTACCTCGACTCCAACGGCGGGTCCGCCCTGTGCGGCGGCGGCGCTACCACCATCACCGCCGGTGACCTCGTTTCCCTGGCAAAGAAACAGGTCTCTCTCTACATTCCCCTTCCTTCTCCAATCAATCTCGGACCACCTCCCCCCAACCCACCTCATCCATTCCTTCCACCTCTCTCTCCCTCTCTCTCTCTCTCTCTCTCTCTAGGTGGACTACATCCTGGGGAAGAACCCGGCAAACATGTCCTACATGGTGGGCTTCGGGGAGAGGTACCCACAGCAGGTGCACCACCGGGGCTCCTCACTGCCGTCGGTGAGAGCTCATCCCTCTCCCGTTCCCTGCAACGAAGGGTTTCGGTATCTCTATTCGAGCTCCCCCAACCCAAACCTCCTCGTCGGCGCCGTCGTCGGCGGCCCGGATAACAGAGACGGCTTCGCCGACTACCGCAACAACTACCAGCAGACGGAGCCCGCCACCTACATCAACGCCCCCCTTGTGGGCGCCCTCGCTTACTTCGCCGCCGCCGGGAAGCCGTAGAAGGGGAGCTCTTTCTAGTGCAACATCAAGGCCTGAGTAAATCCGTGACAGAAATGGGTCACAATCTAACTATATATGCACCATGACGATCGAAGAACTCGGTAGAACACCTGCCGCTCAGAGATGTGTATCATTTATATATGGCGATGGAATACAATCTGAGTAGCGTGGGAAGAAGAGGAAATCGTCAGAACAACGTTTCGTCTTGCTCAATGCAGGTGGGTATGGAAAGTCATCAATCGTATCAGAGTATCACTCCCCAAACCGGTTTCTTGGGGTTAAGAGAGAGAGAGAGAGAAAGAGAAAGAGAGAGAGAGGGCAATCTTGCTAACCAGTGAGTCCATCTAGTAAGGGCGATACCGCCGGCCGCGGCCTCCGTCTTGGCCTCTACTTCCACTGTCACTAGGACCGCCACTGCGATCGCCTCTCCGAGGCAGTGGCAGCTGTGAAGACTGCACACCCGGCTGCTGTCTGCGGGAAGAAGAAGAAGATGAAGTGGGGTAAGAAAGAAATCACCAATAAAGAAGGATGGAGGACACGTCCGGCCTTGAGGAAATGGAAGAACTCACAGAACGTAGCCAACTCGACCATCAGGCAGCATCATTGGCACCATTCTCATCCCAGGAGGCATTGGGCCCCTGCCATAAATCATGGGCTGCAAAGAGACATTGCACCGGAGCAAGGTTTTGTATGAGGAAATATCAAGACATCACAAGGCCACAACAGGTGAGTAGGCATAGAACCAGAGGAACCACCTGTCCAAACCCTCCTGGGGCGCCGTAGCCGGCAGAGTAGCCTCCGTATGGATCTCCACCGTACCCGTAGGCAGGATAAGGAGAATAACTGGGAAGAAGGGCGGGTTTGCTGGAATTCATGACATGGTCGACCTTTCTGTCACTCTGGGGCTTTGCAAGAGTCGCCTCTAAAACATGACCTAGGATATAATTCCACGGTAAATAAGTTACTAAGTAATATTCTGATATCAGAAAAGAAAGAGATACTAGAAAAGGAAATTCCATTTCACCAACTACTGAAGAAATTAGACTAAGACCTCAATTAAACAATCATAAAACTAGTGAAGAGCCCAAAATTACCGTCGATTTCGTATTTTTCTGTTCCCTTGACTGCCTTTAGTGCACTTGATCTTTCGGCAAAATGGACGAATCCGAAGTCTTTCTTGGTCTGTCCAGCCTTCGGAGGTGGAAGAACAACTTTTGTGATCTCTCCATGGCGCTCAAAAATTTCCTTTAACTTTTCTGAAGTGATGCTCTCAGGCAAATTTTTCACATATACAGCCTTTACCTGGAGATCACAAAGAATTATCAACATAGATTGCAATGCATACACATGTTCCAACAAGATCATGCACATAAACAGGGATCTAAATTGCACAGGAATATATATATAATCATAAGATTTGCACAAAAAAGAGGGATACCAATCTGGAACTCTGCAATTTAATAGGTATAAAAATTATGAGGAATACATCTGCTTGTTCTTCATCTGGGAAATTAAAAAATAAATATCTAATGTAATCTTCAATGCATGGTCCTGAATAAAATAGTGAAAGGAGATGAATAGGGATATTAATAAAAAGTTGAAAAAATGGAATATCAATCACATCAGAGGCAATGGAAAGGTAAAATCGAAGTTCCATCCACCAAAATTTGCAACGGCGAAATGTGATGGAATTTTCCCATCAACTCAGACCGGCACAAAAAAAAAACAATCCAATGGTATAGGGGAAGGAGTAAAGCCAAGTTCATGACATATTTTTCTATTGCAGGCTGAAGGCTTGGCTGAATTAAGCCCAAGTTAGCCCCTTCAGTCCAAAGGGAACGAAGGTCCAACAGAACCCTCCAAGAGAACACAGGTTGCACTAGACAACAGCAGGCTTTGAGTCAAAGAACGTGTGCATGTGGTTCCGGAACGAAATCAGAGGCTTTGAACTGTGATTCCAGTTTCAGTTTGGTGACTTTTTCCTCTCATTCATTTAAAGAAACCCCATTAACAAGTACTTCTTTCATTTAATGAGAGAAAGGCTCCACGTTGGCAACTTTCGATTATCCCGGATGAAGAAGATTGCTCTCTTCCTCTTCCAATGGGTCGAATGATCCTATCAGAAATATTCTACTCCTTTTTTCCAAGTACGTGTATAGAGAGAGAGAGAGATGGCACGGGCACTTGGTCCTATGACTGAATTCCAAAGAAGATGGGCATACATCAAGAGCAGAAAGACTAGGAGCACTGATGACTAGCTAAATACCACTAAAGATATAAGAGGTCTTTCAATGCACTTGAAATTGGTCAGTCATATAATCGCTGGCAGGTCAATTTTCAAGACTTCATGCCCACGATTCCACGTCTACAATGCGCTATACTTGCTGAAGTTTAATGTGGCTGACAAAGAACGGCAAGTGTAGAGAAATGAGCGAAAGAGAAGGGACTGAACTAGGAATAACTGAATACGGGGGAAAAGTAGATAAAAATATCCCTATAAAATATGGAGAAAAAAGTAAATAAAATCAACAAGCTAATTGTGAATGGGGAAATGGAGAGGGCCCCAGTTCACCATCATTATCATGAACCCAAGGGCAAGAACCTGGGACAGAAAATTCAACAAAGAACAACTAATAGGCCAACAGGATATCCCGGATGGCCTTAGAGACAGTGAAATAATTATGGAGAAGAGACGACCTACCAAATGTAAAAATAGCCGATAAACAAATCTCAAGGTTTTCATAGCCCAATCAAATAGGATACAGACTAAAACAAGTCACGAGAATTCAAGAGGTGCACTCCACAGGAGAGACTAAAGCCTGATAACCACGAGATGATATGGCTCGTGACTAACCCATTTCATAAAAACATTATTCAGCAAAAAAATACTGAAGTTAGTAAACATCCAGTGGACCACTTACCGTAAAATGAAGATTTCAACCCTCAGTCTTTTCATTATCAAGGCATTATGATTGTAATTCTTTTGCTCCATTGGCAAATGTAAAGTGAATGTTAAGTACCATCGTATTTTTGGTAAATCATTAAAAACATACATTTCTTCCAACTCTCTCTGCACTACTGTAAAAATACTAACTTATCACGTGTGAAGCAAGTGCATTTCATAAGTGAGTTTAAAGCAGCTCCTAACTTCAGCGCCATAATAGAGAGTCTGTATTTTCGCTGTTCCTGAGTTTTGAGACGAGACCAAACATTGAGTTTACAATGTACAAATAAAGGTAAAGAGTGCGAGGAGAAACTTTCTACTTCATTTTATTCAATTAAAAAGAATCTCAAATACTATCAAGAAAAAAATTCTATTGGATAAATCAACTGTGTATACTATTTTGTTGAATTTCCACGCCCTAGACTCTGATTGAGTTTGGACCAAAGTATTCCGTACCATCTAATACATTTCCCTAGAAATAACGCAAAAATCAAGAAAATTTGTAGAGGGAAGAGAGTCACAGCAGCAGTACATCAAGATCTTTAAGTAAGACATTTCTTTGGCAGTAAATAACATTCGCAGTCATCCGAAAGAGAACTAAATAAAAAAAGATCTCATTCACGGGGAGCGTAAAGTGAAATTATGTCATCTCAGATTGTATAGACCCCGAAATCCAGTTCAACATATAAATGATTCCAAATAGATACTTCATCCTATACTGTAGTCTGTTAGTATGACACAACTTACATAAACGACTGGCGAAAATTGGTTGAGAATTTTTGGTTTTCATAAAAAAGGGATGGATGTTTTCAGTTGAAAATTACGACTACATGGATTTCAAACATTTAGTTGATTTACTTCACCTGAGAAGAGGCAGAAGAATCGGTAGAGTTCTTGGGGTCGGCCCAGCTGACAGTAGGCTTTGTACCTTCCAGCTTGAAGCTTGCAACTGACATTTTCTGTCGTGAATAGTCAGCACAGCCATGATTATAGTACTCCACAAAGACAAATCCACGGTTTCGGCTCGGATTGACAGGATCCTGCAGCAATCAGCAGGCAGTAATAGTGAGATGGGCAAGCAGAACCCGGAGACATCAAGCTAATTGACTTTCTCACAGCAAATCCACCTTTAGAAATTCAATATTTTCAACTCCAGGACCATTTTCTTCAAGTATTCTCTTCATATCGTCTTCATTCATACTCTTTGGAATGTTCCCAATGAATAGCCGATGCTTAGATTGAGACTGAGAACACCTTAAAGTTTTACCCTGGTGGAAAAAAAACCAATTGCCGCAGAACCAATTAACATTTACTTCAAATGACTGCATGAAACTATTGCATGAGGAACTAAAGATGAAGCAGGCTATGCCGCGGAACCTGATACTCTTTATCATGAATCTCATCAACAGCTTTCTGAGCAGCATCCTTCGACGTAAACGTTATGAAAGCATAGCCCTTGTTTTCCTTTTTGTCCTTGTCCTTCATCAACCTCACCTGTTGGAGTTTCAAATCTCACAACCACCCAAATAAAGAAACCATTATGAAGAACCAAAAAAAGTACTAGTCATTCAAACCTCAAAAATTTCACCAAACGGTTCACAAAGTCCCCTCAAATCTTCTTCTGTTGCGTTGCGGGGAATCCCACCAATAAAGACTTCAGATCCATGAGGAGGAAGAGCGAGCAATTCGGCATACTTCAGCCTCTCATCCTCGCCTTTTGATCGCGTAGTCTCCCCTTCGTTCTTTGAAGCGCTTGATACGTCATTATCTACCTCCGATGGCGACACATTGTCCTGGCTCTCACCTTCGGAGCCACGGACATCAGCGGCAAAGCCATGGTCTTCTCCCTCTGAACCATTTTCTTCCCCCTCAGAACCATGTGGCAGCTCCGCATATTCATCTCCTTCTTTCCTGAAATCATCGTCCTCCACAGGATCTTCTGCTTCATCGTCCATCATTTCCTCTATGTCATTGTCACCATCGAGATCAACCTGCTCTTCCACTTCACCTAACCCGTGATCAGCCATAGTCAGATCCTGACTCTTATCATCAGCTACAGACCACCATATAATCGCCTGCATGCATGAACAGGAGTTGTGAAACAGGGAAATAAGAGCAATCAGAGATGTGCGTATTATGAAATGGCAAACATGGACAATCCAGACTACACATGAGGAATCGCTGACCGGAATTGGCTTGAATCACTTATGTTAGCTCAAAAGACAAAAGTCTTGGGAATGAGATCGAGAAAAGCACCAAAATTCGCAACTCTAAATTTATCCCGTGAGGCGATCAGACAAAAAATCGTGAGGGCACTGCATCTCACTGGTTTTCCTAATGTTTACAGAGGATAAACTGGCCACCAAGAGTGTATAACGAAATTTGTAACCTTTTTCAAGAAAACACATCCGAAAGCATGACAAAAACTGTAGAAAGAGAAGCTATGCAAACCCTAAAACATTTCTTACTGACAACCTCGCCACAGTACTGCTGTTATAATCCACATTACCCAATCCGGAAGTGGAGTCCGCCGAGGAACCATAATAATCTGGCACGAGACACATTTTTTTCCAGATTTATCCGTTTATAGAAATCCGATCTACAAACGATCCATCTCAGATGAAGGTAACCCGTCAAAAAGGCGGGCAGGAACGATTTTCCCCGCCGCCTCATGGCCCCTTTCCTCAGTTCCACAGACCCTTCAACATCCCTCCGACGAAAGCTCGTCTACTTTCGAATAAGTGGGCAAAGAGGCAAGGGCCATGGTGGTGCTGGCGATGAGGGAGGAGAGGCAAGGTGGAGGAAGAGGCGATTTCGTTACCGGCGGACCTACCTTCCCGTTTGCAGGTGTCCGGGCTCCGGTGATGGTGGTGGTGGAGGTGGAGGAAATAGTGCTACCACCCTAGGGCAGGGAGTGGAGAAGGATCTCTCTGCAAACCTCAAGAGCCGTCACCAAGACAGTCAACACGAGGGAACGGGATATGCCATCGAGATGAGATCGGACGGCTGAAAACTCTCATACGTGTTCTTCTGAGATAATCTTCCGTCGATCAAACGGCAGCGAACGCGATCAGCGCAGGCTCAACGGGCTGGGCCCAACAGAACATGGGCCGGCACGCTTAGATCTGGCCCAATTCTATTTTATTTATTATAAGTGGATAAAACTTGTGAGACCCAGACGCCACACGCGTGGTTTCGCACGTGTAGAAACGAGGGACTAACCATAACATCTCACAGATTCGAACTCCAAAACTTAACCCCTTTATTAATTCTGAAATAAAAATCCGTTAATCGGTTTATATTATATGATATTATAATGGGTAAGCCCATTGTCAATACCTAATCGAGCTCATATATTAGTTATCGGGCCCAATACAAAAAATCTTGTTGGGCTGCACCTATATTTGACGCGAGCTTCGCCCATTAAAGTTATTCCTCTAATATTAATTTGGCACTAAGCGCCTTGGATGGCTCTAGTTGGACAGCCTAGACATATTTCGCCAGCAGATAAACTAAAATAATTGTATAATAATAATAATAATCCCACATCACATTTGCAAGTTGAAGCATAGCAAATAGTTAAATGCCAGTGATTTTTTTAAAAAATATTCCATGTATATTATCCATAAATAAATATCGAGAAATATTATTGTGGTGTTATTAGAGAGTCTAAAAGGTTAAAAAAACCCCAAAAAGTATAATAAACTTATTTAAATTCATATTATATATATATTCACAACCGTTTATTAGATATAATTAAATGGTTGTATAATAAAAATAAAAATATAATAATTTCTTTGTGGTGTTATGGAAATTCAAAAATATATAATAATTCGTTTTATTTTAAGAAAACACTTCGAGTGTTAGTGGCGTGACGCCATCGCGTCAAAGAGGTTTTCTGAAGGGGAGGGAGTGGTGGGTAGGAACTTGGTGTCTCCGAACACAAAAAAAATCCCCCCGGTGGCTGCTGTTGGCGTCGTTGCAGCGGTGGTTGCTTCCGCGAGGGAAAACTAGCGACTCTCCCGGCAAAAGATGGCCCTTTCAGCTCCGCCGCCCACGTCCCCATGTCTTTAAGGTCGCCCGTCGTTCTTCCTGATGGAACCCTTCCTCCCGAAGCCCTCCTTCCATCTCTCTCTCTCTCTCTCTCTCTCTCTCTCTTCTCTCTCATATGCACACGTGCACCAAAATCTCCCCATCTCTAGCCACTGATTATCTCACGTGGGACCATCATGCTCTCTCTCTCTCCCTGCCTTCTTCTTCATCATCCTCACCGGCACAGAGTTGGTGGCGATTCACATCGCAGCAAAACTAACCAGGCCAACTCAGAAGAAGCATGCCAAAGCATGGACAGAAACGAAGCAACTCAGTTTTTCTCCGTCCGGTTCCATATAAAACCCCCTCGCCGCCGCGGCTTTCCTTCTCACTTCGTCCTCTCTCTCTCTCTCTCTTTTTCTCTCTCTTTCAATCTCTCTACCCTTCTGGTGCGGGGATGGAGGAGATGAGCATCACAGTCAACGGCGAGTCTCGCGTACCGCCGGGGTTCCGCTTCCATCCGACGGAGGAGGAGCTCCTCGACTACTACCTGAGAAAGAAGGTCGCCGGCAAGAAGGTCGACTTGGACATCATGAAAGACGTTGACCTCAACAGGCTCGAACCGTGGGACATTCAAGGCGAGGATCTCCGATTCCACCGCCGTTAATGTTTCCAGTTATGGAAGGAAATCTCCGGCTGAATGGTTTTGATCTCTCAGAGAAGTGCAGGATCGGGTCGGCGCCGCAGAACGACTGGTACTTCTTCAGCCACAAGGACAAGAAGTACCCAACGGGGACGAGGACGAACAGGGCGACGGCGGCGGGGTTCTGGAAGGCTACTGGTCGGGACAAGGCCATCTATGGCGGGGTCAAACGCATCGGAATGAGGAAGACACTTGTTTTTTACTGCGGAAGGGCCCCCAATGGCCAAAAGTCAGACTGGATCATGCACGAATACAGGCTCGAGGAGAGCCGAGACGACGGCTCCCATTCTTCTGTGAGTTGACTTCCTCAGTCTTTCTTTTCGTGGCTCGGAGCTCATTCGTTTGATTATTTATCCTGTCCATTATCGCTTAGTCTTGTAGCCAGCTGGTAGAGACGGACACGCCGGAGGAGGGCTGGGTGGTTTGTCGGGTGTTCAAGAAGAAGAGCCATTATAGGATTCCGGAGAGTAGTAGCTCGAAAAACACTTCATCTGTAGCAGGCGCCGCCAAGACGAAGGAGATTTTCCGCTCCTGCAGCGAAGGAACACTGGATCAGATCATCCAGTTCCTCTCTAGATCCTGTAAGCACGAGAACGAGTTCCCGATAGTCAACCCCATCCTCACTGACGGTGGCTACGCCGTCACCGCGTCTCGTGGAGCCAGCGTGGAAAGTCAAGCAAAGCTTCCCCCGCTCGAGAATCCGAGCGCGATATCGCTTCCGTTCGATTGCTCGCCTCACGTCGGCCGGTCGAGCTACCTCCAAGATAGTATCCACGTGCTGCTAAGCGTTGACCAGGGGTACAACGAGGGGCCAGAAGTCAACGACTGGGCGGCGCTGGACAGGCTCGTCGCTTCCCACCTCAACGGGCAATCGAGCTGCCCCGAGCAGGCTGCCTTCAGTTTCTGCCCTACCATCAACGGTCTGCTCTACGGCGGCTGCGGCGGAGACTCTCAGGAATACAACCCGGCGGACATGAATCTCTGGGCTTTTACGAGAGCTCCGGATTCAGATTCACCGTCAACGTCCCGTAGACAATCCGCAAGCGTTGACTAAATAATTGTCTATTCATGTCCGCATATACAGATCAATAAATACTCCGTGGAGAACGGAACGAAGAAGGCAAGAACCTCGTTATCGAGACCCTCATCCGTTGCCTTTGTTCTCTCTGTCACCCATCTCCAGGAGAAGAGAGAGAAAGAGATAGAGAATTATATTTGACGATCCAACAATGTATGAACTATTCCCAATCATTCTAGGAAAAGAGAGGGAGGAGACCTTCCAACGCCATCGACTGCAGAAGAACGAAGAGTAAGGCCGGGAAGACCATCGTAAAAGACAGGAAAGGGAGAGGCGCCTCCCAATACATCTATTCCGACAGAGAAGCTTCCTTTGGAGAGACCATGAAGCTTCCTTTCCCCTAACCCCCTCCCATCCTCTCTCTCTCTCTCTCTCTCTCTCTTGCTCTCTCTCTTCAGCGGCAACACGTTGTCGACTGGATCTCATCTCGACTGACTACGTGGAGGAGGCAGTAGTAGCCGACAACGGAAGCATCCCGCCGCCGCCGCACAACCTGGACTCCCCATCGGGAGGACAACTCCCGGTAATAGCCGACATCCCCAACGAAGCGCCTGCTATTGGAAGGACCCACTGCCACGCTTGAAGCACTCCTCCACTGCCGCCGCTACCACGGCTATGAGGGTGTGGAGCGCAGAAGGGAAAGCTGATAGTCAACACAACAAGGGCCACCTCGTCTTCATCGCCTTCTCCGTCGAGACCCACTGCTTTCCTTCTGACTTCCCTTTCGTTTGAGCTGAGAACGAATCAGAGAGGGCTCGCCGAAGAGACGGGAAGACGGAATAGACTCCGTTCATGGCGGTCAACTATGAGCGGGCCATTAAGGCAATGATTCGATCACACTAAGGTTTTTGAGCCATTTGGACCTCCATTCTACGAAGAACTTGGGGCCAGGCCAGCGAAAGGGACTGATATTTGATCCATTAACCTACATGGTGAGGGGAGGGGGGGGGACCACAGCGGTCAAACGTCGACGTTATTCGGTCAATACTCCTGCGCACCGAGAACACCGCCGGCTCCTCTACGTTTTTCTTAGACCGGCAGCTGATTCCTATCTGCCAGTACGCGAGGCTCGCTTTTCAAAAAGCTCATGCTCCCTCTGTCTCTCTCTCTGTCTCTCTCTTTCTCTCTCTTCTTTGACCAGTTTATGTCAGTCAACGCACTGCCTACCCACGTTGCTTCTTCACATGCCATCTTCTCCTTTGCGCAGGGCCATGAAAAAGAAATCCACTGTTGCGACCGGAGAGAGAGAGGGAGAGAGAGAGAGAGAGAGAGGTGGGGGGATGGGACTATTGATCATTGCAGAGAAACATGCTCTTAAAGCGACCCTGGGCTTCGGATTCCCTTCCTCTCAGTAACTGTAAGGCTTCCATGGCAGATCTCCCCTCTGCATTCCACACGGCGTCCGGAGAGAGAGAGAGAGAGAGAGAGAGAGAGGGAAGATGATGGGCAGGATAAGTTTATCATAACCACGGAGGCAATGTCCACAAAAAATCGTCTTAGTTAATTGACAACGAAGAATGACCAACGGATTGAAGAGAGAAGGAGAAAAATGAGCTAGTACATGGTCGAGCGGCGGAGAAATCCCTGCGTCCGCCGCCCATACGACCTTGCCGGTGGGTTCTGCGACATAAAAACGTCCAGACGAACCCTTCCGCTGGAAGAGGAAGAAGAAGGAGAAGACGAAGAGCTGAGACGGGCGTTTCCCCAAAAACGGACCCACGTCTCTGAATGCCAGAGGGCGACGATAAATCTGTTCCCTCCGGCGATCGGGGGGGAGGATTTTAAATACATGAATAAATCTAAATAATGCCCGAGATAAAATTCTAAGAAAACAAAGAAAAAGTGAAATCACCTACGACAACGACGGCGATGGAGACAGCATGATGATCACTGATGAGGGCGATGACGACGTCGACGATGAAGAATCAGCCCACCCCGAAGGAAGAACAGAAGGGAATTCCATTCCTCCGTTCTTTCCTTTCTTGGTAATTTTTATCTTATGATAAAGGTTTCTAATCTGCGTTTATTCCAGGGAACTGGGAAGGAGCAGTTCCGATGGCTGGGGTCACGCCTGCTGCACCAGACAAGCAGCTGCCACCGACTTCAGTGAACGGATAGATTAAAGACCGGCGACGGCGATGGAGTGACAGGAATGGGGAAGAGGCGGCAGAGTTCTGACCTGCAGTGGAAGCCACGGTCGCCGGCGTGGAGAGGATTCCGCCACCAAAACTCGGGGGCAAGTAGGGGTATTGCAGCATCTGTGGGTAGTAGGGGTAGAAATTGTGGAAGACACCCAGCTCCGCCGCTCCGGCGCCGTAATAGGGGGAGAACTGGTTGTGCCCACCTCCGCAGACTCCATAGTAGCTCTGCAACCATCGCCGGGAAGGTTTTTCCTTCGTCAGCATTGCTCCTTCCGAATCGATACTAGATGAGTAAAGAACAGAAAACTAGCAGACCATGGGGTACACGTTCTCCTGAGAGAATCCACCTGAGTACCTGGTAAGAACATATCCCGTGAGACGAACTCAGAGAAGGAGAAGAGGAGGAAACATGGGATCTCGTGTTTCTACCCGCAAACTGAGAAAGGCAGAGGGTAATGCGTGGGTTGATGGTAGAAGGTCGCTGCCGTGGGCGTTGAGGGGGCATGATAGGTTGTGGAGGGAGCTCTGAAGCGCCTGAACCCTGAGGGCATTTGGAGAAAACTTTTCAAGAGAACATGAAGATCGAAGAGCATCCATATTTGCAATCTTTTTCAAAGGTCGAGAGGAACCGTGCTGGGGAGTGGGTGGGCGAGATCGGCTGTGGGTCGAGGCCCCAAGAGAGGCGAGGTTGCAGTTTGCCCTCCTTCCGTCGATCACCGGCGATGGGTCTTGGCAAGCTCGCTGAGCCGACTCTGCGTCCTTGAAGGTCACCTGCGCGAAGAAGGAGATCTGTTGGCAAGGGACAGGCCTCATTAGGGCAGCAGACGAAGAAGAGGAAAAGCTTACGAAGCCGTAGCCCTTGGAGCGGCCGGTGGTCTTGTCCCTGATGACGACGGCTTCCTGGATCTCACCGAACTGGTCGAAGTAGCGCCGCATTGTCTCTCTCTGCGTCTCCCATGCCAGCCCGCCGACGAAGATCTTCGTGTAGGTCGTGTCGCCGAACGGCCCCCCACCCGTGTGATGCTGCCTCTGCGGATGCTGCGCCATGAGCTCCTCACTGCTGCCGTGGAGAAGAAAGAGGAGGAGACGATGGCGAGATCGGCGAGAGAGAGAGGGAGGTGGGGGGTATGAGAGTCTGTGAAAGTACTTTGATATGTGTCTGAGGAGAGGTACTGGGGAAGGAAGAAAACGCCAAAGATCGGCTGGTTATCAAGGAAGAAGAACTCAGGCTACAGCTCCTTCCTGGGTCTCGCTCCGTCGCCTCAGAAGCAACAACAGCGAGGACGAAATCATTGCTGGACAGACGGAGGAGTAAGAAAGGTGGGGGATGCCCGGTGTGAAGGGAGGCAAGAAAAGGCAAGCGCTGCAAAAGGTTTTCGTTTGTTAGATATACATCTATATATCTAGAGAGAAAAAGAGAGAGAGAGTCTTAAATCTGGGGTCTCACGATCTCTCTCTCTCTCTCTCTCTCTCTCTCTCTCTCTCTGGCGGGGCGTTACGCTAATTATCTTCGCATGGGTGGATGACGAATTGAATAATCTCCTATTTCGTATCCCGTGCATGCATGCACGCTGCATACGGCACCTACGTGCCAACTCGCACGTGCAGCCAGAGAACGCTGAGGGTGGTGGGTTGGATGATGCCGACCCCGGCTCGCTGTCTCCCATCTCAGTACGGCTGTCAAGTATGCGCTTTGATCTCTCTCTCTCTCTCTCTCTCTCTCTCTCTCTCTCTCTCTCTCTCTCTCTCTCTCTCTCTCTCTCTCTCTCTCTCTCTTCCACGCTGCCCCCATCTCTCCTCAAACCACGCTGATCGTCAAAAAAGAGGAAATGGTACGTATCCGCATGCAGGGCGGAGGAGACAACGTAGGCTGTCCTTTAAATCTACCCTCCACCAGTTACCATTATGAGTTGCTTGCTACTCTCTCTGTATCTCGTTCCTATACATCTTTTAACTACATCGACTACCGGTTACCATTATCGGTGGGTACTCTCTCTCTCTCTCTCTCTCTCTCTCTCTCTCTCTCTCTCTCTCTCTATCTATCTATTTATCCCTCGTTCTCAAGGTATCTGTTCACCAGTGGACAGCAGAGAGAGTACGTATCCTTCAATCTATCCTTTAAAGTCATTATTATCTCTCTCTCTCTCTCTCTCTAGGGCTTTCCCAACAACAGCACGGAGAAGATAAAATGCGGTGCCACCCACTGCCCACTGAGGATGGTGGAGAGAGAGAGAGAGGGAGAGGGAGAGAGAGAGAGAGAGGGAGACAGGACAGTAAATAAATTAAATGGAGAAGCTCCATGGTCAACCACCTACGCGCTGGGCACGAGGGTTCTGCCCTCGGCGCCGGTGACGGCTCCAGGGGGCAGTTCATAAATGATGCGACCGCCCGCGCTAAACGACGGGGAAGTCAGCAAACGGACAGCCAGCGAGAGCTCTCAACTCGTTCGCCGCCTCAGCCAACTGGCCGGCACGTGGACACAGTTGACCTCCATGAGGACCCACCATTATCTATACCATGCGGGAAAGTAGCCCCCATCCTACAGGACGGAGCTCACCTGAGTACGAATGTTCTTCACTCCAGCGAACTTCCAATCGGAGCCCCTCGGACTAGTCTTCGGCTACTTTTCTTTGATAGGGGGTGACCAATCAGAGCTCAGCTCACTGCTTCCAAGTATTTTCAACATCAAATGATTAAAATAAGCGTAGATTTATTTTTTTTGCGAGATCAGCCGCAGGGGTCTCTGAGGTAAAATTTGCTCAGAAAAGGATTTCATCCGACAATTACCATAATGAATTCTATGATGTGATCGGATCTACTTTCCAATCCAAATTCCCAGAAAGAAGGTCTCAAAGCTTAACGTAGATCATTATCATGGAGATTCACTCCCCCGTTGACTAGTCAAGCCTCGACTCAAACCTTGACTTGGGCAGTGAAATGGATCGATGGATTAGAGTGAAAATATGGTATGAGAATTATTTAAAATGCAATTCAAGAGTTGACAAAATTAACCAGTAATTAATTGTTGGAGCCATGCACTTGTAGGGTTTCATAAGATTTGATGCACACTAGAAGATCTTTAATAAACTTAGACATATCCTAACATGTTAGAACATCAAATTAGAAAAAACATAAATCTTGCATTGTCATATATGTAGAAAGATTTAGTTAAAGGCTAGTTGTTTTGGCAATTTGTCTGCATATATTACTTTGTGGGTATACTTAGGGTCAATTGAAATAATATTTGATATATCAAATCTCACATATTTGAAGTCCAATTATCAGATTTTTGGACTTATGAAAAACCTATGTTTGAGGAGAGATGTTCGTTACTATGTGTGTCATCAAATAACGCTGATCGTTAGGCCTCATTAACAACACACATGTTCGTTCCACTACTATTTTCACTACTAGCATGACTTCACTAAAGCTTACTCAAGCATTCAAATACTCAAAAAACTAAAGTCAGTTCATCCTCTTTGCTTCAAGATCATTTTATAGGAAACATATTATTACTTTATATGTAAAGTCAGCATTCAGAGTGATGGTAATAAGAAAGAGAAAAGTAAGTTAGTGTTGCAGTGTCTAGCATGGAGAAGTATATGTGTGAAATTTATCAAGAATAGTGGGAAAAAGGGTACAAAATATTTGTAAATAGATATTGGCTAAGAAGGCTAACCATTATAACTTTAAGTGTTCACTTCAGCTTTTTTGTTGACTATGTTAACTCATTGTGTCCACCCAATCTAGTCAACCCACTTAATCTATAATTTTAAAACAAACCCAACTAAAAACAGATAAATATTTTAAACCCACTCAATTCATCTCTCCCCCCATTCTCTCAATATTCTATTTAACATACCTTGATACCGACACTGTCAAAAGCAATAGTTCATTATAAAAAAATTATTTTTCTTAGCATGAGTTGAATAGTGTATGATATTTTTATTTAAGGCTCGTTGCATTTCTTAACACAACTTATAGTGGTTAAGTTAATTTATATTAATCCACTCTCTAATGACAAAATACTTATGTTCTAAAAGGTTGCAAAGAGAATATAGTGAATCAATAACTTTGATAGACCTCCACTGATAATCAGGCCTCAACAAACCCTTATTATGGATCCTATGACTCCAATGACCAACCATTGAATGTATAGACTTAATCAAGTCTATATGCCGAATCCTATAGCTCCACTAATTAAATATCAAATATCTAGAGCCTATGCAATGTTTGTGGAGGCTTTAACACACATATGAATTGAGTTAGGAACAATTTAACATTCTTAAATATGCAATCTTTAGCTCCTTAGCTTGAAATACTTGCTCTCAGTCGAGGAAGCATCTGATTTATTATGGAGTTGATGGAAACTTGAATACACTGATTTTCCATATTTTTTATGCTTAAGGATGTAGACTGTAAGCCTGAAACCCTTGGATGAAGACCCCTTGGCCCGTTTAATTGGGAATTGTTTTGGGCCCGAGCCGGATCGAAATGTTAGAATAGGTGTCTGAGCTCGGGCCGGGCGGGGCCCGTCGACACCCTCAGTTTCCTAACCGTACGGTCCGAACATAATAATTCAGAATACGAACCTTTTATTTGTTTTACATTTTTACGCCTCTAAAATTTGAATTGACGTCGGGAGTCAAACCCCGCCTCCGGCGCAAAGCGCGACGTTGGAGACGCTTGCCCTCTCTCTCTCTCTCTCCTTCCTCTCCAACCCCCTCGCCTTCCGAAGAAACCCCGATCTTGCTCATGGCAACGCTCAATCCCTCTCGTCAAGGAGAGGGCGGTAAGGTTAGTGGGACGTTCTTCTCTTCATCACATCCTCATTCGCATTCTTTGCCCTCTTCGTTTCTTCTCACCGGAGCCGCCACTTGTAGAAGGACGAATGGTCTCTCGCGGATTTTGAGATCGGCAAGCTCCTAGGCGAAGGGAAGTTCGGGAAGGTCTACCTCGCGCGGGAGAGAGAGGTTCTCGGTTATCCATTTTTTTCTCATGTTTCCGGAAATGATCAGTTCAGGCACCTGCGACGATGGAATTTCTTAATCTTTGATCTTCTTTAGTAAGCTTGTGTCTCTTTTGCTACTTCAAATCGTCGTCTCTCGCTTTTCTGTACAGAGCGGCTACGTGGTTGCCCTGAAGACAATTTTTAAGGAGAAGCTCGACAAGTACCAGTACCACAACCACCTGCGAAGGGAGATCGAGATCCAGTGCAGCCTGGAACACCCCAATGTTCTTCGCCTCTATGCTTGGTTCCACGATGAGACCCGCATCTTCCTGATCCTAGAGTACGCTGCTGGAAGGGAGCTTTACAAGCTCCTCCAGGATCTCAAGTGCTTCTCTGAGAAGCGTGCTTCCACTGTAGCCACCGGAAGCTCCTGACATTTTTTCCTCCCTGTGAGATTACCTTCTTTGCGTTCTGGCTACTTTCTTTCTTAGTTATGTATCGTCGTGGGTGAAATTGGCAGTACATTGCAAGCCTCACAAGGGCCTTGGCCTACCTCCACGAGAAGCAGGTGATCCACAGGGATATCAAGCCAGAAAATCTGCTGCTTGATTTAGAGGTACTTCATGTATTATTATTTTTCCAGATGCACCGACAGATTTTGGAGTCATTTCTGTATACTATATCACGTCGGCACAAATTCCTAAGGCATTCTTTTCATTCCGTAGACAATTCTCAATATCTTAATATCAGATAGGGTCTTGTATCTTAAAACCAATATTAATATTTGGATATTAGAAAAGATCCATAAAAATGACAGTAAACTCCCTTCCATGGGGGGATTGTATTAATTGATTGGCATCTTTCATGGGTCATAGGTGTGATTATCTTTAATCACCCAAATATTTACCAGCTTGATTATCTTTGCATTGAGAAAGAATAAGCAAACAGACACCAAATGTCGTGTAAATTTTAACACCTATGAGGTGGTTTTTTTATTTCTTCTAGCTTCTCTGAAAAGGATATGGAGATGGTTTTTGTCATGGTTTTCATCATCTTTTTAAAAATGATTCAAAATATTTGCATCAATTTTGACAATCGCTTTTTTTCTCGCTTAATTGGAGATCAATTACAGTAGCCCCATCAAGTGGTAAACAATCCCACCGTAGAATTCGTAAGCTATGACTGCGTTAGGATGCTAATTTCCCACTGCTCTGTGGTGGCCTTCATCTCCTCCCCCATTGAAGACTAGTATGCATCCCCTTCCACTCTGGGAATGAATGTAGTAAAGCATTAAAAGATACTGAAACATGAATGCATTTTGGATGACAAGATGATGGTTTTAACCACGAATATCTGTAGAGCATTGGAAGATACGGATGAATGCATCTCAAAAAACCCAACAGACAGAGATTAGAACCCCCAAAACAGATAGATCCTCAAACACCTAGAAAGACAGAGATAAAGACAATGAAAGAAAGATTGACAGAGAGACTGATAGACAGTATTAGATGGGGTGAGTTTTTGGCGGCGAATAATACACAAAAAAAACGAATCTGTAGAGCATTCGAAGAGACGGAAACATGAATGCATTTTGCGTGAGAGGATGATGGTTCCGGCTAAGAATGGCTGGCTTTGCTATTATTTAACAAAATCTTGATGGATTCCTCTCTTTGACCTTTTATTTTGCTCTTGCTCCAAATATCCACCGAACATTTCATCCATAATGTGTCCTGCAAAGGTAACAGTCATGATTTTTTTCCAATTTACCTTGTTTTTCATGTGGTATTTGATGTTCGATAGTCTCTAATCAATCAGGGTAGGCTGAAGATTGCAGACTTTGGATGGGCCGTGCAGTCAAGTGCTAAGAGGCACACCATGTGCGGCACAATTGACTACCTTGCACCAGAAATGGTGGAAAAGAAGGCTCACGACCATGCTGTTGACAACTGGACATTAGGCGTCTTGTGCTACGAGTTTCTTTACGGAGTCCCGCCATTCGAAGAGGAAGATCAGGGCAACACTTTCAGAAGGTAGTCGAGTTTTCTTTTCACAGAATAGTCATTGATTGCTCTATTGAAGGGATACAAACTGTGTAGATTTATTGGGCCATCCAAACTCATAACCACTTATAAAGGGCTGGGTTAGGCCCATTATTATAAATCACAGATTTATTTCTGGTCAACGTTTTGGGCTTTTTCATGCAGTTAACATAAACAACGTTATTCTTCTTTTTCCTTCTTGTACTGGATATAGAGCAGAGTTCAATTAATATTTTTTTCATAAAAAAAAAGGAACTCTCCATTTTTCTATTTTACTGATCAGAATAACTAATGTCATTCATTTTTTCTGGTAGGTAGAAAAATGGGTTATCTATGTAATCGCGTATTTATTTCTGTAATTAACCCCATACTCAGGGCTTTCTATTCACTATTCTTAACAAAAATCATGCCGGCTCAGGATTATGAAGGTTGACTTGAGATTCCCCCCCACTCCATATGTTTCTGCGGAAGCGAAGGATCTCATCAGCAAGGTAAGATTCTCAACGTCCTTATCATCAGTGAGAGGGCACGATCTGGAGAGTAGTATCTGAATATTCTTAAATTTTTTTTTTTTTTTTAATTTTAGTTACTGGTGAAGGACTCTTCACAGAGGCTTTCCCTCCAGAAGATACTGGAGCATCCTTGGATCGTGAAACACGCAGACCCCTCTGGGAGCTGCAACACGTTGACTTAGCTCACCAAGACAGCTTCCCCTCTGGTGAGATTCTCTCCTACGATATGAAATTTCTCTGATTCATACCTCCTTTGACTCGATGTGAACATCTATATGAACAACTGTGGTGTATTTACTTCATCCAAATGGTCACTTTTGACGGCGATCAACTGATGACAGTAATTATTAATAATTACTAGTTCTTGCCTTATCATTACCCGGTCAACCAAGTGGTGTGGGCCAGCTGGGTGTGCTAAGCCCCAGTCAACCGGTGCTGAAAAGTCCATCGTCGGGTTTCTTTTCATTTCTAGTCAATCAGTTCATGCTCTTCAAGATGCGGCCATTTCTCGGCATTAATGGGAATGGATGTGGATTGGGGGGCTTCGTGCATATCCTCTGTTGACCGCGCTCAACAGGGTTCCATTGGAAGCGATTCCACACGCTCCAGCTTCCCGCCGGATTAAGTCAGCTGCCGGTCCAACTTCCAACAGTTTGACTCATTCTCCGATTGTTATCTCTTTGACTTTTCTTCATGCTCATTGGGAAGACCGGAGGGAGCTGCAATGGCAGAAGCCGTATGTATTCCGCGAATAGCTCGCCCAAAATGGGGTGTTGAATGATGAAATAATGGAATCATTGAATTGGCAGGCTCTCTCTTTCCCTCTCTTGTTTATGGCTAATTATAAATTAAGGTCTTAATTAACGCCTAATCTTGGCTGTAAGACGGCTGTGGTGATGATGGGCCAAGAAGCCCGTACTTCGAACAAGCCCGAAAAAGGAAAATGGCCCAGCCCGACCTGGGTCCAGGTAATGATAAGGGAATATAATATATATACAATAATTCTCTCTCTCTCTCATAAATAGGTGTCTACTGCGCGTGAGCTTCGTGATGTCCGGGCCGACACCGGGCCGTTGACTGCTGCTCTATGTGGGTTGAGACATCGGGCAGGTGAAATTAGTTAGTGGCTGCGGCAGAGCTTTAAGGGGTGTGAGTTGGCATCAGCTCTACGGACAAATGACGTAGACGATGGAAGATTCCTGAATCTGACGTAGGGCAGAAGAAAGCGACGACGGACGTCGCCGACGGCGCAATTAAAATTTCTTGGCGGTGGCGGTGGGAGGCCTCCGGTGGGGAAGATGGTGGATCAGACGGTCAGAAAACCTACAGAAAATCTAAAAGAGAATCGACGGATGGTGTAGGAGCTGCGATTTGTTTCTGCGGGAGATTGAATGCGGTAGCACCTCTCGAAAGACAAAACTGTGTAGCTCTTTGGCTACCAAGCGGGAACAAATTAAATGCTTTGAAGATGGAAGAATGGCACCGCAAGTACCGACAGATATAGAATCCTCTCCGCTCCCTCGATCGTCGTGCTTTCTTTCGATTTGGATTTGGATTCCCAAAGGAGAAAAAAGTTGAGGAGGCACGGTAGACCTCCCGGGATAGACGGTGGCGGAGATCGTCACCTGTGTGCCGTGATCAGAGTCTCTATGAATCTCAAACCGTCAAACCGAGGCGCGAACTTGTCCTCCGGCCCCGCCCCTCCGTTCGCTGGTTTGGCCAGTTGCTTCCCAGAGGACGACGACGACGACGGAACCTACAAGGACAGGATCAACAGCAGCAATTTCAGCGGAAAGCGAACATCAGTCGGGAGATCATAAGCCACAGGGTGAGGGACTGAAGCGATACCTCATAGCCGAAGCTTGAATGGTGGAGAACCCTGCCAGCGCCGTCGGAGGAGTTGGAAGAAGAGGCAGAGCCAGGGTGGAGAGCCATGGAGGACGCCGCCGCGATGGAGGCCACGAACGCTCCGGCCTTCTTCATCCTTCCCGCTCGCCGGAATCGGAAGCGGCGGCGATTCTCGACGTCGGAAAACTACTTTCACCCCCCTGCACACGCTCCCGCCTCCTGCCCACCCACCATTTATATATCCCGGGGAAGGATGACGGAACCCGCGTGACACCACACCACCGAGAATATAAACGGGATTTAATTCCGTTTTTGAGTTCCAACAATCGCCGGCGGAATCACCGGCGGGGTCACGTCAACGGTGATCCTCGTTCACACTTTCGGCGACCTTTGATCCACTCACTCACGACGGGTGGCTCGAAAAAACGACACGTGTACATTTCTAAAAAATATTATTCGTTAATTATTTCAAATAATATCATTCTTATCTCACGCGCCGCCAGCCCTAATGGGCTTTAATGGGCCTTCAGCCTCAATTTTTTTATTTACTTGAAAAAAACTGTTTCCCTTGGCCATTGGACTCGGCCTAGTCTTTTTTGGGCCTTGTGTGGAGGCCCAAAAATAACCCATCCGAGGCCCAAAGAAGTCTCTGTTTTGTGCTCTGAGCTGTGGCTTTGACCTACACCTCATCCCCCGCCGCCTCCACGCAACCCAGCTCAACCCAATCCGATCCCAATCAGAGCTCGAACTGCTCGAGTCACCGGCCAGCGAACCCCCCAACGCAGTCCCCTCCCAGAAAGGTGCCATCTTTCTCCGACCCTTCTCATCCCCCTCGTTTCCTCCGCCGATCCCCCATTATAGCTTAGCTACCCAGCTCCTCTTCCGCTCCCAGGGAGAGAGGGAGAGAGAGAGAGGCGGAACAGAGAGAAAGCAGAGGAGAGAGAAGATGTCCGCCTTCACGGCCGTGAAAGTGCTGGCCTCGGGCCCCTTCGCCGGCAGGTCCTCCTCAGGCGACAAGGCGGCTGCATCCGCCTGGATCGGGTCCTCTTCGTGCAGGATCCTCCGCCCCTTCCACCCTCATCAGCCATTCTCGTCTGTGTCTTCTTCTTCCCCTTCCATTCTGCGCCCGATCCAGGCCGTCTCCTCCTCCGATGTGCTCAGCTCGAAGATCGAACCGAATTCCCCGCTCTCCAACCTGGTAATCCTCCCTTCCATTTGCAGAAGATCCCGGATCTTTCCCGGATGGTGCTCTCACGGGCTGGGTTTCTGCAGCTGATCACGCGAGAGGAGGCGCTGGATCTGTACGAGGACATGGTTCTCGGGCGGTCGTTTGAGGACATGTGTGCTCAGATGTACTACCGGGGGAAGATGTTTGGTTTCGTCCACCTCTACAATGGGCAGGAGGCCGTTTCAACAGGGTTCATCAGGCTTCTCAAGAAGGAGGACTCCGTCGTCTCCACCTACCGCGACCATGTCCACGCCCTCAGCAAGGGGGTCCCAGCTCGCGCTGTCATGGCGGAGCTCTTCGGCAAGGCCACCGGCTGCTGCCGTGGGCAGGGCGGCTCCATGCACATGTTCTCCGCCGAGCACAATCTTCTCGGTGGGTTCGCCTTCATCGGAGAAGGAATCCCCGTGGCCACCGGCGCTGCCTTCACCTCCCGCTACCGCCGCGAGGTGCTCAAGGAAGCCAACTGCGATTATGTTACCCTCGCGTTCTTCGGGGACGGCACCTGCAACAATGGCCAGTTCTTCGAGTGCTTGAACATGGCCGCCCTATGGAAGCTGCCCATCATCTTCGTGGTGGAGAACAACTTGTGGGCGATTGGAATGTCCCACCTGCGGGCAACCTCGGACCCAGAGATCTGGAAGAAGGGACCTGCATTTGGGATGCCTGGGTTTCATGTCGATGGGATGGATGTGCTCAAGGTGAGGGAGGTGGCTAAGGAGGCTATTGGAAGGGCAAGGCGAGGAGAGGGGCCGACGCTGGTCGAGTGTGAGACCTACAGGTTCCGTGGCCACTCGCTGGCTGATCCGGATGAACTCCGAAACCCTGGTGAGATTGCATCTTCCTCAGTGGCCCCCTGAATTGACTTTTCGTCCAAGTTTCAATGGCTTTCCCCTCTCATTTTCTTCAATGGGTAGTAGCATTTTTATTTATAAATATAAATTATGCTATTTTTATTGCAGTGTAGGCGATATGGTGCTTTGTGATCCAGTATTTAAATGGATCCCAATTTAATTTAGTCATATGCTTCATAAAAATACGATGTTATTAGATCCCATTCTACCATGGAAACATATTTTTGATTGGATTATTAGGCGCCTAAACAACGAAACATAGAATAACTCGCAATCTGTTTTCTGGACATGGAATCATTGCCACTGATGGCATTATTGGCATCTTGAATCTGCTTTGACTTTGCAAGATATTCCTGATTGGAAATGGAATCAAAGAAACTATGCCTCGCATTATTATTATATGGACTTGGGGAATCTTGAACACTCTATATTTTATATTTTTAGGACTTATTTTATAGAGATGTTGATTTTATATTATGACTACTGAATCCCATTCATACCCAGAAAAAGTCAACTCCTCTTTGCTAAGAATTCTCCTTGACCTGGAGTACGCATAGCATGATTCCTCGGCTTAATCACGTATCAAATTGCGATCTGATCAATTTCGTCTTACAACATGTTACCCATTTGGGGATGGCTTGATCTACCGTATAAAGGGAATTTTTTTTTTCTCAAGTCAACTGTCGATGAATCTCCATCTCCAGAACCATTTCAAAAGAGGTTGACTCCCAGAACCCATTGTTAAGAGGAGTCCTTTTTTTTGTTGATCTCAATGCCTCAACGTATTTGTGTGCGTTGACCTTCATTTTAAGATATCGATTCCATTTGCCCTTTTCGATTTGTTTTCTTGGATCTGCTCATACTATCGAAACATCGAGCTCTTTGAATACAGTGATGCCAGATAATGTCTGCATTCGAAGGAACGTTGACTTCGTATAAGAACTTCATTATAACGTTGACTTATTCCGTGGAATTTGTCCTTTTATTGCTCATTTCAAGTATGGAATGGCAGATAAAATTTAAAGGAACTCGAGCAATTATGGGAAAAAAATCTGAATTGTGCTCATCTCCTCCCCAGATTCTTCATCTATTGATTATTCCCTCCATCTTTTCTCCCGTCCCCAAATATTGGAAATGATTTTAGTTTTGATAAAATAAATAAATGCATCCCGTTATTTAATCTCCTCACGATCTTGTCTCTGTTCTATTCCAGATGAAAAAGCCCGCTATGCTGCGAGGGATCCAATTGTAGCTCTGAAGAAATACGTGATCGAGCACAATCTGGCGACCGAATCCGACTTGAAGGCCATCGAGAAGAAGATCGACGAGGTGATTGAGGAAGCGGTGGAGTTCGCCGACGCAAGCCCCCCTCCCCCTCGGAGCCAGTTGCTGGAGAACGTATTTGCCGACCCAAGGGGCTTCGGGATCGGGCCTGACGGCAAGTACCGCTGCGAGGACCCTGGGTTCACCCAGGGCACCGCTGAGGTTTGATGACTCTCTCTCTCCCCGCAGCCGTCCTCAGATAACGGGGGCCTATCCCAGACCTCGGCTGTTTGGCTCAGATCATCATTTTCGACAGTGTGTAGTTTGATTCAGAGACTTATTTGTATGACCCACAAGAACATATTGAGGATCCATGCTCAGTTTTGACCAGCTTTCAATGGTTCAAGTTTCTTGCTTTTTTCTTTGGTGAAGTCAGGGGTAGTCCTGTTAGTTCTTGCCGGCTAATTAGAGCCCCAGGTGTGAAACATTTCCTGGTGCCTCTCACAGAGAGAGAGAGAGAGAGAGAGAGAGAGAGAGAGAGAGAGAATTCGGGGGTGAATCTTCCTTCTGATTAATCATCACTTTTTCTTCTTTTTTCTGTGGTGAATTCCGGGGTGGCCCTGTTAGTTCTTGCCGTTTCATAAGAACCCCAGATGTGAAAGAGAGAAGGGGGAGAGAGAGAGAGAAGAGGGGAGGAGAGAAAAAGAAGAGAGAGAGGAGGGAGAGAGAGAGAGAGGGGAGAGGGAGGAGAGAGGAGAGAGGAGAGAGAGAGAGAGAGAGAGAAGGTGAGAAGGGAAATGAAGGACCGGCAATCTTCCCTTTGACTCACACCTCTTATTTACTTGATGAACTCGACAGACTTACTTCTACCTTATTATACATCGGATTTTTTATGGCAAAAGTAAAAGTGCAAACCCTAAGCTTTCGCGGCAATGTAGTTTTTCTTCAAACTCACAACCCCGGCGAATGAGCCCTCAAGGCGACTTCCTTTCCCACCAAAAACCTCTCCTGCAGCAAAAGTCAAAACTGCCCGGGTACTGCCTACCCTGGGTACAAAGTCAACTGATCACCGCCCTGGCCTGGCGAACTTCCGAGCGATCCCACAGACCAGCGCCTTCGTCAAGAGGCCTCGGTCCAACGTGCATGCAAGGGCGATAGCCCCACCGATGACCAGAAACCTTGGAATGGCCTTCCCCAGTGGCTGGGTCTTCTCTGGCAGTTGACTCTCCACCAGCTCACCATTGCCGCCGTCCAGCGAATTCAACTCGTCGGCGCTGACTTTGGTGGTGATCTGCGCTAAAAGGGCCGATGGTGAGAGGGGCTCACCGGCGGCTCTCGCTGCCTGGTAGGCCCGCAAGCCCGGTTCGACCTTCTTGACGCAGCCCCACATTCCCTGCCTCACGCCCAGCTTGGCGATCTCCCACGGTATCCCCATGTCCTCGTAGTGGAAGAGCAGGACCTCGCACGCCGTCCGTTGACCGTCCCCTCTCATCGATTCCACTGGAAGAGGAGGAGAAAACCAAGCTCAGATTAATCAAGAACACCCACGAGATTGAATGTTCTGCCGGACATGATCAGAGATTAAGCGCACCTGCGCGGATGCACCAGCTGGAGTAGTACAGGTCGACCCGTCTTGGTTTACCCTTCCTTGGTATAGACTGGTTTTTGACACTCTGATGCAAGATGATTCCAACAGATGAGTTTAAGGCCCATACGAAGCAGTGAATGATGCGATAAATAATAATTCGAACAGATGCATTGGTCGAATTTATTTGTATACACACTCATTTAAATACATGTATTTATATCTATAGATATATATATCTAGAGAGAGAGAGAGAGAGAGAGAGAGAGAGAGAGAGAGAGAGAGAGAGAGAGAGCATAAGCTCAAGAACACAACGAGGACAAAAGCCCGGATACTGGTTCGATCTACAATTGAAAATATGTAATATTAATAGAGCTAAAATTAGTTGAAACCCCCCTGAACCATGGGATTCAGTTCAAATTCCACAAGGCTGTACTAAACAATGCTTCATTTTTCTCAGGAAACTTCGAACAATTGTGATTATCGAATAGTTTTTCTAAAACTACCCTTCTGTAGAAGCTTATAAAAAAAATTAATTATACAGCGAAAACCAGATGAAATTTCACCTCAACCGCATCAGTCAGGTAGATCATAGGTAAAATCGGCCACCACTACCGATGAATTCAGTATTTTGAGGCAACTCTTGCATACCTTGGTGACGCAGTAGTATGCTCCATCTGACTTCCAGATCCTCCGGCCGATAATATACTCCCGGTCACTGCAGAAGAATGGAAACTGGAGAAGGGACGAAGGGCGTAAGCACAGATACACAGAAGCATGGTGATGGGTTGAGAGAGAGAGAGAGAGAGAGAGAGGCCCACCTTTCTAACCCAGTGAACAATCATCGTCCCAGTCTTCGGGCATTCCTCCAATGTCTTGTGGTAGATGAGCATGTCGTCCCACTTGGCTTTCATTCGGAACTCATCATCCCAGAAGAAATCCCTGACTGTCTCCGGGGCTGCGTCCTCAAAGATTGTTCTACTGCGATACTGTGGAGGACCAGTCTGGCAGAAGGAACACCACCTAATTAGGAAACCGGAACGAACCGGAATTGCCTTCTAAAATGCAATATTATAATGTATTTGCCGGTTCCCAGATGAGAATTGTTAGGACAGGCGGTCAATCAGGGATAGCAGATACCTCGGGGTCTCTTCGCCAAGCTTTGTAGCTCATGGTGGGTAATGACTTGTCCATCATCTGAATCCATTCGCGGCCCCCATCCGTCATCTCTACCAGCTGGGAAAGGTAACCAAGGTCCTCTCTTGTAACAGAAAATCCATCACCTCCATCCTCAGACGATCTGGGTTCAACAAAAATTCAGAAACGAGCCGAAAACCATAAAGGATTATGGAGATGATTGTGGACGGAGTCGTACATAGAGGTCGCCTTCCCGGTGCTCTCATCCGCCTGGGCCTTGTGCGACTCCAATCCACTAGAAAATTCTGAGGAAGAAGAAGACCGCAATTGGGGATAATCACGGCGAGAATTCCCTTTCTCTCCGCACACCAAATCGGCGGCCCATCTCGGTCGCCACGCCCAGCCGACCAAGAGACCCACAAAGAGGGCCAACCAGACAGGAACGGAGAAAAGTACGAGCTCAGCCACCACGCCGCCGATCGTTGGCTGCCGCAAGGCCTCAACAAGAGATCCGAAGACTAAACCCATCTCCACTTAACGACTCACATAGAAAAACGAACAACAAGCGGTACAAAAACAACGCAAAACCCTCGAAGAGTCGAGGGTTCCTCGGAACCGCCTTCAGTGGAAATCGTGGGAAAGAGGTACGGAATCCTAAACTTATGAGGCCAGACAGGAAGAATAAAAGGGATGCAGAGGAGGAAGAGGAGGGAATATGAGATTTGGACTCCGCCGGCGCCGACGATAAGGACTCAGGAGATAGAACCGAGGTGGGTAATGCCGGCGATTAAGCCCTAGGCTTATCACAGCGCGGGGGAAGACGAGATCCTCTGACTGCTCACCGAAGATGCTTATCTTGTCTCAGCTCCTGGAGGGCGCTTGACAGAGGCTGGCTGCCTTAAGCCGATGGGGAAGGAGACGACTGGTTAATATCGTCCGGTGCGAGGGCGTAGGCCCCGCATGGGTAGGTGTCTCCGCCTATACAGTCCTACCATCACCACGGTGACGCGATCCAAGTGTTCACACTCATTTTGCTACTCCCATGTTTCCAATTACGCGGTTACGGCACCGCGGATTTGGCGGTTGGCGCCTCCTCGTCCTTTTATCTCACGTTTTCGAAGTGGGCCGGCAAGGGGTAAGATGGTCCTTCGTTCATGAGCTTTTTCCATTGTTGCCCAAAAATATTCGTGCCATTGAGAAAGTGCCCTTAAATTAACAATATTTTCCTTCATAAACGGATTGGTTTTTGCCGAATAGCCATCCTGCGACGGTCGGTGTTTGGTCAACGCGCGCGCAGTGGCAGGGGGAACACGTGCTAACGCACTTTCTAATGTTCCCACTGCCCCTTTCTACGTCGGTGCGCCGCGGCACCGACAAATGGGCCCGAGGTCGAGATTCATAAAATAGAAACGACTCAATCGGGCCTGATTTTATCAAAGCCCGACAAATTGAAGCCCAAGTTCATACAAAGCTAGAGCTTAGTCAGACCGTTAGCATTGACAATTATGTTATTTAGCAAGGTAAGAACCAGAAAATATGCCTTTTTAAAATCAGAAAACCATTTTAAAAATATATTTTTACAATTGTATGTCGCGGATTATGGCTACAAAAGGAATAATACTCTCTGTTTTTTTTATTCTATATTTTGAGATTTTTTCGATTTTCTCTACTTAATTTCTGGGACATTTTTAAATTATTTGATTGTGGAACGGTGGCTCGATGTGCTATTTATCGGCTACTGATACCCGGTAACAATCATACAAGTTCGATCGAGGAGAAGGGAGGGTATGATGATAATTAGTGAGAATAATGTGGGTGCTTTGGATAAGCAGTTCGTGCGCACTCCCTTCCCGCGCTTCCTAGAACATATAAATACTGGGTTCTTTGGTCTTAGATTAGCATCATAATTCGCAGCAGGAGAATTTTATTTTTTTTCCATGGCATCGGAGAGAATCCTTGCTTGTTTTCCGGTGGATGCTGGTACGGTCTCCTCCGTTCTCAGGCTTATGTGTTCTGTGCTCTGCGTCTGCATTCTTCGATATCTATTATTCCTAAAATCTGATTGATCTCCGTGAAATTGGCTCACTGGTTGTACAATTCCCGCCTGCGTGGAACTGAGTGGATCAGTCTAGGGTGGTTTGGGAAAACACGATTCCCATTGTGATCCTTGTCCGTTCAGACGACCTCTGATGTAATTATAGAGATGTGGATCCAAGAACAATCTCGTATTATCGAATTGGAAAATATCCATTGTTCGTATCTATAATTATATAGTTCATATCAGTGACGTGTTTCATAATGTACTGATGAAGATGTTTTTTCTACAAATGAATATGAATCATCCAGACCTGGAATGGAACTTAGATTACAAGTCTGTAATTCACTGTCCGTTTATATCAGGAGAGGTGCGAATGATGTCAAATATAACAGTATGTGTGCGATTCAGACCTCTAAGTCCAAAAGAAAAGGAAGCTGACGGCGGAGCAATATGTGTTCAGGGATTGGATTCTGAGTCTTTCTTTTTTAAGGTTCATCTTCCTCCCTATATCTGTAATTTCATGATTGAAATTTTTTCATGCCAACCGGATGTCTGGTAGGCTGAGAAGGAAGAAGAGCTCGCATTTTGCTTCGATAAGGTGTTCTATCAGGACGCAGAACAAGCAGATGTGTTCCGATATCTCGCCATGCCTGTCGTCCAAGGTGGAGACCTACAGTTATCACATTTACGACCAATTACACGTCATACCTCCATTTTCTTAGTGTCGGGACTGCCCTAACATCATCAGTGGCATCAACTTTCAGACGCAAAATTCATTATTTCCTTTGTGATAATGAGTTAATGTTGGCGATTTTATCCATGTCATTCTTCGGAACATCTTTTTAACAGACACCCTGAACGGAATAAATGGCACGATCGTTACTTATGGCCAGGTGAGTCACGTTAAGATGTAATTTGTCTATGTTGGCACGTCTTCTGCCTGATTATCTTCTTAACTTTTCCTTTTTGCCAACTACTGTGTTTGCTTAATCTGTGTACTTGTTATTTATTCACATAATCACGTTTCTTCAGCACATAAAGATGGATACTACGTCAGGGATTTCATATGATTCCGTGATTTCGAATTTTGCACTTCGTGTGTTTACGTTGTTTATATTTGACCTAAAATTGCTTGGAAAAATTTTAGGCATCTTACAAGGACAAATGCATCAGAAATCAACATGCCTTCCAGTCAGACTTTTGTTTATTAAGCTGTGGTTATTATTGGAAGAATCCTTATCTTATTATCGCTTGTTTGTTTGTGAGGATATAACCATATTAGCAGTGGATGTTACACAAACAGTATTTTCTTTTTCTAACGATGAAAGGTTATGGACATGATTGCTGATAGCATTGTACATTAATAGGAGTACATTAAAATATTCGTACAATAAATATGAATATACAATGCTGTAGAGAAGAATGGTGAACAGGATCTGTGTATTAAAATGAAAATGAAGGCTTACTATTAGCTCTGGTTCCTCATGGCTTTGCTAATGGATTACAATATAAATACTCGCTAAGATTAAGTAAGAATAAGAATTTTTGAATTGGGCTTCTGAAGCATATGCTCATCTGGATGGTAGAAAGTATGCCTTTTAAAGGGTTAACTCTGTTTCATTGTTTACTTCGTCCCTAAAGATATCCATATACACAATCAACAAAACATTCTGATTAGATTTTTTCAATGACGTATTTTACCTTTGAATCACACGCTGCGAACAGACTGGAGCAGGGAAAACGTACAGCATGGAGGTGAAACTATTTGGTTATTTCTACTTCATGCACCCAGACGACCCACTGTTAAAATTTATTATATCCTGAGAACTTGTAATGTGCTTCTATGTATTTGATTGCTAACGCGCGGCAACATCTTACACCAAATTAGGGCCCCAGTATTTCAGAAAGTGATGGACAAAAAAAAGGACTTCTTCCTCGCGTGGTTGACAACCTCTTTGAGCATATAAAATGTTCTGAGGAGACTACTAAATGTACTGTCAAGATATCAATGGTACGCCCTTTGCGTTATACCTCAGAAAGGTTACTAGTTGTCCCCACTAACTTCAATTTCTCTTCAGGTGGAAATTTATATGGAGAAAGTGAGGTACGTCTCTCAAGGAAAGGCCTTTTGTTATTTCAAGAAAGTCAGATGATCACCATACAAACAGAGCTTTATCTGTTAACAGACACATCAAGATCGAAAAATCTAATGCTCTCACTCTTTATGTCAGAGATCTTTTTGATTTATCAAAAGACAATCTGCAAATCAAGGAAAATCGAACACAAGGTATTTTCCTTTCTGGCGTAACAGAGGTGAGCAAACTCTCAGTCAGCGCACTCTTTTCATCGCTTGCATGGTTCAGTGCAAAATAATGTGTGCCCCGTGCTGTCAGACATTCATTACCTGCAGCTTTGGTGCTTTTCAGGTCACCATATTGGATCCTGAAGAAGCATTGAGATGCCTTTCGGTAGAAATATTTCATCATCCAACTGTTCTCTTCTAAGCTATAATCACTGTCTAATATCTATTATGCTTTGCAGCGTGGAATTTCTAATAGAGCAGTTGGGGAGACGCGTATCCATTACTTGGATCATGTTGCCTGACATTATTAAATGCAATAATTATGACTTGTGAACTTGTATTCACCATCATGTATTGGTTTTGGACCTTAACATTAACAGAAATGAACATGACGAGTAGCAGGAGTCATTGTGTATACACCTTTTTGGTTCAGCAGGAATCTTTGAAGGATGATTGGTATTGTCATCTTTTCTTCATGTTTCTCACAACATGATATCAAATAGAAACATATAGGCCATTGGAGGCACGGCATTACCTAGATACCTCTATCCTAATCTCTCTCTCTCCCTCGCTATATATATATATATCTTTATGTGCGCGTGGAATCTTGCAGCCAACTATTTTTTACGAATTTAAATTTGCCATATTCCTTGTCTATGCAGAAGAAAGAATTACTTGTGGTCACCTTGGACCTTCTGATAACTTGAACAGGTCCAGAACTGGAAAGCTTGTTCTGGTGGACTTGGCTGGTTCCGAGAAAGTTGAGAAATCTGGCGCTGAAGGGAGGAACCTCGACGAAGCGAAGACCATCAATAAGTCCCTCTCCGCCCTTGGGAACGTAATCAATGCGCTCACGACGGGTGAACACAAACTCCTTGCTCAGTTCAACCTTTTTCTCCACTTAACATACTACACGGAATCCAATGATTTTAAACCAATCAACAGGTAAAGTAAACCACATTCCCTATCGCGATTCAAAGCTCACCCGTATTCTGCAAGATGCATTGGTCGGTCCTAACCCCCATCCCTCCTTCCTTCCCCATGAACATCTTTTCTACTCATATTTTTGTCCTTTCAGGGTGGGAATTCTCGCACGGCACTACTGTGCTGCTGCTCCCCCAGTTCATCGAATGCGTCAGAGAGCTTGTCCACGATTCGCTTTGGAACAAGGTATACATCCTACGATTTAATGGAGCTAATCCGATGATGAGGACGACTCGTCACTGACGTCTGTTTATATCTCTCCAGGACTAAGCGGATAAAGGCCCCATTGAGGGCTCCTGCTCTGCCCACACAGGCGACCCCCTTTCAGCACCGCAGAAGCGCATACGACGGAATTTTAGAGAAGGTGGGAAAAGAACAGTAGATCGCAATGGTTCGCTTGACCCGACCCTTTTTGGGTTATCCTGTTTATTGGATCACCTTTTCTCGCAGTTGAGGAAGTCCCTGAATCCAGAGGACGTGATGCTGTTGGAGGAGCTATTTATACGGGAGGGAATCCTGTTCGACCCTCAGTCAACCGAGGACTTGGAGTCAGCCTTGGAGGACATGATCAGCCTATCCGTTTCCTCGATGCAGGAAACCATCGAGGAGCTCAATGAGGCGCTTGAAAAGGTGACGTGTCCTTCTCTTGCACGTAACGAGAGTTCAGGCACCTCGTCGACTTTTCTCTGATTGCTGTCCATGATCACAGCTCTCTGTGAAGTATGACGCTCTCGCGGCCGAGCTGGAAGCTGCAAAGCGGTCACCAACGGTACACGTAGTGTCCGCAGGGGAGTATCCTAATTTCATAGGTAAGATCTTTGGTGTTTTCAATAGATTCTAGCCACACGAGGCCAAGGGTATACGCCTTCTCCTCGAGCAACTCAACCAGGTCGGGTTTCATCGATAAGAACCCATGAATATTGATCTTGACGACATTTTTAAAATGTTAGATATGAAAAGTTGCTGTGAACAAAAAGTTGACCCATGCAACTTTTTCTCCCTCTCAATGTCTGATGTCTGGATGGTCTTGAGATTCAGAGATATTTTGAGTTTTACAAGAATAATGTCATTAGTAAAAGGGTCACGATAGGTGACATGTATGAATGCAGATAAAGTCCACCCCATATCACAATTCAAACGCACTAGACTAAAGAAAAAAATTCTCTTGAATTAGCTAAAAACATTAGTGGAGAGAAGAATATTAGATCAAATAATTTAAGAAAACCACTTAAAATAGGACAATCATTCTTTTAATAGATCATAAATCAATTTTATCACGAGACATTGATCAACCAAAAAGTAAAAAATGACTATTCTTAAAGTCTCTCAACAGCAATCACAAGAAGATATATTAAATCACAAGTAGTGAGATAATGAGAGCAATAAGAGGTACTTGTAGAGTAGAGAGAGAAGCTGATGTGACAAATGATCCATTCACGTGTTTCAACACCTTCATAATTAGTGTTGTAGGTTGTGGGATAGAGGAAAGTCGACATGACAGATAATCTATTTGTTCTTTTCAACACCTTAGAATCAATGTTGCAGGCTGCAAGCTGGAGAGGGAGGTTGATGCAACAAAAAGAAGCTTTGTGGTTGTGTGAAGTGCTTGGTTTGATGATATGAAAGGTGGATTGCAAAGAGAATGGGGATCCAACCAGGAGCAATGGGATCCTTAAGACCAGTCCAATCAAGGTGACGATGTCCTCACAATCAACTCCCAAAATCAATGTGAAAGGAGGTGAAAATCTCACTCAAAATGTATTTTTTTTTAAGTTGTTTTATGTCCACTAAGCTCCTGAAAATTTGAGGGTGAGGTGCTTCAAATCCTAGTTGCACGGTGTCCAGAATTCTTGTAAAAATGGTGGAATCCAAAACATGCTATGCTCCTATATCAACCATCAATGGATTGAGATAACTTAACTTTGTTGAGTGAAGATGTGGAGTGATGTAATGCTGGTCCCAAGCACTTGTGTTGAGTTGATGAAGCTCTTTTTTTTGTGACCCTCGAGTCATTTGACAGAGGACGACCCTTCTATTGAATAAGAAATCTCTAAAGTTCTTTATCATCATCAAAAGCTATTTTTTTATCTAATATATCTTCTATTTATTCATGTTGAAATGGGAAGATAGTTGATTCAATATTTGAAATAGTCTTTCATCTTTAAATTCAAATGGAATCTAACCACAACAAGATCTTCTTATTTAAATTCTTTGAATCTTTGTGAGCATGTGCTAACTATTTGTAAGATACATTGCTGATGTTAATGAGATATTAAATGTCTTCATGCAAACTTCTAATTTGTTGTGCAAATGACTTAGTGGAAATAGAGGTCCTCAGATGTATGAATAGATAATTAAGGTTGACAATTTTCTTGATTTGTAATCATAAATTATTTAAAAGGAATTGACCTTGTAGTGTAATTAATAGAGTTCTTGTATGTAATTCTAGCATGAGGGATGATTGAATCACATGTTTCCAAATGTACCATAAACTCATATTAATCACCTATATCTGTTCATCTATTTATGATGAAATATAGATGAATAACTTAACCTAATTTTCATTATGTGTTAACATATTTTTTAAAAATAACGTATAAATATAAAGTTTATATTGAAGGTGATGGTTTTCAATAGGCCATTGAGTCTAATAATCTCATCAAAGTACATTAGTGCAATTTAGATGCACTAGAGATTTTGGAGCAAGGAGTAAAATAAGTCATTTTAGAGAACCTATCAACAAGAATAATAACAAAGGTATAATCATATTTCTTGGGAGTTGGAGGTAAGCTTAACACAAATTTACTCTCATATCTTTCATGGTTGTTGAAGGGATAAGGAGAGGAGTATATAATCTCATGTTTTTCATCAGAAGTTTTGCTCATGTGAAAATTCAGCATTGTAAAACAAGTTTAGCTACATATTATTTTAGGCTAGGACATTAGTTTTTCTAATGTATATTTTCCTTTAGTTTCAATTTTTTCATATCTTCTAAATGTCCAACTAGTCCATCCACATGCATTTCCCATGTAAAAATATTGCAAAGAAGATTGAGAAATGCATAATCAATATTCTCTAAAAAGATATCAATCTTTGAGTATAGTAATAATTTGTGCAAAATCTTGGCACTCATCAGAAGCCTTCTTCATCTTTTCAAAGCCAACCACATTTGGAATAAAGATAGATAAAAAGTTATTTTTTGACTTAAGACTTTAAAACTATATTTTTCATATCTTACTCTATGTTTAAGGACAGAATTATATACATGAAAGCATTATACCTAATGATTATGTTTAAATTTTATTTGGAAATTAAGAAAATATAGGACTTCATGATTTAAATAAAGGATAAATTATTGTGAAAGTAAATTATGTTTTTAGTACAAAGGACTTGAACAAGAACATATAACTCTTTATCATAAGTAGAATACTTAAGCTTCAAAAGATTTAATTTCACACTCAAATATGTTATGGGTTGTCCTTCTTGACTCAATAATTCACCTATGTCAATGTAAAATTCATTGCATACTATTTCAAAGTTTTTAGAAAAATCAAATAATTTTAAGACATGGGATTAATCAATTTATTTCTTAATAAGACTAGAGATTTTAGTGACTTCATTTTTTTGTTCAAATATCATTGGTTTCATACAATTAATTATGAGGATTATAATTGTGTTAAAGTTTTTGATAAATCTCCTATTGAATGAAGTTAAACCATAAAAACTCTTAGCTTCATAGATGTTTTAAGGCTTGGATCATTTAACAATAGTTTGTATTTCTTGTGGATCAACAAAGACTTAAAATGATTAGAATATGAATGTAAGAAAGTTGACTTGATTAGTAAAGAAACATACTTCTTTTAAGTAGCATATAGTTTCTCATTCCTAAATGTTTCATAATCTATATGAGAGTGTTGTAAATGATCTTCATAAGTCTAACTATAAATGAGGATGTCATAAAAATTTATTACTACAAATTTTTCTAGATATGATTTTTAACATGTGGGACATAAGTTTAATAAATATAATTTTAGGTCATAACTACAAATTGATGCATTAGACAACGCAAAAGTCATTACTAGTTACTCATACAATATATTCTTAATCTTGAAAGTAAATTTTCACTTGTCTACATGTATAATTTTTACTTGGATGATATCCACTTTTAAGGTTTATTTTTGAGAAAATGTTAGATACTACTAACATGTCTAACATATTATTGAGATGAGTAATGAGAAAATAATATACGTTAGTAATCATATTACTAACTCTATTATCAATACACATTCATTATGAATCATGTTAAAAGTTTAAGAAAAATGCATGGACTAAAACTTTTATAGATGAATCACTTTTCTAATAATTTCATGACTTGCCTATTTAATTCCTCATGTTCTATGTGGCTAAGCTTATAATGAAGTAATTTTAATAAGGTTGATGTATGTATTAAGTTAATAACATACTATATATTTCTCATATGAGGCCATTGATTAGGGTGGATTGTCAAGAAAGATGTTGATATATTCTTCTAAAAGTTGAACTTCTAAAGATTGCTCGTGAGATAGTTCTTGTATTAATTTATTTTCAGTCCTCTTGAGAAGGACAATTTAAATAGGGGATTAAATTTCTATTTATTTCTAATAGGATCAAACACATTATATTCAAGCTAGGTTCAAGAATAGGAGTTCATATTCTATGTAACTTAGACAGATAAATATGTTAAAGAATCTTTTTTCCTTAAATGTATGAAGAAGTGTTAAATTTACCTATTTGAGTAACATTCTAATTCTACAACTAAGCTCTACCTAGAATAATTCTTCCAAATTTCATATAAAGTACATCACACCAAATCTTATCTTCTAAGAATTAATCTAAGGGATGCTAAACATTAATTTGGATTGAAATATGAGTAGAATCGATCTATAAAACTTTATAAGGACTAGAGTGATCTTTTACATCAATTCTAAGTCTGATGATAACATATTGAGATAAGGTATTGATGTTACTACTAATATCTACGATAAGATTATGGATGACATGTTTGATTTTAATAAAAGAATAGAATATAGTGGTTCACCTAGAATTTGTTTTTATTTTTGGTTGGGTCAAGATACATTGCATGGTTCCTAACTTCATTCCCTTATTACAAATTATAGTTGCTTTTGGGTTTGTACATGATATATTCTTCTTCTTCTTCTAGTTCATTTAGTTCCATCATAGTTTCTAAAGTATGATGAGTAAACTCATAATTACTTATGAGTTGAACATTGTGTTGTTATGTGGTTATAATTATGTCATTTAAAATAAATTAATTTAGAAGTAGTCTCACATGGATTCTCTATTATGTGTTTATTCATGTTAATTGTTTAAGATCAGAGGGTCATAAGGAAAGTTTATTTATTTGAGGGATAATAATTTATTCTCTTGATTAAATTTAGATTGTTCACTAAGTTGAACTTTGAATCATGGTGTTTGTAAATGAGGATTAGTATGTATATAAAAGGGCTTGTAAAAGTTAAGTCGAGGACCATCTAGTGAACTTATTCTAAAGTGTTAATATCCTTAATGAAGAGTTCCTTAAGATATTCTCTTAATCATGTCTTAAAGAAAAATAAATATTATGGTTTTGATCTACTTTGGAGTTTAGTAGGAATTAGTCAATTTGGGTAACATAATCCACAAAATGATATTCGTACATGGTTCTTTGTCATTGATCTAATAACTTAGTTATATAGTAAATACTTAAATATTTTGATCTTAGTTTAACTTCAACTTCAGTCTAAATTTCAATTGGTTCTAAACCTCTATGTTTAAAAAGTAATTTAGGACAAAATGTAGCAG